ATGGAGTAGGTGGTCGAAGGACAAAACTAGAGTCAAAACGGCGATAACAAGTGACAACGGTGTGATTCATAATGCCACAAAGTTAACAATTTTCACCAGGGGCCGGGGAAAAGCAACCGCGTTGACCATCACCACGACCACCAAACTAGGAACGACAACCACCACGCTGAAAAAGGTCACCATGCGACGGCGTTTGCTGCGCATCGGGTGCCGAAGAATGCGCAAGCAAAATCGAGGACTCAACAACCGGTTGTTGGGCATGAAGGAGTACTTCATAAGAGAGAAATTGACCCAACATATCCTGAAAAGAAGAAAGCACCTCCCGCTATTGCAAAACACCAATTATACCATTAAACTCGACATAAGTTTCCAGAAGATGATGGCATTGAATTAAGCCGCGGAAATTTGATGACCAGCAAGCTGAAGAGAATTGACGAGGCCCTTGGCTTTGTGAAGAAAGGCGGAAACAGACAAGTCACCCTTCTGAAGGTTGTGAAGTTCCAGCACCAATTATATTTGATGAGTATAAGAAAGAGTCCCTTTGCCTTGTCACAATGCCATCCAAGCAGCCGTAGATGTGTTGACACCCTGCAAAGTGGGAAAAATATCCTCTGCAACCGACGAGATAATCTACGAGAGGGGCATTTGGTCTTTCTGATGCTAAACATCAAACACGGGACTTGGTAGGGGAGGGACATCACTACCGGAGGGGAGAAATTGTGGCGGCGGAGGCTCGAGCCATCAACAATCCCAGCAACTTTGAACATACTGAACAATGGAGTGAATTCCAGGCGCCAAGCAGTGTAGTTAGCACAAGAATTGTGATGATACTAAAATCTTGACGTGCTTTAAGAGTTAACTAAATAAAAATAAGAGGACAATTGTAAAACAAGACATGTAGTGTAGTGTGGTGTCATAAATTGGATCTAAATCGTATCAATTAAAAACATTTATAGGCAAAGAGTTTATTTGTGAGGATAAGATAATCTCTATAATAACAAACAAATTAGTCAAAATTCGTATGCAAGGTTTGGGCAGATCAAACTGCGCAACTTTAGTAAAATAATCATAACTCACTGTAGAAAATTCCAAATTATGATCCGTTTGTTGCTAGTTAAACTAGACTCAGAGAGGCTTCTATTGATATATGGAACGCAGGATAAAACTATCAAGATCAATACAGTTAATTTTTTTCAAAGTCAGCCTAACCGACTAAACGATTTCATGGCCCAAAATGATCAAAGTTAAGTCATGCCCTTTATCTTATGGGAAATCTGTCCACTACCTCTTTCAAATAAGAAGCTCATCGAGTCTTCTAAAATTATCCAGTAGTAAAGCAAGTTTATCAATATTCAAAGCTGGCATTAGAAATTTCAATAACCACACATCTATATTTCTTTAAAAAGCTTGAAACAAAAGCTAACCCAACTCCTCCCTTAGTCGGTCACCGCTCGATGTTGCGTTCTTTTAAAGTCAGCTTTAGTTTGGATTGACATGAATTACACGAATCCATTTACTCTTCATTCTCTCCTCAAGAAAATCATGGCACCATCACCGAAACTTCCTTTCTTCCAAAAGCTGCTACTGATGTCCTAAAATCCAAACCTTCGGAAGAAACAAGTCCATACTGGAACGGAATAGGAGCTAAAGAGAGCTTGGGGAGATAGCAATTGAAGATTAGTGAGCCATCATCATGTCGAATTGAAGCAAACCCTCATCATCCTTGTTTTCTATTCAACACCATGTCGAATTGAAGTAAACCCTTAACCTTTTCAGCTTGTACTATTAGCAAAGAACCCATTTCGACATTATTGAGGTTGCTAAATCAAAAGAAAGAAAAGAGAAGTGAGGACAGAATCCAAGGAGGGCAAAAGAAATAATGATGTTCAATTTCGAAGATCGTCGGAAGTCGTAGTGTACATAGGTAGCTACTACTGCCCTCTTTGCTTCTTGAACCGTCTCTGCTTATTAAATTCAATTTGCAAGTTGTTTGCAATCCATAGAATTCAAACAAAAGAAATTGGGAGGAAACTCAAGGCTATAGGAAAGTTTGATCAAATTCTTTAATATATAAACACTAGATTATCATCGAATAGAATCCCCTGTTCTATCAACGTAATTTTTTTTAGATGAAAGAGTCTGATCATATAATTGCACTCATAAGTGGACCTTTAATTTGCGGTATTATTAGGATATCTTAAATAGCCACTGAAAATTGCTAAATTAAAAGGTAGGAAACGTGGATTTGAGTAGCTAGCGTTTCAGCCCCTTCAAATTATATAACCATGTATAAAGGTTTATTTTAAAGTTGAACCATAAGCAGAGGGACAAAGGTTGTACTAATTAATTAATTAACTAGGTATAATTAACTGACCAAAACCTTTAAGTCCCAATCTCTAATACTTAAAACATTTCATCAAATAATCACTGTCTATTTTAATTAGAACTTTTCAAAAGGTAATATCTAGATAGAATCTCTCTCTAAGAATATGGCCAAAATGGCCCTGGAGATATGAACTTGAGGAACTAATATAGCCAACAATTATGACTAAATCGGCCAATGGAATGAGGAAAGGAACCATTTAGGAGATGTGTCAATCCTGCTCTACCTAAATGGTGTAGTGACATAATATAGTTACATGCAGGAAAAGACAGCAGACTCACTACATCAGTGCCTTACAATTTAGGTGAGTAATTCTCACTTTTTTCAAAAACTGGGAGTTAGGGACTATATATGTCTAAAGACACCGCACACATGAACACGTTCTAAACAATATTAATTGTTATTAAGAAGCATGTTGAATGACCCGGTGGTGTACTTTACCGCCCCGGGGTAATTGTTATAAGTATTATCGTATTTGATGGTAATTGACCATGTATTTGAATAGTATTGACTGACTACATGATTGACTGCAAGTGTTAAATGTATCGTGCTGAAATGAAATGATTGAATAAAAATGTTTCTGATGGTGATATCATATCGGCAGAGTTATCATTCTCATTGTTAAATGTATTGTATTCGGTGGTCTTCTTTATCGCCCACAAAAAAAAATGTATGTTTGTGCATGCAATCGTTGATGTGTATACACGCTCGGGTGATCTCGGTCGCCCTGGAGCACGGGCCCAGGCACTGGGCGAGCAAGGAACGTGAGCAGGCATCGGGCTTGGTCACCAGTCTTTGCCGTCAGTGGCCGTATCATGGGGGAAACTCGACGGAGTGACCTCAGTCGCGACAGGAGTAAGGTGATTGAATTGTAAATTGTTATTGTTAGTCGGTAAGGTCGCTCCTTCCGGCGAAGTATTGATTGATCGTTAAAATCTGGTTTGGAATAACGTCCTTGTGTCACATCGACCTTGACATGCCATTCTAGATTTTCCGTATCCATCCCTATTATTAATTGATTAAAGTGATTGTTTGATTGATTTGTTGCGCGACAAATATTTTGATAAAAAGGTTTTACCATCGTATGATTTCTCAAAGTTATTTTATTAAAAGTATCAAGTAGTATCGTGAGGACCTCATTGAGCTCGGCGCTCACCCCCTTTTTATATTTTACTCCCTATCTCACTCCCAGGATCGAGAGAGCTGGAAATCTAGTACGGGACAAAAGATCGATTTACGAGGCGACGCTCGTTCAAAAGAACGTAAATAGTTTGTGATATTTTGCATGTGAAATATAATCCTTTTGGGTTTGTAGTTTGGTGAAAAATAACTTAGGTTGGAGTTTTGTATTAACTCTTGAATTTTACGTTCGTATGTAATATAAGATTTGCGGGTTTGGTTATCGATTGTTTATCGAATCCTGGTGCGAGCCCCCTTATCCCCTCCCAGGTTTAGAAGAAATATCAAAGAACTCCAGCAGAAAGTTGGCACGTTCATTTTGTAGTGGGATCGCGTTGGCGAATTCGAGTGGAGAATCGATAGTATTGCGCCTTGGGCGAGAGCTCGGCGGACGACTTAGCTGATCGCGAAGCACGGCGTGGAGAAGCAAGCAGGTAGATTAGATGGGTCGTTACAAGAATGAAGTTTGACAGTGAAGGAGCGATTGCGGGATTGCAGACTCGGTTGAAGGGTGGGCATCGGTCGAAACCGAAGTTGCAGGCGAGGAAGAAGTGAGTGGCGGGATATTAGAGGAGAGTTCTGACATGATGAGGGTGGCGGACGAAGAACAGAAGCAGACAGAGCGCGAACAATTAACAATCAAGGATATTTTTTTTTCATTTGAAATGAATTTGTACTAATAGATATTATATCATTAAAGAAATCAAATAAAGTTACAAGTTTTGTGAATTATAATTATACTAATGATGCATAAATTATTGTAATAAAATAGTCAAATATATTTAAATCTAAATTATTCAATTTGAATAATTTCTTATTCCATAATTTCAATACTCATTATGTGTTTGAAAGATTCATTATTTTCCCCCTTTTTTTGGGGTATAAGTGTTTTATTGAAAATTTTTTATACTACTTAAAAAACGTTATGATTTTTCTTATTGATGTAATAGTTGTACAAAGAATTTTAAGTAATGAATACAATAATATGTGTTTGTGTATGAAATCTTAACTCTTGAATGATGTTTGGCTTAATTTTTATGTTTAAAATCATATTATAAGACATACTTATGAAAGCAGTTCAAAAAAATCGAAATAATAGAATTCATTGTGATCAACACTATTGTTATGAATTTTTTTTCTCTAATGTATTCTTGCCGCCTGCGTAAAAATTCGTTCCACATTCGATACTGAAAGCACTATATATGAAACTAACATATGAATAATTGATATTAGGCTTATGTCTCTCTCATTGTACAGAAAAAAAACATATGAATAATTGATAAAATGAAAATCCTTTATCACGTTTGTTTTATTTATTTATTTTTGTGAAAATAAAGGAGGCTCACGCGTAAAAACTAAGGTTAAAAACATGGCTATTGTATAGTGTATAAATAATACTAATCCATATCAAATTCCAACCACGGTAATAAAAGATTTTTATGTTTTGATAATGACTATACGACTTTGACTTGATTCCGGCTATAAAAGCTTCGTGGTTTCTCTCGATCAGCTCGACCCCCCGCCTCCTCCTTCCCCACCCGCCACCCCCAAAAATTCTCCAAAGGCGAAAAAACTTTTTTTTCCCCAAAGTTCAAAACTTTTTATTATGATTTTTATGTCTCCCGAATCACATTGAGGTTCTTCAGATAAGAGTTTGAAGATTTGCATAATGTTTGTAATTTCCAATGTGCTCTCTATTCCATGTTGCTCTCTCTTTCCTCGCAGGTTTTGTCTAAATTTTAGGCAATCAGATTGTGATGTGTTTGTTCTTTCTTTGTTTTCGCAGCTCCGCCAATCCGGGCTTGGGTGATTTTTGTCTTTTATTCTTTTTCCCCTCCTTCTGATCTGATTTTTGGGCATCCCGCATAGCTGATTAGGTAAGTCACTCATCTTTTGTACTCCGTTTCCAGTCATATTCTATATATCATCAAGATGTTGTTGTATTACATTTTGGTTTATTTTTCTCTCTTTATGTAATAAGTAAAGCTGGAAGTTCTACTACTCCCTCAGTTCCCCAGAAAAGAAAAGGTAAAAAAAGGAAACTTCAACAAATTGGACTATTGTTTTCTGGGACTGAGGGAGTATTATGTTTGGAGTTTTCAATCCCCCAGTTATATGTGTTATCTGATATTATTTGATGATACAAGTAATTTCGTTTCTATTGCTTAGTGTGGGCTTCCAACCTTTCAGTTCCGTGTATGATTGTTAAGATGGGTAAAACCTGGAAGATGAGTCGCTGCAGTAGCTCTTTGTCTCATAACAGCGACACATTGTTTGAGATTCTGCTTAGAGTAGATCCCGAATGTATCTTTGAATACCTTCTTGTTTCGAAGGAATGGCTGAAGGTGATAACAAGTCCTTCTTTTCGGAGAACTTATTCCAAGAAATGGAAGGACTGCAATCCCAAACTTGTGGGATTTTGGGTTAATGATTGTATAGTTCAATTTTCTCAAGAATCCTATGGCCTGCATTATCAAATACCACCTGCTGTCCAGTTGTTGCCTACAAGCAAAGTAGGACGTTTTATCAATCAAAGCAAAATCATGGGTGATGCTGGTTATTTTATGGCTGCTACATCTAAAGATGGTCTCATACTATCTGGTATTAGCCCAAAGATGTATTATGTCAGCAATCCTCTCACCCAGCAACGAATTCGATTGCCTCCACCTCCCCTGCATTTTGAGCATGTCTCTACAGCAATCCTGTCATCCGAGGAGGAATTCCTTGATATTTGTGAAACAATCAGAAACTTTAAGTTTATATATGCAAAAGCGACGAACCCTGATCATTTTGAATCAGGTCGAAGCTCTGTTTCTATTCACACTTTCTATTCATCAACAGGCAAGTGGAATTCATCGACACTCAATTGCTCCACAGATTTTCAACTGCTCCCTGGAGGTGCTGGGGTGGCTAGGGGTGTTATTTACTGGAATGCTATATCCAATGGTCGTGGTTTCCTGGCTGCACATGATACTAAGAATCATCATGAGAATGGATGTCGCATCCATTTGATTGAGCAACCTATCCGCGAAAAACTCGATTCATTCAGTGATCTTGAAACATTCAATGCCAGGTGCCTCGGAATTTATGATGCAGCGTCTCCTGAAGGCTTTCTCCATTATGCTGAGGCTGATTTCAAACTCCTTTGCATTTGGGTTTTTGATGACAACAATTTAGAAGATGATGAAGTACAACAAAAGGTTGAACCCTCAGTCATTTCAAATAGTCGCTGGAGTTTGTGCTACAAGATAGATCTTATTTCAATGAGATTGAGAAATTCAGTAGCATTGAAGTCATGGTGTATTAAAATTGCACCAGACACGCCATTTGAATTCATATCTTTTGTTCCAGGAAGATCAGACTCCATTTTTATAAGGTGGGAAAAACAATTTTTTGTCTATCATATTGATAGAGAAAAGTTGGAACGGATATGTTTTTATCTCGATGAACATCATCATCCATCTTTGAAATTACAAGACTTCTGGTGGCTACTCAGGCACGTACCTTTGACACTATCGGGATGCTGGCCTTCATTGCCCTCTTCTATCTTCCATGAAAAAGACGGATAGAAATCTGTATTACGTAGTGAGATTATAATGTTATTCGTTTTCTTCTTCACCATAAGAATATCTCTTCCCTGTAGCTAGCACTCAACAATTCAAACTGATTTGTTAGTTGTTACCCTTAAGATTGTAATAACGAGTATGCTATGAATTATTCATTCTTTCTCTCTTGTTAGATAATTGTAGGGTGTTCTATAGTCAATCTTCCCAAGGTTTGTATTTGGTTGGGTACATGCAATTTTGTTATTCCACTAGCAAGTTTATTTTAATTTTCATCGATAGATGAAGAGTATGCCAAAGTAGTCAAGCTCACACTATGCTTATAGTATTGTACTACTCACTAGCTACATACATTTAATCAAGTATCAAGTAGGTCGTACGGTCTCTGGTTTAAAATTTTTGTTTTCATCGGGAAGTTTTGTCGAGATTGTAATTAACTTGGTTGAAGAAAATGTAACAAGGCATTCCTTAACAAAACAAATGATTGTTGTCTTCTAAACTGTGTTGACAACCCTTTTTTAGTACCTTGGTTTTGAAATATCTAGTAATGGTATTGGCTCATTGCCAGTTTTAAGGGCTTAGGTTGTATTGATGTTAAAATGAATCGAGTTTTCTGGATAGCTGTCAAAGTCTGCAGTGGCGCTGAATGTGTGGATTTGGACGAGTTGCACCTGTTGAAGCAGCCCTTGGAGGTAAATATCCAGACATACAAGTTTTTCACACTCTAGAGAGGCACTACGGAATCCACATTGAATACCTGTATCCTAATACTATGGAAGTTCAGGCTTTGGCTAGAAGCAAGGGCTTTTCTCCTTCGACAAGGATTGTCACCAAGGGTGCTGCAGTTTGAGGAAGGCTTCTGCCTAGACATCTGAATGTAATACATGTTTGTTACCAGCTACCAAAAAGATATTTCCTGGTACTCGATCTGAAGACCCTGTTGTCCAAGTGGATTACCAGTTGGACGGACGAGGCACTTTGGTTAAGTGGAATCCTACGGGCCGACGTTGAAAATGATAATATCTGGAACTTCCTATGCACCATGAATGGCCCAGTGAACTCCTTGTTCTCACAGGGCTATGCCTCAACTGGACATGAGCTGTGCTCAAGGCCTATCTTTCTAGAGCAACATGAGGGTACTCAAGGCCTTTCTCTCTTGGAAAACATGAGGGAATGAAGATCGTGTTTGGAAGATGCTTTACCTAAGGAGTGTGGTCTCCGCACAGGCAACAGGCGAGCCGGTTGTTTATATGCAATTGGAATTGCAACTGTTTCTGTTTATTTTTAATACCAGAATCTTGTGAAGCCTGACCTGAGCAGGCCAAGCAATGAAAAAAATCTACTCAAATTATGCGAATAGGAGATAGCCTTGGCTAGTGCTGCTTAAAGTGCCATGACGTTGTCTTTGCCAGGTAATTCAGAACATGTCATTTGATTTTTACGATATTATTTTGCTACCAATCTCATGTCAATTTGGTCAATGATGTTTAGGCAATGGAAGCATTATATCTTGCTGGCTGAGAAGTTGGCTGGTTGTGATGTAAAGGAAGCAAACTTCAGGTGGACAAATTGTGGACGGCAAAAATTGCAAATCCATAGCTTCCCCACAATTCTCTTCTTTTCCAGTTACAAGTATGGGTCTCGTTAAAAGTGTACCTGAGTGAACGTGAGATTGGCTTCAAACAACCTAGAAATGTCTCAAGTGTGTCCCTTTATATGTCAACTACGCATGCCTACTCGTCTCGACTTTGTATAAGCTCTTGTTGATTAACAATGTTTGCGGCTTGCCTGTCAACCTTCCTAGTTACTTATACATTGTTGTGCGTTATTTCTACTTATACTTCCCTAAAAAGTAATAACAATTGAAGTTTCTTTAAGGCGCAGCAAACATGTACACGAATCCAGATGAGCGACATGAAACAAAAGCACATGACAAGCAAAAAGCATGCAATCCAAGAGATTGCTTCCAAATAGCTGAAGTTGCATCAACAAAATTTAAAAAAAAAAAAAAAAATCATCCACCAGTGAGGTTGATTTTGATTGTATCTCAGTTGACACAAGTGCAATCATTCATTCATTCACTAGAATGCTTACCAAGTTTAAATTTATGGAAGAAATATGGGCCGCTTGTGATGTACGTACAATTTAAAAATTATGCTAAATGCATCTGCCCAGCACTGAATTGAAATCAAAAAGAGGGAAAAACTCAGAGAACTTGAGGAGCTATCAAAGGATGAGCATTAAAGAAAAACACACAAACCAAAAAAATATAAAGAAAAAAGATAAGACATAAGCATGTTCTGTCACATATATAGTTTGTCAGTATCCAACAGCCACAACAACGTGTCATAAGCACAACGACAATGAGTTCGATGGTAAGTCAATATTCAACAGCCAACCAATGTGAAACAGTAAGATGGTGGGCTGGGCGACATGGTAGACTAGAGTGTGTTGTTATAGGTAGATCGCAGATGTATAGTGACTCCCTTGTAATTTCAATGCCTCCCCCTGGACGGGATCCTGAATGAGAATAAGCAAAAGTGAACGAGTCAGAGCAATATAACTTTTTTTATTAGAAAAAACCCCAAGTAGAATTTGAAACTACGAAGTACACCTACCCAGCATGGGAAAAGCAGCATGTTAAACCAAGTACAGAAAAGTAGCAATCCCCCTTCTCACGGTACAAGGGACAAGGCCTAGGGATCTGCTGGCGATCTGGGGTGCGTAGCTCCCCGTTGTCATGAGCGTACTGCAGTGTTAACAATCAAAATCAGTATAATGAAATATAGCGTGCCCTACACATCAAAACCTAAAACCTTATGAATACAGCAATATCAGAAACAGAATTCAGAAGAAAAAGGAAGGTCAACAAAAAAAAAAAAACAAAGCAGAGAAGAAAAGGCAAGTAACAGCCTGATAAAGGAATTTGCTGACAATGCTACAATGTTTGTTGGCAAAGCTATTTAAGACAGACTCCAATTTTGCAGCCAAAAAAAGGAGCTTCCATGGAAGTTGTTAACAAGAAAAGGAATCTATTCTCGAGTGTGATTATTGTCACAAACAACAACATGAAAAAGCCAGAAGAAACCTAAAGGATCTGTCAAGTATTTTGATTTTTGCAAATATGGCGGTCTCTTCATGTATCAACAATTTGTCAGTAGAACTAGTTTTAATGATGTACACTGCCTGAGATCTGTAAGATTGAATCCTGGCATTTCTGTATGGCATTGTAGGAGTAGATTAAGGACATATTTCAAAGAATGCAATGCCACATATTGATGCTAAGAATAAAACTCACTTAAATGCTAATGACTCTTTCTGAAGTTTGGCATTTAACAAAATAGCAAAAAACGTTTTTCCATCTCGGTTCTATCCAAAACTAATAATATGAACTCTTACAACTTGGAATGGACCATAATTAAACTCTCAACAATCTCTCACAGGAGGTCAAATATGTACCCTCATTATAACCGACAACATTAGGCTTACTATTTATAACACAAGGTGAGTTACACATACCCAACACCGATTTCCATGAGGGCAAAATCGAGGCTGCCCATTCCCTCTCTTCCTCGCCCAAGCGCGGCAAAACTTCGTCTTGTAGGTGGAGAGGTCCCTCGGCATCCAGCCCAGGACAGCGTGCCTCGTGAGCTACAAAACAAAGTTCCACTTCAATAATACACGAATCTCCCCATAATACACCATCCAACAATCCAAGTAACAAGGGGAGAAACTGATTTCAAATAGATTTCAAAAAATTTCTAACTGTTGGAATGATGAATGAAGAATAACAAGTTATAAATCTAACTATATCACTCACATCAAGCCAGGACAACATGTGTTATCGAAGTACAACAAAAAGCTCCAAAAAATATATATATATATATATATACATCAGGAGAACACCAGTACCACACAAACATGATTATACACATGGAATTCTTGCAGCGGAAAGTATTAATTCCGTAATATATTGTATTCAAGTTAACGTGTACGACTAAAATCCCTACACATGCAACCATGATCAAGTTACGTGTATGACTGCAAGGAACTCTATTATTAACTTAATCACTTACCAAATTTCCTTATCACAACAGTGCAGCATTGAACTCAATATAGATCTTAGCTAATTTACCCTGAACCAAGGTTTTAATTTCACTATATTAGCTAGTATGTATCCTATATCCATATGGTTCTTAGATAGATGTACTTCAGTTACTATTATATTTGATTTTAAGCAAACCTACACATTCAATGCCAGCTATAGTCGCATTTAAAGCTAATTGCCATGGTATCAAGAAGTAATAAAGAATGGGGGAATATCCTGCCCAAAATAATGTTGGTTAATTAATGTCACCCTTACATGAAAATAAAGACACACAACTTTCCCATCGTTTCAGAGTTCTCAAATACAACACATAACAAGTAGGAGCCAACAATCGGAACTAAACAACCAACAACGGTTTTTAATACTCCATACACCCATCATTTAGAAGGTGCGAAGAAACGAGTAACATTTACACACAGAGCCACAAAAGGCACAAACATCTAGTAGATGCAGCCAGCATTGGTAAGCACATAACAAACATCTAGGTAAGCACATAACAAACATCTAGCAACAATGATCATATAGTCTCACATAAACCTAGTGTGACAAATCAAGGAAAACACTAGTGTCTCAAATGAAGATGCAATTCAAGTGTCAAAACCATATGCAATTTACGTGTCAAAACAAGCACAGAGTGTAAACTATTACACAAAACATACTAATCCACAACCATGCGCTGATAACACTTGTAACAATTCATGTTCTGATATCTTCATAAAACAGAACAATTATATTGACAGGGGTGTTACAGGTGGGTGACTTGTGACTGCGTGTGTGCTTTAATACACCAGGAGAACACCAGTAAGACACAAAGCTCAAAAGAAATCCACGCATCTCAATAATACACAATCGACAGTAACGAAACTGGGAGAACAAGAATTGTGGTGTACAGAATTCATAAACTCGACCAATTGAAGAATACGTGAACAAAGAATAAATCTGATGAACTTAACCTATCAATCGATAATCCAAAATCCAAGAATCAGACATCAAATTAACCCCAAGCAAACCAACAATTCCAGGAGAATCCCCGATCTGCAGAACAAAGCTCAGAAATTAGAGATTACCCTAGCTTTGTTCTCCTTATTTGCAAACGCGTTCACTGGTCTCCTCGCCATCGTTACCAACTTTTCTTCTTCCTCTCTGAAGCAACTTCTCCTCTTCTCCCTCTCTTAAGCAAATTTTTCCTCTTCTTCTGTGTGTGTGACTATGTGTAAGTTCGTAAGGCTGTGTAAAAAGTGTGCGTGAGTAGTATTTATAGATGGAGAAAATTTTGATAACAGATTTGGAATCGCCATTTCGATTCCGAGACAGTTAGTACAGAAAAGCGGGAAATGGAGAGGAGATAGAAATTAGAAACGGCGAGAGCTGCTGTCATTTAGAGTGTAGTACAATTTTTTTTTATTTCATAAGAACACACCTCAAATTTCACATTAATTAACATTTAACCCCTAAAAGTTTTTTACCATATAATTCCAAACAATTTCCTTACTACTGAAATTAAACTCATAAAAATTCTATTTCGCAAGTTGAGGCCAATGTCAAAATCTTACACTTTTCTTCCTATTTTAGGAATGAAGTTTGTTGCCCTCATCGTTTAGTTCAACAAGTAACTGGATCGAATGAATATCATATATAAAGTGAGTTTAAAACTAATCAATCCGTGTTCAATATTGCAATATATTATACATAATTTGGTTGATTTTCAATGATCCCATTTTGTTATATAAGATTGTGTGAAAGGGATATCAAATAAGAGAGGTGATGAAAGAAAAATGATAGAGACATCGGACAATAATTCCATCATGTGTTATTATTTATGGCATATAAAGTACAAAATCATTTGATATGGTATCCCTTTCACAATGAGGGCGTTTGTGCGGGTATCATTAAAAATTCCAACTAATACTTTCCATTCTAGTCCCTCCGTCCCATAATTATTGTCCACTTTGCCCAAAAAATTTTGTCCCAAAATTATTGTCCAATTTGACTTTTTATGGATCAAGTTACACATTTGTCCTTAGTAAAAAACATTATCCATAAAATCTTAGTGGTTAAACAATTACTTATGTAGAGGTATATCCGCTTGTTTAAGGTAAAATATAGTTAAGTTTGACCAAAAATAAAATCTTTTATTTTAGTAAAATTGGACAATAATTATGGGACGGAGGGAGTACATTATTATTACTTTTTCCGACCTAAAATAATTTTTCAATTAAAATTTTTGTTTTTTAGTTTAAATGATGTTAAAAATTAAAATTTAAAATGAATAATCATTTTGAGACAGTGACTTATTCTCTGTAATTTTGTATGAAGAGAATGTCATGAGCCTTAATAATTGACATTTGTATTTACTTAAATCTCACAATGTAGCGATATAATTTGTGGGAAGAAATACATCCGCATTTGATATTATGCATGGGATAATTTTTATCATAATGTGGTGCAAAGACTCGTGAAACCATAAAAGGACGTACTTATTGTCTATTGTCATAAATTTGGAGTGTTTGATTATAATACAGTTGGATTTTGAAAATTTGTTTTTTCAAAATAAAGGAATTTGTGATTTTAGAATTCATTCTGCAATTTAAATTTTCAAATTAGTTGACATTTTTGGAAAATTCCCCTATCAATATTTAACACTTACCATTTCGATAGTAGATTTGATAGCTGAAAAAGGGAAATGAAAAAAAGGAGGAATACTGACTCAAATAAAACTTTCATTGAATTGTTATATTGTAAACACCTCACAAAGTGCACATTATAACCTTGATTTATTGAATATATAAAACTTGAAATTAAAATCGAAGACGGAAAAGATTATACTTCCTTTATCTGGTCCTCATTGTAAATTACAAAAATGATTTAGCTCAATTCATAATTTACAATGTGAACTATTTTTAGAGGAGGAAGAAAATATAATTTATATAAGCAAGTATCACATGATGATAGCTCAAAAAGAAATGATATTGATCTAAAAAATCAAGTATTGGCAAGATTAGCATGTATAGTTTTTTTTAAAAAAAATAAAATAAAATAAAATAAAGGAGGATAATGAGTGCCACATAGAGATTATTTTTCCTTTTTTTAATGGGGGAAGTAATAATTTTCTCTACAAATTGGAGTACTAAAAGTTTACAACCAAAAATTAAAAAAATGTTAGGTTTAAAAGGATATTATCTATATTATATTATATATTGGAGTACTAGGAAATGAACTTCCCCTCTTCCCTCCCAAATTTTAAATGAAGCTTCCGCGCCAAAATGTCTTTTGCCTTTATTTTTCTTCGCCAAAGCTAGTTAAATCCCCTTAACATCTCAGCAAGCCTTTCTTTCTCCGTCAGGCTCGCCACTTCCATGATTCCGATTCTTGATTAATCAAGGTCAAATCAATGTTGAAACATCCGAAATTGGGGCTCTTTAACATAATAGAAGACTGCAGCTAACCTGTTTGATAAAATGCGTGAGTATGGAATGAAGCCTAAAGTGGCTACTATAGTGTCTCATTGGATGGTTGATGCGAAATCGCGTGGTTGGGCTGGGGAGATTTTTGTCGAAAAGTTGTGGGGACTTTGGCCAGTGAAGGGTGTGATAAGTTCGCGGACAGTGCAGCTCTCGGAAATGCCAATGTTTGTTTATGCAAAGAGAAGCATAGCTCGTTGATAGCAGAGGACAAATGACGCAGCGTCCTTTAGCAGTTCGCATATGGAGAATCGATTACTTGGGTCTGTAAATACGGGAGGTGCAATGGGGCAGCGAGGATCGTGTAGTTTAGGCGATGATGACTAAGAGAAGATTTACTCCATCTAGGCCTGCTGTGCTGTTGTATATCCTACAATTTTATAATGCCCTTTGTGCCAATGGCAATTTAATGGGAATATATATCAGTTGTCTTAAAGAAGGGTTCAGTTTCAGATGCCAATCCGCAATGTTTACTAATAGGTAGAGCTTCAGATACAAGATAGACTTAAAGGTCAATGAGGATAAGCAATTCAGTAGCATGAATTTGTATCATTTGGCTCCATTTTTTGTAAAGATGGGAGAGCATTTTTTGTCAATCACATTGGTAGCGAGAAGTTGGAAAAGATCAATATTATCTAGATAATTATGGATATCCACCTACATTTCCCGATTTTTGAAGACCGGAGAATTCTGGAGCATTTGTTCGTCGCCATCCTTTGATACTATCTGGAGCTTGGCCTTCTTTACCCTCTTCCATCTTTCCATGAAAATGCTGGATAGGGATCGATGGTAATTCATTAGGATTGCGGAGATATTGTATTGATGAAAAAAAAAATGTTTTAGTTTTTGTCTCTGTTGCGCAATAGTATCATTATCATTGGAATGGTTTAAATCATTAGAACTTCGATATTGTTGTTGTTTGAATGATGGATTCTAGTGCTTTCAGTGTGATATTCATTGTACGTTAATGTGATATATTTTCTTGGTCTTAAATTGCATTAAAATGTAATCCGAATCGGATAGTATTTGATGAAAGCAAAGTCCGGACAGTGAATTTCCATTCATAGACCAGAAAAATGGTCTTTGTGTTCTGAAATGTGTTCATAAGTCAGAGGGCAACAGAGGAAAAACTGAAAAAGTAAGGCTTTGTTTGTTAGGTATTTTTTATGGTTTTTTTAAAATATTTAAATAATAACTGTTCCATCTCAGCATAACTTTTTACATTTCCAATATATTTTTTTACATTCTCAATACAAAAAACACCTAAAAACACACACTAAAAAAACAAAACAAACATACCCTTAGTATGCACCCACAGCTAGTCTGCTACTCTTACAACAATCAGATAACCTCACAAATGACTAAACCCAAACCAAGCCATGAACGTAATCTTAACGGGCTTTATTAGACGAACCTACAATAGGAAAAAGACTTGAACGGAAAAAAAAAAAAAGAAGAAGTAACACGAAATATTAAATTCTCCCGTTAATGTTAAAAGTTAAAACATTTAATTTCCAAAATTTACTACTTTAAAACAATTATGAAATAATTGCTCGGAATTCCTCTCGGTTTGGTTTGTTGTTTAGTACGTTGTTTCAAAATTAAATGTTAATTACTGTCCCATTCCAACATATCTTTTTAAATTTTCAATACATTTTTTTACATTTTCAATAGAAAAAAAACCAAAAAACACACACTAAAAACGATCCAAACATAGTAAAATTAGGATAGTAGAGCCAACATTATTTCATTATTACAATTGTTCTAATTTATTTATTTATTTATTTTTGAAAAAAAAAAACCTCCTACACTGAGTAATACAACACTGTGAATCAAAACGCCTTAAAATTTGGACAAAGGAAATGCACTTTTCCTTTTCCCTCCAAAATTTAAATGAAGCAGCCGCGCCAACATCTCAGCTTGCTCTCTCTCTCTCTCTCTCTCTCTCTCTCTCTCTTGAGACTTAATTAAGAGGACCTCCTCCACTTCCGGTTCCATTATTCACTTGAGGACCAAGCGCAAAACGACCAATTAACCTTACTGGACTAAAAAATCCAAATTAAGTAAGTGCACTTTTAACAAAATGGACTGTGCAAATAAACTGTTTGATGAAATGCGTGAGTGTGTGTGGAGTGAATTTGCCTCGTAATGCATAAACATGATGTCGAACTGAGGGAACTTTTGATGGGAAAATCTGTGGGAAACTGAGTTTGATAAATCTGTTGAGCAGGGAAGCTCTTGGGAGTTTGGTAGATTGTTTATGCAAAGATGGATTATTTCCTTTCACCAAGTGTCAAATAGATAGCAGAGGAATATGCCTCGGGGAAATTAGTGTCCTTGAGTAGTTTACATGTGGAGAAATCACACATTTTCTCCGTAAATAGTGTCCTTCACTACTGCTATATATCAGGTCTTTTACAGATGCTGGAAATTTTGTGAAGAAGCTCTCCATCTGCTCCAGATTTCCAGCCCGATCTTGCGATGTATAATGTGCTAATTCATGGATTATATTGAATACAAGTCTGGGCAGATGACTGTAAAGCCTCCTGATGCCATTGTTAATCTTTTTTCTTTTTTTTTTTTAATGGACTTTGCCATTTTGAGCCATTAGATGAGAAGCTAATTGAGAAGTTCATTCTCCCCTCATTCCATCATCGATGAAAAGTGAATCATATGAAAAAAAAGAAATGCAAATTACTTTCACTGTCTTTAAAAAACCAAAAAGAAAAAAAAAAGTATTTCTTGTTGTACTTGTTGACTCTCTTGTAATATGTTGTATTGTATAGCTTGTTTCTTAATTGGTCTTGCCATACAAACAAAAAAAAATTAAAAAAAATCATTCAAATTGGGAATTAATCCGAATTGTTCTTTCTATGAACCAAACTGAAAGTCATGTTTGTTAAATTATTACAAAAAATATACTATATATATATTTTAAAATAAAATTAGAATAGAGGGAGTACCTCTATTTGTTTCAAATTCACGAGTATTTAATAATGTATTTTCCATCTCTTCCGAATAAATTATTTATAATTTTTTTGGGCATCCCTTAGTGGTAAATAAACGACACCAATAAGGTGAACCAAGTTCTTTAAATCTATTCCTTTTTTTTGATAACATTTTTAGCCATTAAGTAGTGTGGACATGCTTTGATAATTCTAGGAAATTTTTATCACTATACAGATTTGGGGGGATTGACGATGACCAATGGACATATTAATAAAAATTTATGATAACAGATTGCAATTATTTTTGCAGTAAAAACCTTATACACCAGAATAAAGCATAAATGCAATTTTTAACTAAAAACAGAAAGAAAAATGAATGTTTAATAGCCGTTACCTTCTTACATTCGAGAAAGAGCTGTCACCGTCAAAAATAAAACCAAAACTATAAAAGAAATTCCACAAATATCTACGCAGCTTTTTGAAGTTAAAATGAAAGGCGAGAAAACATAGATATAGATAAATGAAATTCAAGAAGAAAAACATAGGAATAAAAAAAGTCCTATAAACGAATTTTTGTTCAACAAACATAATTCTAATCATGAGACGGAAGGATTATAGTATTATTTTAGTAATTGTTATTCACCTCATAAAGCTAAAATTACTATGTTAAAAAAATAATTTCAGCAATTAGTATATTATTCTTTACATATTTTCCTTATACGTCCATCATGCTAATTCATTTGAAAATAATTTTATAGTATAATGACAATTTAGAATAAAACAATGTATCGACTAAACAGTTAATACTGTCAATATATATCAAGTTTTAATTTAAAATTAAATTAATTTTTCATGCTCTTAAGATTAAATAATTTGTTTCTAAATATTGTATGATTTTCATGAATCATATATTGAGCGGAGATGAGTATTTCAAAGGTTCAAGAGAAGGCAAAATGAGCGGGAATGCCAAAAGTTTGAGTCCTTTCCTTTCCCTCCTCCCCCAAATATTTCTTTTATTTGATTTTTGTTTTTCTCTCTGGCAACATGAATTTCCTTTTGCGCAATGTAAACAATATTTTGATATGAAAAATCTCTAAAATAATAATACCATAAATTTTGATGAGAATTTTTATCTTGCTATAATTTTCACATACTAATAATCAGTTATAATAGTTATTTTAATCCCCCAAATATAAATACAGAAAAAAATATGTATCCAAAGTAAGTCTAGGACGTATAATTTTAGTTTGATTATTATTTTCAAAAAAATAAAATATATTAAAAATAGAAATTTGGAACACGCACATAACAAAGTTAATTTCCAAAGAAGTACACGAAGCCCTTTTTTGTCAACAAGAATAACTAAGCTAACTTTTGGAGCTTTAATCGTCAAAGTATGTATACCTAGTAAAATGCATTGACAAAAAAAGTATCATAACTTCTTTTTTCTTTTACCAAATATATCACCAAAAGAAAGTAACAAGATCACTGTATAAGTATTTGTCGAACGAAAGTAAAAGAATTTATATATGGAAATAAGTTTTCTACAATGCCTAAATATATCAAGTTCGTGCAGACGTCGTGGAATTTGATTTAAAATACTAGAAATTCGTATGAATAATTTTATTTTCTATTGTCGCAATATATAATATAGACTTTTTAAGAATTGTGATATATTTTGCTTATGAGGAATCTATATGTTAGATATTAATTGTATTATTCTTTTTTTGCTCCGGAAGTGCACGCCTCTTTTTTTTTTTTTTGAGTCCTCAAAATATTTACACCTAATATAGATTCCCAAATTTCGAGTTCTTTTTATTTTTAAAATTCATCACAGGTAAAATATATTAAAAGTAAAATACATTATGAAACATTTATCAAATATACAATCTATCAAAATTAATGTTTTACCAAATATATTGTCACCAAAAAGAAAAAGAAATTAAAGAACACACTAAAATTTTTTGTCAAAACAAAGACAAAATTTTCCTTGTCTCGTAATTTCATTTGTGAAAATTAGATTCATACGGTTCGCAACACTTTTATATCAGAGTCAAATAATTCACACGGTTATAGTAAAATATCAAGAAAATATTTCATATTTGTACGAACATCATCAGTTATTTTGTATTTACTCTATATAATAATTTTTTTTTAAAAAATAAACATTCATATTCATATGTATAATTCAATAAACAAAATCTTTAATTAATTCAATAAATGAAATTAAACATTCACCCGGAATTTTTTAAATCAATATTAAAGAATAGCTCAAAATTTAGTTTTAAACTATTTAACAACCACAGTAACCTCGACGGAGAGGCCGTACCATCGATCCAACCAACGACCACAGTAATTTTTTTTTTCGACACAAATGATGAAATTGACGGTATGACAATTACAATAATTTTTGCGTGTTGAATAATATTGTGTGATTTAATAAGGATGAATTATTTAGTTACGGCACTATTATTATTATTCGTATATCGTAGGGAAAAATAATAGAGAAGAAAAAATTCCAAAAATAAAAAATAAAAATACAAGAAGAAGGGTGAAATAGAAAATAAAAAAGAGGCCAAAATAGGTGAGGTAGGCACACAAAAAATGCACATCTTAATCCTTCCCCAACGGTCCAAAAACAAGACCAGCCCCAAACCCAAAAGCCCTTTTTCTTCTGTCTTACCTTCCCGATGTTCCCAATTCTCTCCTTCTTCCTCCTCATAATAATTCCCCTAATTCTCCCCACTACTATTTTTATTTCTCTCAATAAATTCGTATCCTCTTCTGATTACAATTTTTAGAAGATTACTCCTAAAAATCTTATCTTTATTTTTCTTTCTTTTTCTCCTCCTCCTCCTCCTCCTCTCCCCCAGAAAATCGAAAACCCATAAAACCCTTCTTTTTCTTCTATTTCTACAATTCTACTCAAACTCTGCAATTCTTTTCTTTTCTTTTTTTTTTTTGTATTTTCAACAAATCTATTAAAAACCTAATTGAATTTCCCCTTTTTTCTTCTATTTCAGTTTTTAATTTTTCAATAATTGTATTTTGTTTTTTTTTGAACCCATCGGTCTTCTTCCGTGAGCTTCAAAACCCATATAAATCTGCAGCTACAAGTACTGATACCCCTCCTCTCTCTTTTCTCTTTTCTTTTTTTTTTTTTAAATACTCCCTTTTGTGGGTGTATTTTTAAGAGCAAGAATTCGAAAAAAAAAAACCAAAAAATTAAATGCAGTTTCTCATGGACCCACAACAACAGCAACACCCACCACCACCACCACCGCCCCAGCCAGCTGCTCAGCCGTCTCCTCAAGCTCCTCCGGCGCAGCTCATGTTTCAGCAGCCGCCGGTGCTGGTGGCTCCTCCTCCTCCGCAGCAGCAGCCAACTCTTCCTCCTCCGCTGCAGCAACAACAACAGCAGCAGCAGCAGCAGGTGGTTCCGGCGGCTCCCGCCGGCGGTGGTGGTGTGTCTCCTGCTCCGATGGCGGCGGTTCAGCCTCAGATTCAGCCGTTTACTCAAGTGCCTGTTAACCCTCCTACGCCCAATCTGGTTTCCGTTCCTGTCGGAAATCACCCACCTTATGCTCAGGTCTTTTGTCAGTCAGTCTGTAAAACTTTTTTTTTTTTTTTTTAATTTGAATGTTGTTTTGTCTGGATCTTATTTTGAAAAAACAAAATTATCATGATTCAAAGGTGTACTGACTCTTTAGAGTGTGTGTGTGTGTTTTGCAGATGATTTCAGAGGCCATAACGGCTTTGAAGGAGAAAGACGGGTCGAGCAAGAGAGCCATAGCTGGGTTTATCGAGCGAGCCTATGGGAACTCGCTTACTACCAATCACTCTGTTCTGTTGACTAGCCATTTGAAGCGTTTGAAAGACCAAGGTCTCATCGTCATGGTCAAGCACTCCTACAAGCTCCCTGATCCTAATCACATTGCTGCTGCTGTTAGATCTCCTCCTGTTGACCCTTCCCAACCTTCCATTCCTGCCTCCAATGGTCCCAAGCGCCGCGGCCGTCCTCCGAAGCCCAAAGCCGCAATTCCGGTGTCCTCTGTTCCTCCCCAGCCTGGTTCCGTTGACCCTGCTCCTGTCCCTGTTCCGGTTCACATCCCACCTGCCCCTCCGGTCACCAATCCTGCTCCTGGTACCGACCCGGTTTCCGTATTTGCTTCTCTCGGGCTGTCTGACGGGCCAATTCATGTGCCGGTGGCGACGGCGGCTGATCCAAGCCCAGCTCCGAGGAGGCGTGGCCGCCCCAGGAAGGCTGAGCCTGTTGGGGCTCCGCCTCCGCTCCAAGTGAATGCCACATTGGCTAAGAGATCTCCTGGGCGCCCACGCAAGGTTGCGGCTAAGAATGCTGTGAATGCTGCTGCTGGTGGGGCCGTTGCTGTGATCCCACCAAAGGTGCAGCTGCCCAAGTTGAAGAAAGATGGGACTCCCATGAAACCCCGTGGCAGGCCGCCGAGGAAGAATGTCCCGGTTCTGAATGCGGATGCAAGTGTTCCTGTTCCTGTTCCTGTCCCAGGTGCTACTGGTGCAACTATCGCACCTGCTGTGTATGTTGGTGAGGGGGCTCTGACCGTTACCCCTGCTCCTGGCCCTGCTCCGGGAGCCAAGCGCCGTGGTAGGCCTCCAACAAAAGCTCTAAAAGTTCAGAATGGCCCCAAGAAGGCTAGGAAGCTGAGTGGAAAGCCTCTGGGTCGACCAAAGAAGGTAAACTTCAATTCATATGATCATCAAGTTTTAATTTTTATTTATGTTCTCTTGTTTTTTCATATTCGTTTCAATTTTTGGGTTGATTGTGGTACATTTTTAGGGAATAAAAACTGTTTTTTTATGTGTGAAAAAATACTTGACTTGAATTCAACAATTTTCGGAAAAATTTATCTGGAGTTTTGAATTAAACCCGTATGATTTATCAGTATGTCACTTTTAAATGTGTTCTATGTGGTTACATAAGTAAATATTAGTTCACTGTCATTGAATTGCTTGAGAAACTAGTTTCTGGTGTTTTATTTGTTAAACTTGTGTTGCTGATGATATGTTTGATTCAATTAATTTCTGTTAGCATAACAAGAAATGAAAAAACTTATATGACTGGTGTTTTAATTCAAATGGTCTTATTCTGAGCAATTTCTTAACCTGCATAGATCCAGAAATTTTTAAAAATAATTTGGCAGTTGCAAAATAAGAGAATTATTCTTGGAGCTAGTTTTTCTCCTTTTTTTTTTCCGGTTATTTCTGCTCCATGAGCTTCATTGTTGAAGTTTCTTTTGTCAATGACTCCCTCCCGTTCAAGAAAATAAAAATCTTTTGTTCTTTTAGTTATAAATTGAGAAATCAGTAATAAAAAATAATTATTCAAATTCTTGTTATCTTTCCTGGCATTGTCCTATTATTATCTTAAAATGCTTTTAAAAAAATAAAAGCAGTAATTTTCTTGTGACAAAAAAAGTTTATTAGTTGGTTTTCATTTAGGGCCTTTACTAGCTAGTTGAACATTCAACGCTGTGCTACCCCAATGCTGTTTTATTTGCATTGGATGACTGATTTATGTAGTATTTTGGTCTTTTGGTGATTTAGGTAGTACAAATTGTTGGCTTTAAACTCGTGCCTAACTCAGGATGAAGGTTGAAATGTTAAAGGGTTGAACTCGTTTACTAACTTTGAGATTAACTTTAGTGGGTGTCAAGATTGTTGTTCGTGATTACTTGATTCCATTTTAAATAAATCTATTCTTGTGAGTCGGGAAGAATTATCAATCAACTGCTAAAATTAGTTTGAATTAGGAACTGCTAAAATTGATTTTTTGTTGTTTTCAAATGTAGTAATCACTCAAATTTCTAAAGACTAAAAGGGTAAACGTATTAATTGAATTTGCTTTTAGCTGCATATAATTAAACTGACGCTTTTTTTTGGGTAGTTTCACATGGTCTAGGTGCTTGAAAAGCAATGTTTTTGCATTTAACCTGTCAAAAAGAAATAGTCTTGAGGTGTGTGCATTAGTCCAAGTAAAAGTAGGCAGCCAGAAAATATTGGATTATATGTTCTTTCAAGAATTTTCTCACTGTGTTGTAGTTGGATGTGCAACTTGAAATGTAACTGCAATGTCGCTGTATTCCATCTGGCATTTATTTTGTTGTCGATATCGCCGAGGTGCTTAGCATTGATGATAATAAGTTAAAGCTCTTCATGAGTGCAAGATATCTTTACCAAAAGAGGCTAAATTGGATGACTTTATGTTTAAGCCTTAAAACATAATTTCTTTGTTTCCCTCGGTAAAATGTAATGTCTTGCTTTAATTCACGAGTTTATAAATTCTTTTCCTTTTTATTTCATTTCCTAATCCCATCTGCATTGATTTATGAATTATTAATCTATGCCGAAGGAGTGTATTTCTTTTCGAATTCTTCGAATCAGATTACAAAGGGGCAACAGGTACTTTGTGTTACTGTTATGAAATTCCACAAAATTGTTTGAACAAGTAACTGTGTGCATTGTCGAAGCATATTACAAATGGCAATAGATATTTATTATAGGTGTGTCGTTTGTGTAGTTTCACGTGAAGTTTTAAATTTAGTGTCGGATTAAGAATATCTTGAGATTTACAAAATCCTACTCATCAGCAATGAAGATAGTGTACGTTTTTTCTTGTAAATTTTGGACGTGTTATACTTTAGTCAACAACCGTTAGGAATTGGGGCCCTTACTCGTCGTGAATAATGTGATTGTTAAGTAGGATAGGATTTAGTGTTTTGCGTAAGCGTTATGCTTTATATTTTCAACGTTCTCGAAAATTGTCAAATAACTCTCGTTTTCCTTGTTTACAAAATTTGTCACAAGTGCCACCATGTTGAGTGAATAAAATCCTCTTGAAATTAATAATTTTAAGCATGCTTAAGAATGTGTTAGTGGAAAAGAGAAAACAAATGGATTTTAGAATCTTAATTTATTTTTTTGAATCTACAATGACTAATTAGTACAAAGTCATAAAATAGCTAGACGTGTCACAATGCGCCTGCCTGAAATATGTTCAGATCCTACTGGTGGTGCTCTTGCATATAAACATCCTTCCAATGTTACTCAAAAGCCACGTATTTCTGGCAAGTCATAGTTCTGTATTTAACTTTATTTGGTTATTTATATTTTCTGGCAATTTAGGAATGTAAGTGGACATATTTACTTAAACAACATTATAGATTGTGTACCTCTTCTTTTTTAAAGGAGTAAACCATTGTCTTTATTGTCGAAAGAGGAGTGATAATGATAATTAGTTGAATGCCAATCTCATGAACCTTTGGAAAATAATCTTATACAAAGCTATTAACATGTTTTGAATTTTTTAAACTAAATTAACATTTTAGAAATCTGGTATAGTTGTTGTTTATGTGTTCATAATTTGTTCTTGCTAAATAGGTGTTTTTCATGGGGAGTTGTCTTCAGCCTTCAATTTTCACTACTACTTAAATTCTATTTCATTGTCCGTGTTAGTATTTTATTGTTGTATTTTTCATTGTAATTCTTAGTTATTGCTTTGATTTTTAACTAGAGTTTTTTTTAAAAAAAAGAAGAATATTAAAAATATTATGGTGCAAACTGTGTGGTCCTCATCTTCCCCTTTTTTGTTTTGGGGAATACGTCATTAAGTCTATTTATCCAAGGTGGGTTTTCATTTGATTTGGGGGAAATTGGTGAAGATGTTTAAGTTGCTCAAGGTGAACTATTTACCATCTCCAAAATCTTGTTTAAAATAGTAGAAGAAATGTATACATGTGCAATGTAAAAAAGGGATACTGTAATGGTTCTAATTCGAAGTTTTTGTTATGTGATGCATTTTGTGTTTGGCATTGTACTTAACAAGACACCAAAATGAATTTTATCAACTTTTGTTTGTTTCTAATGTGTTCAAATTGCAAACTTGCTCCTACGGTGCGATTAACTGCGTTTTGTGCTGTTGCTTTGTTTCCTGGGATCCTAGTTTGCTCCACAAGTTCAAGGTGCAGGCGTACCACATGCTGTACCCTATGATGAGATGAAAAGGAAGCTTGAATTCTATGTAAGTTGAAATGTGTTTTCATCAAATTTCTATATCAAAGATGCCAGTGACTTTCCAGTTTCTCAGTGTGTTGAGGCTCCATATTTTTTTGGCAGCAAATGAAAATCAAGCAATCAGTCAATGTCCTGAAGCCGTGCATAGACAGTAACACAAACGCAGCAGGTGCCTTGAATGCATTGAAAGAGCTGGAGGAGCTAGCAAATGGGGGATCAGCTGCAGCAGTGGCAACTGTTCCAGTGCAGCAACCTCCTGTGCAGAGTTGATTGTAGCTGCTGATTAGTCCCGGGATAGCGGAGGTTTTAGAATTGACAGTCATTATTCTGTAGGTTTGTAGAGGGTTTGCTTTTAGCCTTCGAGAGTCATTGTTGCACAAAACAGGGCTTGCGGTGAGATTGAGATATATATAGTTCATGTGGATGATGAATGTGCAAGAGTGAACTTGTTTTTAGTTGGTAATTTGGCGGTTGTTAATGTTATTAGTGACCCTGAATGATGACAGTCCATAGGAAGAAGCTCCAGTGTATCTTTAAGAATATTGTTGTCTTTGATTTTTATCTCAGTAGCAGTTAAAACAAGTCAAGCTTTTATTAAGTTAGGAGATCTTTTGAATTGTGTGTTTTTTTTTCCTTGTTTTTTTTTCCCCTTTTGTGTTAATTTATACAGCGTCATATTTGCTCCGTCTCATGTTAATAGTTCATTTTTGTTGAACTAAAAGAGTATAATAAAATAAATTATTAAAGTGAAATGAACTGATGTTTGTGCCTATGTGATAGCTGCAAGTTTTTTCTTCTCCCGCCCCCTTTCAAATCTGATTTTGTATTAAAGAAAATTTTGACACTTTTTAATTACCCGATTTGAAAATTTATACTCTCTATATACATGAAAAGTATATATTGGAAATTATGTAACATGCTGCTTTTTGTGTATTCTTTTACTTGTGAATTAAACTTTTAAGAGTTGTTTGCAAAAAGTATGGTCTAAATTATAAAAGGATAAACATTAACACCAAAATGTTATTGCAAAAGTAGATGACTATGTACTATGTAGTATTTCTAACTTCCTCTTCGTATGAGATTATTATGATATTTATTGTATCATTTTTAGCGTGTTTAACAGAATAATAATTTTAAGACGAAATGAATAATATTTTTAAGAGTTAATTCATTAAAACCCCCTGTAGTATTCCAAAATATTTGATAACCCCCTTGTGGTATAATAATATCCAATGGAACCCCTTGTGCTTTGTCCGAGATTTGTAATGTGAATGTCACTTGCTAAAGTTAACACTATTAATAAAATTTTTTGTTTTAACCCTTTACTTTTGGCATCTTTTTCTTCTTTTTCCTTTTATAAATAGTTTTCGTCATTTTTTTCTTCTTTCATGTTTAGTTCTTCGAGCTGATTTGTTTTTCTTCTTTCCCCGTGAACATGATGCAAAAATTTCTTTGTTTTATCTCTATATGTTTAGACATACATATATACATTTTTTTTTTTCCAAAGTTGATATTTTCTTCCTATGAAAATTTCATTTTATTTTTTTCTTCCTTGAACCATATTGTCAAATTCCATTACCATCATCAAATTTTAAAAATCAAGATGATGATCTCCGGATAATCCACATAACAATAATGGACCTATGAATTCTCATGGCAGTAATAAAAACATTCAGAAACAATCCAATTACTATTGAAAACTAAAAACAAAAGGAAGTTGAGTTTTCTCCTTAGGAAATTATTCGGAAGAAAGTGGAAGAACTAAGAAGCCCTAATTATCTTCTAAACAATAAACTTGAAAATTGACTTTTATGGTTTTTCAACTCATAATAATCTCTATAGCCACCATGATCCCTAAATCAGCAGCCACCAAGAGCTCAACCCACCTCTAATGACCATCGTCAATAGGCGACCACCATCAATTTCAAATCAGAAGATTTTCAAGACCCAGGTGCAAAGGTCATCTTATCCATACAATCATCACATGTGATAGAGGGAAGTGATGCGAGAAAGAGAAAGAAAGAGGGAACAGAGGAAGAAGATGCAGAGAAGATGGAAACTGTTGGTAGCTGCAAAAATAAGAAAAAAAGGAAAAAAACTAATAAAGGAAGAAGGATTTTTTGGGAATTAAAATTATAAGTCAAATTATATTCACAAAGTCAAGTTGCAAGCATCGCGCATGAGGTGCAGTGAAGGCTATTTTTAACTCCTTCTGTCAATTTACTAACGTCGGACAAAGCACATGGGGTTTCATTACATATTATTATACCACAAGGGGTCATCATGTACTTTGGAATACCACGGGGGGTTTTAATGAATTAACCTTATTTTTAATTTATTGTTACAGTGAAAACTATGGGCCATATCTTATTTTCCACAATCAATCGGCTGATCCAATATTCTTGTGATTTTTTTTTTCAACCCTCAAGGTCTCAAATTGATTCATTTCGGTGTTGTCCATGAAAATAAAATAAATCCGATGTCTCCAAATGATAATTTAACCATTATTTTAGAACGAAAAAAATAATATTTGATTCAAATTATTTAAAATGATTGAAAAATTTTATAATAATATGCTCAGAAAATAGATGAGTTGTTCTGCATAGAAGTTATCCAAAAGAACCACTTTTTTTGAATCTTCTTTCTTCAAGTCCCACGAATTGGAGAAGCCCACATAAGCACTATTTTCATTTTAAAAAATAGTAAAAACTGTTATAAGAAAGCATGCCAAAAGAATTCAATCGAAATCAACGTACAACCGTAGAAATTTTTATTTTATTTTTTTTTGACATGACATACAAGTTATTATTTCATTAAAGTAATTCGAAATTTCAAGCCAAAGACCAGCTACTTCCACAACTTTTTTTTTCTTTCCTTTTTGTTTTGTTTTATAGTATTTGATGATGATTATGATGTTGATGATCAAATCAAACATATCTTCTTCCCTAATAATTAACGATTGATGTCGTTTGCATGGTCTCCTTTACAAGTTATGTTAATGTCATAAAGGCAAGAACAAAGAGTATTTTAGTTGCATTTTTTTTTTTGTAAAAGTCCATTATGCCAAACCATGAAATTTTCTCTTCTTTTTTTTTTTTGAGTTAATAATTGAGATTTGGTGAGTTGGAAAATAGGGGTGATAATTAGTGGCACTGCAAGACTGTATTATAATAACTCAAAATCTACTCAAATATTCCAAAATGATAATATTTCATTTAACGAGCAACACCCAACTACTAGTTAAATAATAGTGACTCTTGAGAAATGTATTGGGATTATATAGTGAAAACAACATTGATACCCTTCACGAGGATTTTCACCAATCAAACCTCCAAATGTGATATATGACCCGATTAAGTTGGATTCTCAATAACCATTTTCGTACTCCCCGATACTTAGTATAAAACATTTTGATTTGTCCTAAGTTTCATTTAGTATGTTATTTTAATTGGTAAAAAAATATTAAAAATATGTTTTCACATTTGTTGTGTTTTCTTGATTGTTATGAAATATTTTTAAGATTTTTTTCAATTAAAAATGCATAACAACTGAAACATAAAACAAATAAAAATGTTTAATATTAAGGACCGGAAAAAGTATTAATTTGATAATTTCGTATAAAATATACTTTTATACGGCACTACATTTCCAAAAGAAGAAAGATTGTTCCTGCCAAATTCTGCCTACATCTTTTGCTAGATACCTTCCTTTTTCCCTTTTCGTTTGATACAATATCTCATATTATAAGGAAAATGAATCTCAATTACCATTGTCGAGGCTAAATACCATGCGTTATAAACAAATAAAATAACATTTCAGTGTTAAATTGCTTGCAATTATCATCATAAAAGTCCAACTTAAGAGTAATAATTTTTTTTTTTTTTTGGGCGGTCTAATAATTGAGACTTTACCCATCCCATAGATATAGCAGTTTTTACTTTTCTCATAATGTTCTGATAGGAGGATATGGGAGTGTCTATTGTCCACGTTAAACAAAAGGAAAAAAAAAAATGATGGGTCTGAAAATAGCAAATTCCCCAAGTTGATTTTAATGGCTTCTTTTTCTTTTTTTTTTCCACTCTGTAAAATTTTCCAACTCATCCTTCCAATTTTTTTTTTGAAGTTTTCAATTTTCCCTGATTTGAGACTGAACCCAACCAATCACAACTCGGGTTTCTCTTTGCAACAACAACTACTTTTCTTCTTGAACAACATTTATTACTTTTCTTCTGGACTTAGGAATAAAAGGAAGAGAAGCAAAAAACCATCGTGACTGGAAAAACTGCAAGTGGGCTATTATCATCTTTACTTTGTTCTGTTGATGTCTTACTCCCCACTTGTTGTTGCTCGTTTACTGTCTTTTCTCTGCATTTAAACTCATCCCCTGATGCTTTTTCTCTTTAGTAATTAGTTCTGGTACTGAAGGAATTAAATTGTAAATTTTCTTCCTTTTCTGTATGGAGTGATGAAAAGAACAATCTTTTGATGGAGATGCATGCATATGTCTAAGTTTGTTTTGATTTGGAATTTGGTTGATGTTGTATCATTTTCGAGATTGGGTTTTTTTTTTTTTACTGGTTAGAAGGGTGAGGAAAGGTGGGGGGGCATTCATTTGCTTTAGTTGGGCATCTGGGAAATGATATAAAGAAGCAAACTTTACTGTATGTTTTTGGTGGAAAATTGGAATGGATTTGATGGGGCGTTTTGGAGTTTTGTCTGGATGTTGACTTGAAGGGCCTAATTGGGGTAGCTTAAAAATGTGCACTTATTGTGTTCGTGAATCGTGACTTTTTGATACCAAGAATCCATGCTTGGAGAGAGACAATGGAGAGGTTTAAGGCCAGAAGTTTATTTTTGTAGTACTGGCTACTGTGGTTCACTGAAAAGAACATGAAAAATCTCCTTAAGAAACTCCAGTTTGGGTCCAATCAGTCTGAGGATACAGAAGGGTCTATTTCATCATCAAAAGGGCATAGGTTAAGTGATGTTTCATCCCCTGAGGGTTCTTCACGCTCCAGGTCCCCTCAGAATTCTGAGAACAAACCCTTTTCAACTATATCTGGGTGGTTGAATTCAGTTACACACAGAAAGAGCCCAAGTCCTCCTTCCTCTTCCAATGTGCCTCGGGGAGATAGAATGGAACCAAGTGATTCCGTGAGTAGTAGTGGATTGGATTCAGCTTTGGATGCTTTGAGGCATGATTCAGAGTCCAGTAATTCAAGGGATCCTGATATTGAAGAAGAGTATCAAATACAATTGGCTTTAGCGTTAAGTGCAAGGGAGGATCCTGAGGCTGTTCAGATTGAAGCTGTTAAAGATATCAGTTTAGGCTCTCTACCGCCTGACAATACACCGGCAGAAGTTATAGCTTATAGATATTGGGTAAGCTCTGGCTTATAGTCTCATCATTCTGGAATCTGTTCTCCCCAGATTCTGTTGTTCAAGTATTCTGCCCTTACACTTCTCTATGCATCTATTTGTACTGAAGGATCATGGTATTTAGTTTTTTCTTAGCTAAAGCTGATACATTTGTCAGATTACTGCTTTCTAGGGTACTCTTCTTGATTCAAGGTGGTGTGAGTTTTTATTCAATTGATACTTGAATTACACTTGGAAATTGTCGTTTACTTGTTCTGCCAAAATTTTCTCTTTTCCTGATTGACAATTACTAGGGATTCTGAATAATGCCATGTGTGCAAGTATAAATATTGATGACATACTAGGTAATTTCTTAATTGAAGTACCTTTGAATGTATCCATGTGGTATTCTAAAGGTCAGGGTGCTGTGTCACCTGTGGAGGGGAAGTTTATTGGATCTTTGGGGAACAGTTTAGAAGAAAAAAGCCAGCACACCTGCATTAATGAAGAATGGGGCTGTAGAAATTCAAATGGTCATGGTTTACGTTTAGATCAATAGCTTCTAGAAAGAGAAGGATCTATCCTTTACATGTGTCTTTGCCTTCCTCTAATTTGGAGGTTGTACCCTGGATACATAGATCAACTTATGTGGTAGGATATGTCTGAGATTGGCAAAAGGTTGATTCAATAGTTGAAACCAAGAGGTTGAACAGAAAATGCTTTAGTTTAGTGCAAATATTTGCAAAGAAAAAATAACTCATTCAACTAGGTTTCTGAGGATGTATCCTGATATGTAGCTTTTTCTGTTACCTTCACGAGGAATAAGATTGTGAATATTGGAGTCTTCGATATTTTCCCAAGTATATTCGGGAAATGATGTACATATTAAAGTTTTTGTGTTGGATAAATGTGAAAACTTGTGCATGAGTTCAAAGACATCAAAGATTATTTATTTTTGAAAATTTTTATCTTTCTGGAATCTGAAGCATTTACCCATAGTGACAATCTGTATTTGTTCATCCTATTGTTTCTATATCCTGTGAGTACTTGAAGTATTATCTTGCTACCTATCATGACACATCAAGTTTAGTGGTTCTGTAGTTAATATCTAATTAGTTGTCAAATGCAAGCTTATGAATATATTGCTACTGTTTTAGGTGCTCTAATGCAAGCTTTTACACTATTTTCTTAAAAGCTTTCTGACACTTAGAATCCCTTGAAATGTTGGCCATTTGTTTTGTGAAATCTTTGCTCCTTAGTTTCAATTGTGCCCATGGCCCGTGGTCTTGCAAAATTTCTTTAATCCTGCCTCATTTTTGTTCTTTGCGAAGAAATGATAGACTGAATGCACTTAGAGGACTTTTTTTTTTGGTGTAGTTTACCCCTGTGAGGAACTTACTGAGATCTTAACTTTTGAAGTTCTAATTGCTTTTTTACTCCCCATTATCTTCTCTGCTGAATGGCACTTATAGGATTTTTTTTTTTTTTTTGGGGTGTAGTTTACCCCAGTGAGGAAGTTACTGAGATCTTAAGTTTTGAAGTTCTGATTTTTTTTTTTACTTGCCAATATCTTCGCTCCTAAAACTTCAGTTTCTTAGTATTCTTCATACCTTTCTAACATATCTCATATTTATAGATTTATCCATGCTTCACAGAATTATAATGCTCTGAGCTATGATGACAAAATCCTGGATGGTTTTTATGATCTTTATGGCATCCTTTCGGAGTCTACTTCCTCAAAAATGCCCTCTCTCATCGAGCTTCAAGGAACACCTGTTTCTGACAATATTACTTGGGAGGCTGTATATGTGAGTAAAGCTGCTGATACGAAGTTGCTGAAACTTGAACAAAAAGCCTTAGAAATGGCTGTAAAGTCAAGGTTGGAATCTGTTGATATTGTAAGCCGTGAACTGGTTACAAAACTTGCCCTCTTGGTTTCTAATTACATGGGGGGCCCTGTTGAAGATCAGGAGAAGATATTGATAGCCTGGAGAAGTCTTAGTTATAAGTTGAAGGCAACTCTAGGAAGCATGGTTTTGCCCCTTGCTTCTTTGACCATTGGATTGGCCCGTCATCGTGCTTTGTTGTTTAAGGTATTGAAAGCAATCAAATTGATGAGGAGTGATGTTGATTCTATCATTTTTTATTATTTCATTCATCTAGACTAATAATGTTTTCTATGATTCATTAGGTATGTTAATGATGACAACAATAGGTTAACAGTGAGTATTGGAAAAAAAAGATTCATTTAGATGGTTTTGAGTACATAATTTATCGCAAGTTTAAAACTTGTTGGTGTTTTGGGAGCAAGTGCAAAAAAAAAAAATATATATATAAAAAAATAATGACTGGTTCAGGTAGCATACGGTAGGCCATTTGTCAGTTTTTCGGTGTTATAGTGGACTGGGCTTATCAACAGAAAAGATGCCGTTGAGGTTTTCAACTTCCAGTTGCTTCCTCTTTTGGCTAATGGATTTAGCTGTAACAGTAGGAACTTTCTGTTGTGTAATTACCCTGTGCATGTTAGTCTCCTTTGCTAAATGGTTGGATCTTCTCCCTGTCAATGTGAACTTTTGGAATGATTCTCTGGGTGAAATCCAGCAGTATCATGTTTCAGGGATTGATAGTTAACTATCTAGGCAGTCCGTGTTACTGATTGGTGTACCTGGGAATGCAATCTTCCGGACTTCAGGCATTCTTGGATATAATTTTACCTCCACAGTGGTCTGATTGTTGTATAAACATTCTTGTTGGTTCTACTCTCCTAAACTTGTTTGTATTCATGGTGCTGTAGGTTTTGGCAGATAGCGTAGGCATCCCTTGTCGGTTGGTGAAAGGACACCAATATACTGGTACCCATGATGCAGCAATCAACTTTGTAAAAGTTGATGATGGAAGGTTATTAGCTTAAAACTTTTTTCTATTTCTAAGATATTATTCATGTAACCTTTGATGTTTGATTTCAAAAGTGCCGTATTTTTATTTTATTTTATTTTATTTTTTGTGTGTGTTTTCTTAATGCTATGAATCTAAATTTACTTTTCCCATCATTTAGATGCATCATGCATCTAACTTAGCTGGTTTCAGTGCTGAGCAGTAAGTTCATGACCTGAGAAATTTTTAGGCTGGCAACAGTCCAAGTTGGAAAAAAAAAAATTAATTTCTCTAGCTACTGAAGAAAAATGGCTCCAAATTTCTGAACTTTCTTCGCATCAAGTTTTTTATTTAACTATGTCAAAACCTCTTTGTTACTATACCTTTTTTTAAATCAAAATGTGAATGTAGTACCTAGAATTAAAAGGTATAGGAATCCCGTGATTATGGTGAGTTATGTGTGTTGAGCTGTTATTCTGTTCTATGTGGAATGATATCAATTAAATGATTGCAGTGTTATCTTTAGGAAAATAGATTTAGAAGAATATGCTTGACAGCTATATTAGGAGACAATTAGGATTTTCTTCCTTCCTTTAATTCTCCATTTATGATAAATATATAATCACCATGCAGAAGACTACAGCACAGAATACAGAAGAAACATTAGCTTTATCTTCTACAAAAGTTTATCCTTTTTAGAGCATAACTCTTATATAAAAACACAGAAACTACAGAAGTCATTTTTCTGGTACAGATTGTTCATTTTCCTTCTTCTTCTTCTTCTTCTTTTTTTTTTATTTTTTATTTATATATATATGTGTGTGTTGGGGGGTAAACAAGGGTTTTTAGAGTTTAATACTGAAATTGGATGTTTTATTTCATTATTGAAAGCATTATATCTTTGCAGGGAATATATTGTTGATTTAATGGCGGATCCAGGAACACTTATTCCTTCTGACATAGCCGGAGGAAACACAGAATATGAAGAACCTTTTCTATCATGCAATAATTTGTCTGAAGATGCCAGTTCACCTCACTTTGTGTCCTCTCATATATTGCCACCTAGTTTAATTGAAAGTCAGTCTGAAATTGGACCACCTAATCAAAATTCCTCAGTTGAAGAAGGTAGTGCTGCATTGATTGAATACAGAAGGGATGATAAATATATTGGTTCTAAGAATTTGTTTCCTCAAGTTAAAGTTGATGAAGCCCCCAAGCATACTGAATCTTTGATTAGGCCTTATGGTGTAAAGAAGATGACACCAGAAGTTCCTGGAAGGGGTCCTACTTATTCTCATGCAAGGTCTCCTTCTTGGACTGAAGGCATAAGCTCACCTGCAGTGCAGAGAATGAAAGTGAAGGATGTATCACAATACATGATTGACGCGGCCAAAGAAAATCCACAGTTAGCTCAGAAGCTTCATGATGTCTTACTAGAGAGTGGTGTTGTAGCTCCTCCAAACTTGTTTACTGAAATGTGCTCACAGCAGTTTAATGCTGTTCGACTAGATTCAAAGCCCCCCGCCGGAAATGAGGATTTTAGTGAAAAGCATGATATGAAGAAGATAGCAGTTCTAGATAATAATAATCAAGCTCGCTTCCTGCCACCTCTGCCTTATCATGGTTTGCGCTCCAAAGGCAGTCCTAGTGAACCACTAGAGCCACAGGTTGAAGTCAGAGAAGTCACAGGAGAACATGTCCCATTGCAGCCTGAAAATGTTCCCATGAGATACCAGAAAAAAGTTCCGGTTGCCGCCGCCGCCGCAGCTGCTGCTGTTGTTGCATCTTCAATGGTAGTTGCTGCATCAAAGACTGGAACTGAAGCTAAACTTGACCTCCCCGTAACTGCTGCTGCCACTGCAACAGCTGCTGCTGTAGTTGCAACAACTGCAGCCGCGGCTGTGACTAAGCAGTATGAGAACTTGGAGATTGGTACTTATTCACCTGATGGTCTCGGTGCTTTATATCTCCCATTTGAATACGCAAAAAGTGATGGAGGTGGAGATTCTGATTCACACGAGCAACGGGGAAGTGGTAGTGGAGAGCAAGAGACACTCGGAGGAAACACCGAGGGTGAGAGGTCATCAGATAGGTCTACAGGCAACGATAGTTCAAAATCAGATGCAGTACTTGATGATGTAGCTGATTGTGAAATTCAATGGGAAGAAATGGTCTTGGGTGAGCGTATTGGACTAGGTATGGATTTCTTGTAGTCAATCAAGTGCAAATTCTTCTTTCCTTTGGGATGGCAAGTATATTGATACTCATGCTCTGTATTACTCATTCAGGATCTTATGGAGAAGTTTATCGTGCGGACTGGCATGGAACAGTAAGTTCCCGAACTCTTGTGTTTATATATGGACAAACCATTGTTCTAAAGATCACATTTCTCCGGTATTTCACTCCATAATTTTTTCATATTTAGATCACTCATTTTCAATTGAGTAATTTTAGTATGGTGCTTTGGTAGTAGAACATACAAAACCAACTAGTGTGGTGCAGCAAGAATTTGTTGGGATGGGATTGAAACTTTTGTGAAAATGTTCTTAAAATTGTTTGTGAAAATAGCATTTTGGGGTTTTGGTGGACAGAATTTGTGTGTTTCTCAGTTGTGGAAACCTTTTCCAGCCATGATCATGCGAGTATTGTATGTTGCGAAAGACCTCATATTCTGTATTGCTGATTTTTAACGTGCTTCTAAATTTCTTTCCGCAATCACCACGGAATTGATTTAAACAACTGTGCCTTTGTTTTGTTGTGTACAGTCATTTTCTGCCAAATCATATGGAGCAGTAAATCTGATAATTTTAACTTCCTAATCTTCTCTAAACTTGCAGAGGTTTAGGCTTTTTACGTTCGAGTAAATCCTATTCTCGTTGTAACTTCTTTTTGTTTTTGGAAAATTAAGATAAAATTGAATGCTTACTAGTGATGTCTGAACTTGGATTCATTCTTTTGGTTTTATGCATTGTGTTTCTAACATAAACCTACCTCTTTTTAGGAGGTTGCTGTGAAGAAGTTCCTGGACCAAGACTTAGCAGGTGAATCCCTCGAAGAATTCAAAAGCGAGGTACATTTTCCCTGTACCTTGTTTAGGCTCAGCCCTCTATTTTTTGTGCTACATATTTTATTTTTTCGGGCTACGAAGTTTTTAGCTTATCAATAGTTTGGCAAAACTTTCCAACTTCAGAAAAGATTTTATTCCAGGAGATCGGTTGTCTAAGAACACACTTTCCAATTGTTCTGGGATTCACCTGGTATCAACCAGCAATCAGTTAAAAAATCAAAGTGTTTGCATGTTGTTTAGTGGCTCTTGTAATCACAATGCTGCTCAAATGATACTCTCGATCAAGAATGCGTCTCACCTTTAAGTTTAATCTGGTCCCATCCCATTTAACAATTATCTTCATTTACTTTTTTTCCCATCCAGGTTCCCTTGGATGTTATGCAATGGTCATGGTTGTTGGATAAATTTTAAGACCAGTATATTAAAATCTTAGCCTGAAATCATTGTCATTTGGTTATTATATTCTCCTATTTTAAGATTAACTTGTTATTTCTTGAGGAATGCTTTGGTTAACTTCTGATATGAATTTGTCATTTTTGTTCTTCTTTCAAGATTCGGATCATGAAAAGACTTAGGCATCCCAATGTTGTTCTTTTTATGGGAGCTGTCACTCGTCCTCCAAATCTCTCCATTGTCACTGAATTTCTTCCTAGGTATGAGATACTTCTTACTGGATATTCTCAATTTCTGTAATAGTTACTAATGATCCCATTCCTTTACGTGCACAATAAACTGGCTGGAGTCCCTTGTTGATTAATTTAAATTAGAGATAATTTTAGCATATTCTTATTACTGTCATTTTAAATTTCTTGATTTTTAATGGCATGGGGCATGGGGCATGGGGCATGGGCCATTTGATGCAAAACCAGAAATTTCAGAGAATCTTTTTGTCTTGGTATCCTCTACATCACAAGTTGCATTTACTACTGAATTTACATTCTTTCTTGTTCAAGCTTTTATGTGTGGAGTAGAGGTTCTCGTCCTCCCTAACCATGATCCGCCAACAATCTTGTCCTCCCTAGCCATGATCCACCAACAATCAGTCTTTTCGTGTTTTTGTAGATTATGTATTTTGTCTTAAAATCCACATAGTTATCTGTATGATATATTTAGCTATCCTTCAAGAAGTTGAGTTTGCTTCAGAAAGTTATTGCGTCAACTTGGAAACTAAGATAGACTATGTCGTATGCAGAGGTAGCTTGTACAGATTGCTACATCGTCCCAATAACCAGTTAGATGAGCGCAGAAGGTTGAGGATGGCTCTTGATGCTGTATGCTTTGCTTTTCTTTCTTTGGTTGCTCTTTCATTTTGATGTCCTTTTTTTTAATTAGTGCCTTTCACCCTTTACAATTTCTAATGATTTCATTACAGGCTAGGGGGATGAATTATCTGCACAATTGCTCACCTGTAATTGTCCATCGTGATTTAAAGTCCCCAAATCTTCTTGTTGACAAGAATTGGGTTGTGAAGGTAGCAACCTATCACTGAGAAATATTGGTAACTTTCAGTATAAACTTCAGCATTAAAATTCACCAATGGCGTTAAATTTTGTGCTAGGTATGTGATTTTGGGTTATCAAGAATGAAGAATAGCACCTTTCTTTCTTCCAGATCAACAGCTGGAACGGTAAGCTGGACATTTTTGCCAATCATTTGCTTCTGAAAGAATATACTTTAAAATGATTTTTCGACATGGCTAATTCTTGTTATCTTTTCCGTTCAGTGTTGATGTGCTTTCATTGTGTATGGCTTTACTATATTTTAAATGACCCTGTGTGTTATACAAAAAAAAAAAAGGAAGAAAAAGAATCACCCTATTAGTTGCATGGGATCAAACCGTTATGTTGCCTTAGTTTTTACCTTGTCACTGAGGCACACCACTTGTATCCTTGACAATAGTTTTGCAGTTAATTTCTGCCATCGTTAGCTTGGTTCTAAATGTTTTTTTGATGCCTTACATCTTTCATAAAAGTATCATACTCCAATCATGAAATCCATCTAATTTTTTCACATCATTTCATCATCAGCCCTTTTGTAGAAGATAGCTCCATGCAGTTGGCTTTTATACTCTCAAGCCTTGGAGATGTTTTTGCTTGACGTTTCTCTCTCTCCAAAAAAGGTGGTTACTGTGATCGTTCACAATAATTTGGAAGTTAAAGTGTTCCCAGTTCCCACCTTCCACTAGGAAAAAACTTCATAGATTATTTTCTTTTATTTATTTATTTTTTCTGTAATCGGTACCGGGACTTTAAAAAATGAGCTGCATCTTTAGTTAGCTTATTTTTTCCAGCACTTGGCGAAACTGTTGATTCCCGGCTTATTTTTGTTCAATTAAATTTAAATTTATCTATCCAGGCGGAGACATAATAGATGGAATTGCCCTTGGCCTTTTAATTTGTGTCCAAAATACCCAAAGTTGATGAATTATTTTCTGAAGTAATCTTAGGTTCTTACTTGTGATTTGTTTATGTGTACTAATGATTGATGAGTTTCTTTGAGGTGGTTTTCTGCCATTTATCTTCATAAACACCTGAATTCTGTCATGTAACCATGGCGCAAATCTGTCCCACTGTGTGGAGTTTTGTTTTCTGGGCTGGAAGATGAGGGGGGTCATGTCTGCAGCATCTTGTTACAGTTATACTTCTGCAATTTAAGTAGTAGTGTGAAATGAAACAGAAATAGTCTGGAACCAGAAGAAAAAAAAGGTTTTTTAGTGCCATTGAATGTGATTCGCATACTATCTGGATGGATTGCTGATCTTGCTACTGCAATTGTTTTTCTATGAGTTGTTAGCGTAACAATATAATTTATTTTTTCTTGGTTGCGAATTATTCTCAGGCAGAGTGGATGGCTCCAGAAGTGCTGAGAAACGAGCCGTCAGATGAAAAGTATGCCTCTCACCGAGTATTTTACTATATAGAGAAAAAGCGAACTCTTGAAATTTTAGTCAGAAAAATTTATAACTTAACCAGTGCATGGATTGAATTGGACTCTTTTATCGTATTGGTATGCTTTACTAATAATTTTATTCCCAATTGCCGCAAAACAGATGTGATGTCTACAGCTATGGTGTTATTCTGTGGGAGTTGTGTACATTGCAACAACCATGGGGAGGGATGAATCCAATGCAAGTTGTTGGTGCCGTTGGATTTCAGCACCGTCGTCTTGACATACCACAGGATCTCGACCCAGCGATAGCAGACATCATTCTCAGATGCTGGCAAACGTGAGTAACAACTTTCTTGCATGTTTTTGCTTATAGAGAAAGTGCACATGGTCATGATAGTGTTTTGTTGAACAACTGACCAAGTTTTGTACATGTGAATTTGACATTGTAGCGATCCAAAATTGCGGCCTTCATTTGCTGAAATTATGGCTCTACTAAAACCGCTACAAAAGCCTGTCACTGGGTCACAGGTACCCAGACCTGGTGTTTCAGTAAACCGAATTCAGGATAAGGGGCAGGCATCGCGATTTGTAGAACACGCGCCGGGAGAAAATAGCTAATGACATGTGAAATGGATTCTGCCAAACTTGTAAAGCGTCACAATGCAGGCAAGTCCAGAAGCAGCACAAAGGAGAACAAGCCAAAAGGAAGGAAAAAAAAGGTTGTAGGTAGGCATGCAGTTTAGGTTCTGTCAGATAAACCCTTCGCATTTGAGAGAAATTGTGATTAGTCCCGTCCCCTTTTTCTTATTTTTGGCATTTTCACATGCCGGCATCCCCGAATCATGTATTTGTTTGTAAATCTGTACTGTTGTAAATTAAAGTTCACAATTTTGTCTCATTTTGCCTGCCTGAGAGTTGCTTCACAGGACCAACCAAACACCTTTTCTAGTTCGAAGTTTGAGTTTTACATTTCTCATTATTTCCTGATCCATACACAAGTGCAGCCTGGAAGGCTGTAATTGTGTTGGTAAAACACGAACTCTTGATTTCTAAGATGAACACATGATTTGAGCAAGTTCATTGTCGCTCCTTCCCAAAGAGGAGCATCAAACTAGAGTAATAATTGCACAAACATACTTGATTAGCAAAAGATTATACAATGTCTATTTTATATTTATGTACACTGAGAAAACAGTGAACTGTACTTGTCCATGATATTTGATAATAAGAGCACTTGTAAAGATAAGGTAGGGACCATCTTCTTCTTGTGTCAAAAACTACAAATATCTATCAGCTGCTTGATTCTCTCTACTTTTAACTTCTGAAATTTGTTTCATTGATTTTAGAAAATGGCAACCTTCTTTGGATCTCCACCATTTCTGTCTCACCCAATCACAAGGACTAACCAGTTGTATTCATCAGTGCAGCCTCCTTCTCCTCAGCCAAACAATCAACCTTCACAGCCTCAAAATACTAATCCATCTCAACTGCAAAGCACTAATTCAGCTGCAGAGCCACCATCAGCTCTTAAAGCCAAAGTGCAAGAGCAAAAAGTTTCAGAGCCACCTGCCCCTCGGACGACTGTTGAATCAACTGACTGGATTGCATCCTCCTTAACCAGGAGATTTGGCATTGGTGCTGGTCTTGCATGGGTTGGTTTCCTAGCCATTGGTGTCTTGTCTGAACAAATCAAGACTCGGTTGGAAGTGTCTCAGGAAGAAGCTAATACAAGGTAGGTATACTTACCTGCAAGAGATGTAATTATCTCATCTCATCAATTATGTTGTTCCCCAAAATAAGCATGAACTTCAGAATAAGTTCATAAAAACTAGCAGCTCTGAAATACATATGGAACAGTAATATTCACTGTCAATAAGGATCTTAGATTCTACTGGCATTTTGCCTACCATTGAAGCACCCTTCATACATTCAGTACTACAATAAGCAACTGCGTTCATTGGAAAGAATGTATGCCTGTCTGTGACGATAAGAATTAGCAAAATCATCAATACTGCATACAGTGCATAGGTTTTAAATGTATTGAATAGGAATTACTGCACAAGATAACCATGAAAAAGCTCTGGGAAAGAACTAAAGAAACAAACTGGATTATCCATGCAGTTAGGCCGTAATTGCATTTCTTTTCCTTGGTGACAGAGATGTTGAAAAGCTGGAGGAGGTTGTTCTGCCTAATGGAATAAGGTATTTTATAAGCAATGCATTTGGACTATCGCTTAATTTCTGTGATCATAACTCATAAGAATGGCTTAGTTCTCAATAAGCCTACATGTTCTTAATTCAGGTACTATGATTTGAGAGTTGGTGGTGGTGCTGCACCAAGACCAGGTGACCTGGTTGTCATTGATGTAAAAGCAAAGCTGGAAGGAAGTGATCAAATCTTGATTGACACATTTAGTAGCAAGAAGCCACTGGCTCTTGTGATGGGGTCTAGGCCTTACAGTAAAGGAATATGTGATGGGGTGGAAAATGTTTTGAAGACCATGAAGGCTGGTGGAAAGAGAAGAGTGATCATTCCTCCTAATCTTTGCTTTGGCGAAAAAGGCGCAGATTTAGGTTCCGGCATGCAAATCCCTCCATCAGCAACCCTTGATTACATCATTGAGGTTGATAAAGTATCGATCGCACCAGCCTGAGTTTCCATATCTTTTTAAGTGCAATTTTGACTAATGAGCGACAAAACAAGCATTTCATCATTCAAGGGGTATATATACAGCTTTTCATCTATCAGCATTTCTTGTTCTTTTAATTTGGCATCTACGTGTAGTAATGAAATCAAGAATAGGCAAACATGTACTTTTGTCTGATCAAACTGTTCTGAAGTACTACTTGCTATATTACTGTATCAGAGTGAAATTCATATGGGGGGTACCATTTTGAACTGTGAATTTTGGATTTGGTACCCGTAAAGGCGTGCTTTTCCAAATGCAGCATTATGTTAGTCCCTCTAAACGTGTCACATACGAGTTTCTGAACTACCACTTGTTTTTTCACCTTCATTTTCACCATACAAGATGGGGAAGAGTGGTATACATTTTTACAGATTCCTTATTGATACCAAGTAAAAGGAGAAAAAGGCGATGGACCCGAGAGGGAGAAAGCGTGAAATGTAGATGTTCCTTCCTCATCATACTGTTGCAGTGACAAGTCAGGGCAATACCTTACTTTGTTAAGGCGCCAAGGAAAGATAAAGCAATGTTTCAAAGGGCAGAAGATTTATGGCAAAATTTTCATTTTTTTCAAGGCAATTTTGGGGAAAACTGTTTGCATCAAATTGGTTATTAAACAGTACACTCAACATTAGCTTAAGAAAAATAAAGAGACGAGCTCCGAAACGAATTGGATTATACTAAAACTAGTGTGTGTATTAGTGATAATGGTGGCAATCAATTCTTAGTTTTATGAAGCAGATTGCTTTGTCAAAAGCAATGAAAAAGTTATATTCCATTCGTGCATTTTATTCTGTTAAGTTCTTAGCACATTACGCTATTTTAGGTCCCAAAATGATTGCTTTATTAATTATTACATTAATTTTGGAAGAATGAGTACGATTTTCCCATGAATTATAATGTTCCACGAAATTGGAATTGACTACTAAACACTTATTCGTGGTGGAAAATTTAACAACACAAGCGAGCAGACCATACCATCTTCATTCAATTATCAAGTACATTGTATTCTGTTTGCCGTAGAAAATCCTCATTTCTGTCAATGATGAAAATGAATAAAAGAAAAATCTTCAATTTGACAATTTGGCCTAAATCATAGTAAAAAAAGACAAGGGTGAGGAGAGAAGTTCTAGAAAAGTGGAATGAGAAAATGGAAAAGTATTAAAAATGCCATATGGACTACCAAAAACATAAGGTCCGAAATGAGACAGCATCATCATCATTTGTATCCGTTCATCTCTTTCGACTAGGAAGAGTAAAAAGGGTATCTTCAGTCAAACAATCAAATCCAATCTGGTCACACTCACCCGCAAAATACTTCATATAAAATTCCCAAAGCCAGCCAATAGAGTTTTGAGATTTTTTTCTGTACATTTTTCCCGATAATAGGGACTTTGGATATTTGCATTTTGCGGCGGTTTTGCAGTTTTAGAGGAAGAACGTGATCATGGGAACTGTTCTCGATTCCCATTTTCTGGGTCTCACTGCAATCGTCACTGTATGGAACAATATGGATGGCCCTTTTTGTCTTTCTTTGTGTAGACCAAGAAAATTTAGTGATAGCATAGTGCTGATCGTTGGTTTTGTGGGGTTTGGTTTTGCAGGCGGGATATCAATTTATCTTCTTTGTGATCACGGCCCTTCTGAAATTCGATAAAGTTACTGACTTTGCAGGTAATTTAGCTCAGTTCGCTTTGTTTTCTTTGCTGTTTGTGTTTATCTTCTTTGGAAAAACTCCTGGTTTCGATTCTGCTACTCATTTCCGGTTATGAAGTTGTTTCTTGATTATGAGGTCCAAAATGGAGTAAACAAAAGTACGGTCCGAATTTGAATGGTTTGAGACTTGTGAACGAAATGCATGGTTTTTCTGGATGAACTGTCTTGGTGCTTTGGCCAATGTGTTCTGTGTTCCTCGAGAATTGTCTTGGTGTTCTGTGTTTATTAATTTGTGTTCATTTTCTACAGGAAGCACTAATTTTGTTATTATTGCTGTATTGACTTTGGTTCTAAAAGGAGCATGGCATTCTCGACAGGTATAATACCTCCTTTTTCTTTCCCTTGCGAATTCTAATGGGTTGACGTTTACTCTTGAATTGCTTATTGGATTACTCCATTGTGAAGCTTTTCTTTTTTTCTTCCTAGTTGATAAGTATGCTTCTATTCCAACTCCACTAAAATGAAAACCCTGTAACCGAACTTTGATGTCGCAGGGATTGTTTTAGTAATAATATTAAAGTTACTTTGCCTTTTCTTTATTAGTTTTTTGAATGATTGCATAAGCCGCCGATGTTAGAACCCAAGACCTCATGCTAATAGTCTCCCTCCCTTACCAGTCACTTCATAACCCTCCCCTATAATATTTTACTTTCCTGTATCCTATGTTGATATTGGGTCCTGATTATCTCCTAATGCGTGATCAGATATGTATACAATTTTAAAGTATTCCCATGTCACAGTTGCTTACCAGATGCCTCTTTTTTTTTCTTTTTTTTTTTTCCCTCTAGGTGGTTTTATCTGTGTTTGTAATCGTATGGGGCCTTCGACTGGCAGCATTCTTGTTAATGAGGTATAGCTTGGACTATCTTTGGATCTTGCAAAGTATCTTCCAGAATTGAAGCTTCTTTCTGATTCCCTTATCTTTATACGTCTTGAATCTCATTTAATCATCACCTATTGAATCCTTGTACCGTTATCTGTTCTTTATGGAATTCCATGGTTTGATGATGCTGATGGTTTCTGTTCTTGACAGATTCATTTTTGTTTTAGAATCTTGTTGATGAAATATCTGTGATTGGTGGCTAGGTTTCTTCTAGCTCTTTTCTTGTTTTACTTCATGATATTTATTTAGGGCCATCCTTACGAGCTAGCTTTTGTTTCACAGTAAGTTATGAGGTGTGAAAATGCTAGCTGTTCTTTTAAGTCTTCTCTGTAAAGGGTTTACATAAATGCAGAATAAGTTAGAAAATGAAGGTATTCTTTGACCACAGGAGTAAGAGTAATAAGTTATGTGTAAAAGTAGGAAGGCAAACCTCTGAACTACATTCTTATCCCTGCAATGAATCAGGATTTTGCAATGGGGGGAAGATAGACGCTTCGATGAAATGCGTAGTAACTTGGGAAAGTTGGCAGTTTTCTGGATATTTCAGGTGTTGTAGTCACTTCTCCTATACATTCTGAGCTCAGTTAAACTTCATGGAAGTTCATTTAGCTGATAGATTATGATATCATACTCAACTCAATCTTTTTTTATAACAGGCTCTATGGGTGTGGACTGTGAGTTTGCCCGTTACAGTTGTTAATGCCAGTGACCGAAATCCATCCCTTAAGGCTGTAGACTTCATTGGGTGGATAATGTGGGCAGTAGGAATTTTAGCCGAAGCTACTGCTGACCAACAAAAGTTGCTATTTAAAAATGCTCCTGAAAACCGGGGGAAGTGGTGCAATGTTGGACTCTGGAAATATACTCGTCATCCAAATTACTTTGGCGAGGTTAGCTCATTCAGAATCATCTGTTCTCTCTAATTATGTCATGGGCTACTGATGAGCTCTCTCTTGTGTTAATTGCATTTCATGTGTATCCAATAGAATGCTTAAATAATTCATCAACCTTATTTGGGCTTGTTTTCAGATCCTTCTTTGGTGGGGGATCTTCGTAGCTTCTACGCCTGTTTTGAAGGGTGCTGAGTGGCTAGTCATCTTTGGACCCATCTTTCTTACTCTCTTGCTTCTTTTTCTCAGTGGCATACCATTGCTGGAGGTTTGCTTTCGTCACTCTCTGTTCTTTTTTAGCAATTATTTACTGGGAAACGAATTCATCTTTCTCTTCTTGATAACCAGGAGTCTGCAGATAAGAAGTTTGGCAACGTGGCAGCGTACAAGCACTACAAGAAAACTACTAGGTATGGTATTGATTTCTTTCGACTGGTTTCGTGGTTTTTATCTTTTAATTTTGTTAACCAATAACTGACAAAAGTTTCGAATTTCAGCCCTCTCATTCCACTGCCCCCTGCAGTGTATGGGAATTTGCCACAATGGGTGAAAGCTACGTTCCTCTTCGAGTTTCCCTTGTATAGCCGCAGTCTTCCTAAAGAAGAGTTGAGCTGGTAAACTCATTTTTCACCAAGGATCTCTACATTGTCCTATGTTATTCTGGTTTATGCGTTCGTGTGTCTTCTTCATACATTGTTTGCATCATTCCATTTTATTTTAGGTGTTGTTGATGCTTTTAGTTGGTTCATTTATTGAATACATTCGCATGTAGGAGAGAAGTAACCAAAATGTTGAATTAGCTGCTGGAAAAGGTCATCTTTTTGTACCATTTTTTAGTTCTTTTTGGTGGCGACGCTCTATCTATTACATGATAATAAATGAATTCTTATGTTTGTGGAAGGAGTAGAGCAAGCAGTGGAGGAACCGTTGAGAAGAAGATAGATTAATCTGAGATGACGACATGAGGTCGTGGAAGCGCAACCATTCTTCTCTCGTGATTGAACTCTTAAGTTGCATTGCTTTTTCCTTGATGTGTATATCTTATCAGCCGGTGAAGGGGTGGATCGGCCACGCTTTTTGTTAGCGTTGTTGTAGTGTAGGAGTAATACTTTGTGTGTAAATATGGGAGAGCTTAAACGGGCGTTTTGTTTTTAAAGACCTTTAGCTCTGTTCCTGTTCCTTGAATATGCAAAACTAGCCATTCAATTTGGGAACGTAGGAGACTTTCTCTCTTCGTTAAGTATATATTCATAAGAAGACGAGGCTTGTATTCCAACTCGGCTTTTGTTACTACTTAGGTTAGGATATCTAGTTTGAATAAAAATATGAAGAAAAAAAAAATTTCATCCTTTTCTGTTTTGGAATCGATGTACTTTGACGATCTTGAGAAAAGAAGAAGATGGGGGACAGGATATCCGTCACCTTTCCAACTCTGGGAAATCCTTCAGATGAACAACTTGGATCAGATTATTACATGATTCAACAGCAAGTTTAAAGAATTCTTGAAACGCAGCAAGAAATGAAACATCGTACTGGTAAATAATTTCAATTCCCGATATGGGGCGGCAAGTGTTACGATTGAGTGACTTAATACTGGCTATAAAAAATTAAAAAAAAAAAGTACCTATGCTATTACATCTCATACGAGCATATGCTATATTATGTAAGTCATTAACTTCCAATCGGCTGGCTTTAATCCGACAGCAAGATTGAAAGGAGGAAATTAGCTCTCTAAGGGCTATATTAACCACTTGGCCTTCTGAAGGTAGGGAATCTATGGCTAGATTAGACGCTAGCAATTCACAATCAGTAAAGCAAAAATATTGAAACAAAATCCATAATGCTTTAAAAAAGAATTGATTTCAACGTACATGAACAACTCCCTTGTCCTTTCTTTGTTGCGAGTCATCAAGGGCCACATTAAAAGATTAAGATAATTTTGGGATTCACTGACAGAATAAGTTTTTCATTACTTGATCAACTTTATATACACCTGTAATGTATCATCTATATGTCAAAATTGCTCGATTCATATGCACTTGAGCAGTTGAGCTTACACCAAAAAAAAAAAAAAAAGGGAGAGTTACAATAGACTCTCAAGAACAAACAAATAAAGATGTTCACAAAAATCAAGAGCCACCAGTGTTGTTGATATTCTGCAAGGAAACAACAGCACCAGAAGAAGCCTCGTCTGAGACTGGAGAATGCGACGTCAAGATATATATGACCCAAATATGAAGGCATACAATGTAAACAATCGACCAGATCCTCGCAGTGGAGTTTCTTTTTAGAAACACGGCGCCCGCGCAAAAGATTGAGTCCAATTGAAGAATTAAGGATCCGAAATGTTGCTTGCCCAACCGAAGTCTCTCCTCTAGCATAGGCCTGAACTTTGATGAGCTGGGGATCTCCCACAGGCCAGACTCTAAATCACCCCTTGAATCAGCCGGATCTAACGTACCATTATTCTCATCTAGAGACCTTGAAACAGCCTACACAAAATGGTTTCAGCACTCAGAATAAAATCTTGCCACCAACATTTGCCTTCAATTAAGTAATAGTTAAATTAGATCATTCACCTCCATTTTGAACAGCAGCAAGGCCTTCTCAGAAGACAGCGCTTCCACCTGGAAAATTGCAGAAAAATTTTAGACAATTGATCATTGGAGCAACCAGGTTTCTGAATAGCTTTTAATCTGACGAATCTAAGACTAACTAGATTTAGGTTAAGGACCCTCCCCATTCAGTTTCGTCTTCAAGAAACATAATTCTACTTTTGACCAAGTTTCCAATTTAAAGGACTTTACAGTATATCTGAATTTTTTTGTTCAGCACTCATGCTAATTCTGCGGAGATGCTTACAACATTCTATAATCAGAAATCCCAATGATGATTTGCAATTTCTTATCCATAAGTCACTCAGATTAATTAAAAGACAGAAAAGAATCTGGAATTGCAATGAAAATTTTCTGTCTACAGAAATTCCGGCTTTTTTACCTGCGCTTGTTTTTGTATCAAATGGTCAGTCAACTGACCAAGCCTTCGCTTGAGTTCAAGTTCCACTTCCGTAGGATTCTCTAGTTCTCTTCTTGTTGAATATATAGTTTCTTCCAATGTTTTGGCCTATACCAGACAGGAAATTAGCTTCCAGCCACATGGTCCGGTAGAATTTGAATTTCAAATTCTATAAAAAGATTACCTTCTCTTGCATTCGTCTCACTTTATCTGTTATAAATGAATACTCAGCCTCGAGTATATCCCTTTCAAATTCAACTCCTTTTGGAGCTGGCAACTGTGTATTTTATCATGCGGTCAGGTGCAAGACAGAACTAATTGAACAAGTAAGTACATACATGAATAGCAGACATTACTCACATTGTTGCTACTCTCATGCGCACTTGACATCTTCCTTCTTGTTTCTAAATTCAAGAAACGAGTTTCAGTAAGCAACGTACAATTTTCCCTCCACATGCAACCAATAGAAAAAGATAGGTACTTGCACGGTATCCTCATTGATAACATTAAAATGCCAAAACGGTTCCTAAAAAAATAAGCAGAAGAGGAAATGAATTCAATAAGCATACCTTCAAGATCGGCCTCTTTCAGTTCAATTTGGTGGCGTAGACCTGCAACCCGATTGGTCTAAGCCCAAACAAAGTGGAAAAAAAAGAATCAATAAAACAGTTACAACTTCAACACAAAAAGCCAAACATAATCAGAGGAAATCCGGAACCAGTATCTTTAATACCTCCAGTTCAAGAGTCTTCTGAACAGAAGCTAAAGACCTGGCTAAATCAGCATTTTTCGTCTGCAGAGGACAACAAGTGAATAACATAAGCAACCATATTTTAAAAAAAAAAAAAAAAAAAAGAAAAAAATTATCAAAGACACCAAATCACAGTATGTAATGGCCTGATAAGGAAAAATAACAAAATTGGAACAAAATATAAAAGATCATCATACCTCAAGTTTTGCCAAGCTTGCTAGGGCTTCCATTCTTGTGTTATTATGTTTTTTCTTCTCTATTTCAACAGCTTCCATAGTTTCCATCATTGTTGATTGCAATTCAGATGCCTTATCAAAGATAAAACAAAGCAACAATTTCAGTCTAACCAAGTATGAAAAAGGAGCAGAAACAAATCAAGGCTATAGAAAAGTTGCTGAGAGGAAAAGAAAGAAAGAAAGAAAGAAAGCAGTAATTCTCACACACTAGGATCCGATAAATTACAATATCACTGAGGCTGGGGAAAAGTAAAGCAGTCGGATTCAAATTTTGGATCCGGTTACCCAAGACTGATGACTAACTTTATTTCCAAATTTCTATCCATAGTTATGCTATGATTGTCTGACCAGAAACCCGCTGATATAATGATACTCAATCCTGTACACCACTAATCCCTTGAAATATACATTTGTAAGATTATTTCTAAGTACTAGTCAAGAAAATATTTACTCAGAACGAGAATCAAAAGATACCTCAAGCACTTGTTGTTTGGCCCGCTCTTCAAGAATCTTCTCCAAACTCTGTTTCTCACCCTCCAGTTTAGCAACATGGTCTTCACGTTCTTTGATTGCTTCACTAGCTTTTGCGGCAGCTTTCTCTGCCAAAATCTGCTGCCTTCTCTTTCTTCTTTCCTCTCTCTCACGCTCACTCTCAGAACCAGATGAAGAATCCGAATCTGTGTCTGAATCAGAGTCTTCATTACTTGGTGTTAAAGGAGCCCTCTTCATTGAACTGGATATTTTGGAACTCACAGTCGGTCCATCAACCAATCTAGTTGTTCTTTCGGGCCTCTCATCATTACGAACCCTTATTTCTGAATCGCTTTTTGCACCTGGAGTAACCATATTATCCTGTGATTGTAGCTGCACTTCATTTCCAACACCAACCAATGCATCATTTTGTTGATTGACATCCTCATCTTTTCTCTCCACAGAAAGGTTGACATTCGAGTCCTTCCTATCAAATTGACCTGTCTGTGCACTGCCCTCATCATTCCTTGATCCCCCACTTGAACTAGAAATTCTTGATTCCTCTCCAACGTCACTCCCCCTTGCACCCGAAATATCCACAACACCACCACCATTAACTTTATTCCCAGACTCCACATCAGATTTCCTGTCGCTCTTTAAAACCCTAGCTTGACCCTTCTGAGCCCTCTTAGCATCTAATGCCCCTACATTTTGCCGCGTAACCAAACTCCCCTGCTTCTTACCATCCCTCCTATCCCGCCGAAGCCCAGGAACACCATTACTACCCTTACTCCCAACTGGATCCCCACTCTTACTTGGCACACTCAGCAATTCAGTCCAATCACTGTCTGTCAAATTCCTCTGAGTGGACTTAATAATATCGGATTTACCTAACGATCCTACACTTTGCAATTCTCTACTACTGGTATTGCTTAAAACACTATTTTTATTAATTACAGTCGAACTAGAATAATCAGTTTTGGATTTCCCAATCAAGTCATTATCTTGCACTGGTTTCTTCTTTAGCTGTTCCTTCAACAATGGCTTGGTTGCACTAACCTGATTAGAGGCTTCCAGCCCAAATTCATCATCAGATCGCTGCTTTTCATTCTTTTTAAGCGAATCCGCAGCTTGCTGATCGATCTACACCATCCAATTCCACATTCAGAAAAAAAAATAATCATATTGAAATTCAAACAATTCAAAAAAAAAAACACTGAGCTTAAATTCAACAAACAGAACAAAAACGGTGGTAAGGAAAACGAATTGAAATTCACCTGATGGAGGAAGTCTTCGGCGACCTTAAGCTTGGATGAGATCCAGCCAGCCATGGCCGTTGGATAGGACGAATGGGGGGATTGAAGTCCAGGAGATCAGAAGTCGGAAGAAGTAGCATTCACGCTAAGCGCATTATAGAGAAATGCCCTAATTTTGAAGAAACTCCCATCTAATTTGTTCAGTTTATTACAGAGTACTGAGGAGGAAGAAGAAGAAGAAGAAAAGGAGCCAACGGTTTTCGTCTTCGTCTCTCGTCGGTGACGTATTCAAAGGTTCACAAAATTACCCCTGGTAAATTATAGTGGTTAAGTTACAAATAGTTACTGTTACCGATGCTGTATATCTACATTCTACAGTGATATAATAACAACTATTCTTCTTTTTCCTTCTCTGTTGTAAAAAGAACCCATTTCGCCTCTTTAATCTACCAACAACAATCTGAGAAATTTTTCCGCATCAAGAAATCTCGTTCTGTTTTGTCAGAAAAAAAAAACCCAAGAACTAAAAGGCCAGAAAACTGCCTTCCAGCAGGAGTTGGTGAAAAGGGATTTTTTTCCTCCAAGGTTAGATTTTTGTCTGTTCTACTTGTCCCGATCAAATTGATGTTCTCTTTCGCTTACAAAAATTCGAAGTTCAGATTGAGATCGTGGTTTAGTTGCATGTCAACTGCTTGTTTTTTGTCCTGAGATTAATCAGTTGGGTCAATTGTTAATGCTTTTTTAAGTGAAGAAACGGGAAATACAAAAAATTAATCCCTCAGAACAAATATGATATGAAATCAAAAGATTGAACGATTAGGTGGTTGCAGTGCTAAGTTAAAGTTACATAAAACAGTTGAAAATCGAAAGTTGGAACTTAAAAAATGCCTTTTCGGCCCTTCTTAGCGTATTCATGATTGAATTCTTGTGTGAGTTTTCTGATAAAATAGTCAGTGATGATAGGCAAATGTACACTGGATAGTATCTGAGGTGTTTAAATATACCACCACATGATGTACCTACATTCTAAGGGATTATATCTGAGACTGACTATTTGTTGTTATTCTCGTTACTTTGCTTAGATTGTTGGTAAAATTTAGTTCGTTCTTGTTACTATGAATTCTTTGCTTTGCATTGAGGTGTATTGGATCCAAGTCTCTGCTTATGCATGGAGAACCTACTTGGTGAAGCTACAGTTCACATGATATTATCGGATTTTGCTGAGGCAAATTTTGCTTTCGGTCTTATATGACTTATTTGTGTCTTCGGTTCTATGTTATTTGGAGATGAGCTTATTAATTCAATCACTGTATTACATTTCTATTATGTTCACGATGGCGAACGAGTTCTTTATTGGTTGCATTTTTGTTATGAGGTTTTCATAATCTCTGATTGGGTTTTAACTCTACCCTATCTCTAAGGATTTAAACTTAGATTTAGGGTCTGAAAAACTCATAAAGCCTATGTTGTCATCAGCTTCTGCTTTTGAATATCTCACTAGTCTGGAGTTAAATAACAGTTCTACGTTTCTGTTTACTTTCATTATAGTAGTCCTAATTATGTCCCTTTTTTTTTTTTTTTGGTTAGTGTCAAAGTGTGTGGATAGTTATGACAAGTATGGCACAGTCATATTTCATTTCTTTGGCCATAGTTTAGTCTTAAATGCCTATGATGATATAATCCAACTTAATGAGGTGCGGTGGATCCAAGACGTCCACTCTGTTCTGTCTAATATCGTTAAACAAGGATTAGCTCTCAATGTGTGTTCATAAGGATGATTGGTTTATAATGTGAGACCAAATTTGTGCCTGAATATACCAGCTTACTGTCAAATGTTTACTTGGCTGTTGAGTTATTTCTGCTTAACATATAGTCATCATACAAACAAGTTACAAAACCACATTTCTCCTGGCTTTGATCTTCTTCCGTATTAAAATTTCCTGTGCTCTGAACCGAACCAACTCGCATTCCATTTTAAATCAGCTACAGTTTAATCCTTCTTCTGTGATTAAAAGCAGGCTCATTGTGTGACTTACATTCCATAATCATGGTTTGTGAAGGAAGGATGTTGGTTTAGTAAGATCATGTGAAGTTGTTCTGCAGAGCATTTGATGTCCCTATATTACCTTTTATGTGTCTTGCGAGTCCCTTTTTAATTAGTGCAAAACTCTTATTGAGTATTGTTTCTTTTGTGTGCCAGTTATTGATTTGTGAATTTCCGATTGTTTTGAGGTCAGGCTCGAAAGACTTGCTGTAGATACTACTGTCACATGCTAGATATCTTCTTCCTCCCCACCCCCAATTGTTAGAATGTGTTGTCTGGTTTGTGCTTTGCAGCATTCAAACCTGGGCACTCCTATTTTAGCCAGGGCTGATACTTGATTTTCTAAAACCTTTTTGGTTTTTTCCCATCCTCTTAGATTATGATATTACTGCATCTAAAAATGCTTACAAAACCTGCTATACATTATCAACGTGAATTACACACCGGGATCTTTTTATTTTTATTCATAAAACATACTAACCATGTCTCAAAAAAAAAAAAAAAAAATTTTGAGGTTAGAAATTTGTACTGTAAATAATACAAATCTCAAAACTCAATGTGGATTTTTTTGGGGAGAAAGGTTTTTTTTTTTGCCGATTAAAGTTGCGGCTGATAAGTGCTGATGGCATTATTCTTCAGCGATTAGGAAATTAGGAATGGAAATGAATCTTAAATCCCCGCAAACTCGGGCCTGCTATTGGTGTTGCTAATATTTAGCATATTGGGCTGCGCTGTTGGGGTTTGGGACCCAATGTCAATCCAATCGGAAAACATTTTTTTTTTTTAATTTTAGTAAAATTCAGTCAACCTGAGTCGAGTTGTCCTGATTATTACATTCTCTCTCTTTCCCCAGGGTTTGAAATTTTCTATAGATGATGAGTCATAGGTGATGCTGCTACTCAATCAGAATCGGAGCTCATTCAATTCATCAGAAGAAGAACAGAAAAACACTCAGTTATTATCATAATTAATTGATGATGTCGTCTTCGGAGCAATCAGCGGCCAATTCCGGCGGCATAGGAACAAGAAAGGGAAAGGCTAAAACTTCATCCCCTGCCTCCTGCTGCGGCTCCGACCTTGGGACTGGGAAGCCTGTGATAGTGATGATATGCGGGAGCCTGGTGTATTACCACTGCGCATACCGGAATTCCAGCCTCGTATCCTTGGTCTCTGACGTCTTCATCGTCCTACTCTGCTCCCTGGCCATACTTGGCCTCCTATTCCGGCAGATGAACATCCCGGTGCCGGTTGATCCTCTTGAGTGGCAGATATCTCAGGATGCAGCCAATTCAATGTTTGCGTGCCTTGCTAACACCATCGGTGCTGCTGAATCCGTTCTCAGGGTCGCTGCAACTGGCCATGACAAGCGCCTCTTCGTTAAGGTCACCCTCCCTCATCCTCAAGTACTTATTTGCCACTACTATGAATTGTGAAACAAATAGAGTAATGTAGTGAAACAAATTTATGAAATCTGCTGTTATGAATTGTGTCAACAAATAGAGTAATGTAGTGAAAAAAATTATTGAATTCTGCTGTTATGAGTTGTGACAACGGATAGAGTAATTTAGTGAAACAAATTATTGAAACCTGTCCATCTGTTAGCCAAACATTCCGAACTTAGCTGTTCACATTCTATAGGGAACGATTTTTCCTATCAAACTCAACTTATATGGAACTAATCCGATACATTTTCAATTCATTTAGTTTGAATTTCCAGCAACAATTACAACATATTTGATAATGTGTAATAGCTGTTCATCCATAAGAATCCTAAAACTCACGTTTTGGTGTCACATTGCTGCCTAGAATTAGATAGTGCTGTCTGAGCCACCTTAATCAACAGCCCCTTGATGTCCTCGTGTCCGTGTTACCTTAAACATCCGGCCTAGCTACATCACTAGAACTTTCATTGATCGTTTTATCTGAGCACCGCTAAATCTAAAATTGCCAACAACTTGATATCTCTATCAAAGACCCAGGTGCTTGTGCCCGCAGTAATTTAAGGCATAATTAGATCAAGTTCACCGAGAATGTCTTTGTTCTCTATTTATTTGCCGCGCCTCACTGCTGCTGCTTCCTTATGTATTGGACTTACTATATACAGCCGCAAATTTAAACAATTCTTCTGTTTACAGGTGGTTTCCATCCTTTATCTGTTATCAGCCCTCGCAAGAATGGTCTCTGCTGCTACGTTTGCTTATGCTGGTAATACAACATTCTCCCTCCCTTTAAACCAACATTATCAACTCCTCTTATTTCCCGTGTCATTTTAGTTCTTGTTTTCTCTAATCACTCAACCACCTGTTACAGGACTTTGCCTTTTTTGTCTCTACACTCTTGCTGAGAATTCCCAGCTTTTGAGCTCGTGGTTACCTTGGAGAAAAGATTCATCGAGTATGGTCCCAGAATAGTAGCATCACTTATAGGTCTCTCTCTTTCTCTGCTTAGATCTCTCTTCCCTCCATGTTGCCTCTTTAGAATGAAGATCTATTGCAACATTGGTTTGTTCTTGTAAGTTGTAACCTCTTCTAACGCGTCTGTTACTTCACTGTTATGCTTGTAAAGTGAACTCCCCTAGAGTCCAACTCATTCTTTTCAGGTCTCTCATTTCTTAGCCACGTGAGATCACTTTCTGTATCCATGAAAGGACTCGCAAAAGAGATGGCTAAAATTCTCTGTGTTATTGGTTTTCCAACATCTGGACGCTGTTGTAGTAAGATTACCAGTTTGTGGTAACCCAATGGTGCATGATTGTTGATTGGAGAAGGATGGTGCATGGTTTTGGGTTAGGAATTCCCCCTTTTTTTTGTTTTTTTTTTGGTTTAATTTATTTATTGTGCAGGAAAATGCTTACCACTTTTTGGTGGTTGTTTTGCTAACCTCCCACCATGGTACGATGTTTATTTTGGTTTCGAGCAAGTTCAATAATGCCTGAAAATCAAGTATCCCCATATTAAGTAAAAACTTCACTGTGTGTCTTTATCTCTCTGTATTTCAAAGAATCATTTTTATTTTTTTTTGGAAAAGTCAAATAATCATTTGTTTCTTACTTTCTTTTCCTTAACCTTTTTTTTTTTTTCTCTTTTCGTTAACAAAGCAAGTCCTTTGTTCCCTTAACTCCTCTGATTGCGCTGTTCTACATTTCAGTCGTCGGCACCTTGTGCGCTCTATGCCCATCTAGTAATAACTACTTCCTCCGTTCCATAATTATTGTCCACTTTGACAAAAAAATTGTCTAAAAATTATTATCTAATTTGACTTTTTATGGAATAAGTTACACATTTGTTCTTTAATCTATTTACTAGAATCCACTTTATCTACGCACAACACACCCAGTAGAAGTGAACTCAATGCAAAGCGAAAAGAAACCCATATTCCGATGGCTCAAAGCGGCGGAGAAGACAAAGTGAGTGGGTGATTGTCGAAGACGAATATGGGGGAGAAATCTTTCTTGAGCTATTAAATTGGTGTATTGGATTCAACATCAGAGTATGCATTTGTTACAGTAGCTTCCATACCTGGTGAGATGATTCCGGCGGTGGATTTGATGACCCCATTAATGGCGTGGCTAATTAATTCCAGACATTCATGAACTACAAATGCCCCAACCTTGATTGAAGATGGGAGTTCCTTCACGGCTCGACTCCCCGTTTCGCGGATGATTTCAATTTTTTTCCTAAGACCAGATTTGTACTCCTGCAGATCTCGGCGATAAGTCTCCAACATCGAGTCGGATCGAATAGCGAAGGTTTTCACCAAACTACCGAAACTCCATCCACCGACACTCGTAGCAGGACAAGGAGTAGAACCAACCATCGGCAATATGTTTTCCATCGGAAATCCCGCCGGAGTCGTTCTCATCGTCGGTTTCCTCAACTGCATCGTCCGCAGAATCTTAGAGTAGAAAAATTATGTTCGTAAACATCAAATTGGACCTTAGAGAAGGAAGATTCCAAAATTCGTCATCCGAAAAATTGATTCACTGTTCGACAGTGAAGAATGAATTCTTGAGGTTTGGTTGAATATTTGAATTGGGGGTGATTTTTTACATTTCGTCAGTGCTAGTCTGAGAAAGAGTAACCGGTTAAACAATTACACAGATAGGGGTATATCTGAAAATTTAAGTCAAAATATAGCTAATTTTGACCAAAAATAAAATTTTCCATCTTAGTTAAACTGGACAATAATTATGGAACGGAAGGAGTCTTTCCATTTGGTAATAACTATTTTCAGTCATCGGATTGATATTTGCTTTGGATATGTGATACTCTCTCCGTCCCGAAATTGTTGTCCAGTTTGAGTTTTTAGTTTTGGTACAAAATGAACTAGAAATAAAAATCCAAATTGGACAATAGTTTCGAGACGGAGAGAGTACAACATAATAGTTTGTTTCTGTTTTGGAAAAAGGAAAAAAAAAAAAAGAAAAAAAAAAGAAGAAGTATAATTTAGAAAACTACAACTTATAAATGATATGAATTAATCTTTCAAACTGAAAATAAGTATGAGAAATAGATTAGAGTACTATCTTGTTTTATTTTCAAAATTTTACAATAAATTTTAGATGATATAAATCTCGTAAGTCCAATTCTAATACTTTAATTTTTAAAATTAAATTACTTTTCTATGACGGATGGAATATTATCTACGTTTGCTCTCACAATTGAAAAAGATAGAAAATGAATGATGAACAATGGTTATAACAAAATCTTTTTTTTTTTTTTTTGAAACGAAGTTATAACAAAATCTTAATAAAACTCTTTTAACAACTATTGTGGTATTTTATTGATTCATTTGGATTGAACCCTTCTAAGCCCTGACATGTTTATGAAAGTCAGATTAAAATTTATTTCAAAGTATATAGTTATTATTGATCACTATAAATAGTCGTGTGACACTCTTCTTCGCAATAATTTTTCTTTTCTTAGCTCTTATTTGCATTGCAAGTATTATTCTATCTACTACTCAGTTATAAACATGGCGATATTCTTCCCTGCTTATCTTGCAAAATTGCAATTCTAACTGAAACATTTAACAGACCGACCTTTTTGTCCCATCTTATACTCACTGCTACATATTGGACGGAGGAACATAGTTTTTCACAATGTTCAAATTCCCGTCTCATGATTCATTTACAAACCTCTATCATACCTCTTTTTTTTTTCTTTTTTTTTTTCTGAAGATAATCATACCTCTTGTAATTTGAATGGAAGTGTAAAAGTATCAATTGAGAGCTCTTTTACTCTTTCGCTGATGAAAATGGTGATATATTAGGTTGACAAATTCACTAGTTTGTAACGTTCTAACCCTCACATGATATCTGTTACGATAATAATTATTTCTTTTGGTGAATTATTATATTTTGATGGACAGAAGAGTTGTAAAAACACAAAATATTGATTAAGAAAATCATTTTATGTTGGATTATACTCCCTCTGTCCTAAAATTATTGTCCAGTTTGAAATTTCACTTTTAGTATAATTTGAACTAAAAATGAAATCTCAAACTGGACAATAATTATGGGACGGGGGGAGTATCAGAGATCATAACTCTACAATGCCCTTACACTCAAAAAAGAAGAAGGCATGAAAGAGACAAAACAATGTTATGGTCCATCACTTTGTACGTACTGGTGGTGAAATCAATCAAAATATATCATCATATACTGTAGAACTCAACATATCATCAAATTAATAAGAACAACAAAGAGTAGTTTGTTTTGTAGCAGAAACCTCATCAAGGAAAATGATTTCTTTTGTCTTCCCTTGAAGCAGTACTGGATTAACAGCTGCCCCAGGTGATGACGGATCATTATTATTATTATTATTGTTACCATTCAGCTTAGCTTCCAAGCTCTTCTGACTCGTAATCTCATGGATTCTGGCGATCATTTGGACAAATGCTTCTTCAACGTTCACATTTTCTTTAGCAGATGTTTCCAAGAACAGTAACCCTTCAAGCTGTGCCAAGCTCTGCCCATCTTCCAAATTCACCACCCTCGAATTCACCAAATCCGATTTGTTTCCGACCAGAACGATCACCATGTCGGAGCTGCCGAATTGTCTGAGCTCCCGGAGCCATTTTTTCAGGTTTTCGAAGCTTTCTTTCCTAGTTATGTCGTACACCAACAAAGCTCCTAGTGCCCCTCTATAATATGAACTCGTAATGGCTCTAAATCTGGTCAAAACATTATAAAGGGGACAAAAAATCATAAGTATTCAAGTGTCGTATATGTTCGTGAAAATTTATCATTGGCCAACGATACCAGTGTAAAAATTATTACGAGACAGAGAAAGTAGTAAAAAAAATTCAAAAGAACGGTCACGGAAGAAGACAACAAAAACAATTAATATTGCCCATCTTATCAACCAAAAAAAAAAAAAAAGAAAGGAAGGAAGAAAGAAAATCGATTCTCTATTCTACCCGTGATCCTCTATAGCTCAATGTGTAAACAAACTAATGCCTAGTAAGTTCAAAATTATAAACGGTGGGAAGATATCAATTTTGATTTTGTTCTATCCTAATTTTATTTACCGAACATACAATTTTGTATATTTCATATACATAATGCGTTTCATTTGTTTGAAAATAAGAATAATATGTAAGCTAATAGTAGTAGAGTATAACATGATTTTTATTTTGGGAATGAAAAAGTACATTTTTATATTTTGAACATATTTTTTTACACATTTTCATGCGTCAAGTACTAAATCAGGTTTGGTCTAAATTAATGCAGTGGAGGCTAAGAAAAGAACATGTAACACACATGGCATCAATTAAATTCTCTTAATACGTCTAAACAAATAGCCAATGGGAAAAACCAATTCCAAAAGTTTGTTATTGCGTCCCAATCCACTTTCGTTCTCAAATCTGTAATATAGACTTTTTTTTTTTTGGCATATGAATTTTCTCTATATTGTTGGGAAAAAGTATAGCCCAAAACCAATCACCCCGGGAATCAAGGGGATTTTCATTACTCCCAAAAAAACCAACGCCGGCAGCAAGCAGCACAGTAATCTGATTTCGTTTCAATTCGATTGAAAGTTTCAACAAAACTAGAATCATAACTGATTTACGCCTCTAATTGGTCCAAAATGACATATTTCCTCTGACTTCTACTTGGTCAAAAAAAACCATACTGTTCTTGTTACGTATAACACTCAACTACCTCCTGAGCTTTCAAACTTTTAACAGAGGAAGATGAAAAAAATTGAGCTGAAAAACAGAGGACTAATCAAATCGTATAAGAATGATCAAAAGAACAAGAACCCATTGAAAAAAAAAAGAAAAAAAGAAATCCCAGATGAAGAATCAAGCAGATGAAACAAGAAATTCAATCAAGAGTTTACCTTTCTTGTCCAGCAGTGTCCCAAATTTGAGCCTTGATCATCTTATCACCAACTTTGATATTCCTGTAAGCAAATTCAACCCCAATGGTTGGTTTGGAATCCAGATGAAACTCATCTTTAGCAAATCTTGATAACAGATTGGATTTCCCAACTGCAGAGTCCCCAATAAGAACAGCCTTGAACAGATAGTCACACTCCGGTTCATCAAAAGAATCAGCCGAACCCATATTTTTTTCTTACTCCGGCCTAATCCCTCCTCAGGAAGCAACAAAAAACAGAGAATCCTACAAATAAAAAGGGTCCTTCCAATTCCAATTCTTTTGATGATATCAAGAAAAAAAAAAAAGAGGCAAAAAAGAAAAGCTCAAGCATGGCCTAATGCCATAATTACCTTGACAAAATACAGTCTTAGAAACAAAGACTCATCTGGGACTTTTGTTAGGCTAATGGGGTTTTTTTTAGGTTTTATTGAGAGACCGCATGTGACACGATTTGATGAGAAAGTAGTGATGATTGATGGTGGTTCAATCTTCTTGTCACGGCCTGATGGTTTGTTGTTTGTTGTGTTGCTGTTTCTAATAATAGTTTTGCTTAATAAACAAAGATGGAAAGATATCAGAGGAAAAAACTAAAAAGAAAGGAAAGAAAGACCACTTATATAAACACTTTCTTCTTTATTGCCGTAATTCCACTTTCTTAATTGCATATCCTTACTTGTCGAGGATGCATTTAAAGTAGTTCAATGGCCAATGGGATTATTCCACGTGGAATTTTACAAGGCACTTCCTAATTTATTTTTTGTTATCTAGTTTAGTGGACAATCACAACAAATTACCGTCTAGTAAAATAATTTAGTGACTGATTTTAGTGTAGAATCATAATAAAGAAGAATAGTGCTATATAGTCTTGAAAAATTTGTCACATGATAAATTCATCAAACTATTTTAGGGGATGAATTCATTGTTCTTAAGCTGCTCTTTTTGTTAATTTTGTTTGGTGAGAGAAAACGAAAATTTTGAATATGTTAGTCACCCAATTGTCAGTTTATCAAATCCCGGATGTTCTTTTTTTGCTTGGTCACAGGGTCATAGCTTAAGGATAAAGTAAGAATAGAAATCATTCAAAATAACGTGATTGAATTTAGACAATAATCAACAAATTGTAGGTTATTAGTATTAATCATTAGTTCATTCGCTTTGGATAATCATATCTCCTGTCACTAAAATCTGGAAAGTGGGTAAGCCTAAAAGTGGTTTTGGGCCATTAAAGTCCTCAAAGGTGGGATCTCGGAGTTGCCTAAAGATTCATTCAACAATGTGACAGGCATACCATTAAGGTTTAATAAACAACAAATACAACCCAAGTGTAAATAAGAATTGGAAGAAAGGATGAAAAGAACTAAATTGCTTGTTTAAGCCTCCCATTTACATAAACTATACATTGACAATAAGGGTGATGATCGAGACTAAAATATCATTGTGTAAGACACGATTAGTGTCTAATGCAAAAAAGTAAGGATATGTTTGTTTTGTTTTTTTAGTGTGTGTTTTTAGTATTAAAAATATAAAAATGTGTATTAGAAAGGTAAAAAGGTATGCTGAGACATTATTACATGTTATCACAACCGTCATAATAGCTTCAATTTAAAAGTTCGGTTATTTATAACAAAACCAGTACACCAAACCAAACAATCCACTAGAATGAGACCAAAATGTGCAAATGATTATTGCATTCACTAAATTGTAACAATGCTCCACAAAGGCATGAACTGGGTTGTAGTGCTTGTGATTTGCGCCTTCCTATGGGCTGAATTCATCAGGTTTATAAAGTCTTAAGAGAAGTCAACAAGTAGAATTGGGCCAGCAAATTGTACTCTTCTGAGATTAGAATTTAGGGGAGCTCAAAATGACAACCCCACCAAACAAATTATATGCAAATGGTTATTCAAGACCAGAATGGCCCATCGACATATTGGAGCAAAACGACATATAAACATAAAATCTGATTAATCACATCACTGTCTCAAAAGTGGCGATTTCAATTCAACGAACCCTATTCATATTCATTAATCTCATCTCATGGAGTCAAAAACTACGAAAATAACACCGAAATTTTTAGCTTAAATTAGAAAGTCAAATTGCCGCCGTGACGGTCGTGGAAGACTGGAAGACTCCAAATTCCGCCACCACAAAACCGCTAAACGGGAAAGTGGAAACTTCCTTAAGCATGAAAACAAAAAAAAAACGCTAACAAACGGCCTAATGCACGTGATTACATCATCCTTCATCCACAATTATTTCTTGATCTAATAACTTATAACTACATTTAAGCATCTAGCATTAATTAAAATTAATCGCCGGCGACATTCCCAATTTTTCGCCGGAGGAAATAATCAGGCGTCGGCCTTCTTGCTACTGGTCATCATCATCTTAAATTCGTCGAAGCTAACCTTGCCATCCTTATCGGAATCAACGGAATTGATCATTACCTCGCAATCCTCCACGGAGCACCGCTCCCCGAGGCGAGTCAAGATCTGGTGTAACTCGCCGACGGAGATGAAGCCGTCGTGGTCCTGGTCGTACAGCTCGAAGGCGTCGCGGATGTCCTTGGCGCCGCCGTCTCCGCTGCCGTAGAAGGAGGCGAACTCCTCGAGGTTGACGAAGCCGTCCTTGTCGCTGTCGATCTCCTCCATCATCCGGGAGATTTCCTCCGGGGAGGTGTCGGATCCCAGGGCCTTGATGACTCCGGCGAGCTCGTCGGAGGAGATCTTTCCGTCGCCGTTGGCGTCGAACCGCTCGAAAACTTTCTTCACCTCGTCCATGTCCACGTTCAAAGATTGCCTTGAATTACTACTGTCCGTTGTTGCTGCCATTTTTTTGCCTGAGTTTTTTTTAATTTTTTGTGAGGGAAATAGAGCTTTGAGATTCTTGTTTATATAGGAAAGATGGCTGATGGAGATGGAAGGATGGATGTGGGGTCCATATAGGATCACACGATATTTAAAGGTCAAATTGGTCATTGCATACGTGTGTGTACCTATTCTATGTTTTGGGCGTGATTCTCTCTCTCTTTGTTCTCTTTTCTCCTCTCTTTCAAACATTTTCTTCTTCTTTTTTTTTTTAGTTTGCTTTCATCTTGGTCGAGAAAAAATGGTAATGTTTTATTTTAACTAACACAACTAACAGAATAATATTAGGACTTTTGATTTTCTTTTGTGGTAAGTGTGACTATTCTTATACTCCTATGCATATCATTTTTCTCCGAGTCTGAAATGATTTTTCTGTTCGTTATACTGAAATCAGTATAAAAACTAGATCGTCATTTCAAAAGAATATCACAAATGTGAATCTACTTACTTTTGTTCCCTTCCATTCCATCTATAAAAAAAATTATTGCTTGTTATACTACTATTTTAAATTTTTAATATATATATATATATAAATATATATTCTATTTTTCAGACGGAAGGAGTATCTTTTTATTAAGTGTTGCTTTATTATCCATTCAATGTATCATTAACGTGTACATTCAATCGGATGGTAACTCGATTAGTGCATAAATGTAGTATATTTTGCTTGGCAAATAATAACAAGCATCTAGGTACACTTTGCAAGGTGTACCTCATGGGCATGTGTAATATACTCTTTTTCTATACAAGTTGATTTATTTTTTTCATAATTTTCAGTTGATACCCGCATTAAATCCTCCGATTCTCATCCCATTTTTTTCTCACACATTTAATTTTAAACCGTTTTCTTTTTTGTTTATCCTGTTATCTTTTATATTATTTTATTTTATGAAAAAAAAATTTATAGCTATGGATTTTATTTGCGTAAAATTGGATATGATTCATCATCGAGACTTATAAATCCGAAGAATCAATTGGAGTAAAAAATTTGAACTGATTATCAATGAAATCTAGAGAATTAAGCGTCAAATATGGAAGATTTTAATAAATAACAATGTCTGTTCAGATGAATAATAGTATTCTTATCGATGAATAATTATAATATTGTGGATGAATAATGGTGTTCTTATAGTGATAAAGTTATGGATAAATACATTTAAAATTTTGAAATGAATATAGATATCTACAAAGATGAATAACGAAGCAAATGTTGATGAATAATGATCCCATCCAAGATGAATAACAATAATAAAATGAAGAATAGATATACCACCCCATTCATCCAAAAGAGAAGGGATATATTTGCATGATGAATACACATATCTATGGAATGAATAACACATGTTCAAACGATGAATGCCATATATTTACACGATGAATAACACTATTTTACGTTATTAATAACACTAGTCATTGTTTTTAACATATACGGTCTTGAATGATTCGCTGATACTCAACACCTATATGTTGATTGTTTGATTTCAGCAACTCTGCCAAATATTTAATTCTCGACCGATTGTGTTCATCTTGATGAGCCTTTCTTTGCCGTTGATCAAACAAAAAGAACATTATAATAAGTGAGATTTTACATTCAATCAAAACTCTGTTAATCATCAATAACAATGCTATTGAAGATGAATAATCATTTTGAAAATGATGAATAAACATTAAGGAGCCGTTTGTTTAGAAAGAATCGGATTCGGGATTCGGAAACGGAATTCATTGAAGTGTTTGGTTAATGGGATTCACGATTCCTGGGATTGACTGAATCTAATAGATCCATTCCCACCCCTCCCCCCATGATTCGATCGATTCAATTTCTGAATCCTTTTTTCCCTTTTTTTTAATTTAAAATAAATACTTTAATTATTTCATTTTCTTTCTTCTCATCCTCTCTCCTCCATCCCATTTCTCTCTCCCCGTAAAATCTTCTTCTTCCCCTTTCCTTTTTTGCTTCCTTTTTTTATGGCTCCAAATTTCTTTCCATTCATGGATTAACGTAAAAAATTACAGGTCTGAGATTTCTATTCGGACTTGTTTGATCTGATCCTAGTCGGCCTCAAGATTTTTTTTCAATTCTTGTTTTTTTTTAATTGAGTGTTCCCCGTCGCCGTCATCTTCAGTGGTTTTTAGATATGAGATTCTCCGTTTCAATTGGAATTGGGTGGTGTTTATTCGGCCGCCGTTATTGAGATTGAAAAGCATATTAATTGATTGAGATTTGGGATTGAAGGGGTGAAAGTGGAAGTTTTCTGGAGTTTAGACTGTGGTCAATGAAGGAGACGATATGTGGTGGCAGCGTTCATGGAAGATGGGTGGTGGTGGTGGTGGTGGTGGTTTTTGGTAGAGAAGTGGTGGTGGCGGCAGGGGAGGAGGCAGAACGGTGGGGAGGGAAAAAAAAATTTTCAATCTTATTTTTTATTTTCATAACATTATAATAATAATCATAAATAGCAATCCATAACTCAAACCAAACGCAGTATTTGGATTCACGAATCCGAGGGAATTCGAGTCCAATCCAAATCCAATTCCTAATTCGTTTCCTAATCCGTTTCCAGATGACGAAACAAACGCCTTCTAAAATTACCTAAATCGAATCCAGTTGATAACAATCGTGTACAATACATATTACATGATGAATAACAACATAACTGATGATGAATGACATATATTTGTATGATGAATACACATATCTACGAAATAAATAACACATATTCAAACGATGAATGACATACATTGACAAGATGAATAATACTAATGAATAACACATGTTCGAACGATGAATGACATACATTGACAAGATGAATAATACTAATGAATAACACATGTTCAAACGATGAATGACATTCATTGACAAGATGAATAATACTATTTTACAGGATTAATGATACATATTTATAATTATGTACAATTACATATTACACGATGAACAACATCACTTGTAATTTGTATCACAATTAGAATGAATAACTAAGCCAAAATAATGAATAACTAGAAATAGATGATGAATAAACATTTCACAGAAGAAGAAAACATGACTAAAACAACCCAAAATTGATGATGAATAATGATATCGAGATGATGAATAACCACCAAAAATAGATAATGATGTCAAAATCTGATTTCTAAAATCAACCACTAATCGATGAACAGGACTAGAACATCAATGAACTAACATGTTTTAAAGATGAATAATGATATTAAACTGATGAACAAAGCCTATATCTATTAATCTTTTCCAAAATCAACCACAGATCGATGAACAAAACTAAGAAATTGGTGAACTAACATTATTAATCGATGATGAATGATGAATAAACATTTCACAGAAGAAGAAAACATGACTAAAACAACCACACATTGATGATGAATAATGACACTGAGATGATGAATAATGCCAGATCTATGAATATTTTTTGAAATCAACCACAAATCGATGAACAAGACTAGAACATCAATGAACTAACATGTTTTAAAGATGAATAATGATATTAAACTGATGAGAGCACCTGGATCTATTAATCTTTTCCAAAATCAACCACATATCCATCAACAAAACTAATCAACGGGAATAATCTCAAATCTTTGCCACCGGACAAAATACAAAACAGATCTATTAAACTGATGAACAGGACCTAGATCTATTAATCTTTTCCAAAATTCATCGGACAAAACACAAAACAAATGAATAATCTCAAATCTTACTGTAATTCTCATATTCAGCAGCGTATATTGTAACCAAACTCACGGGATTTGATGCACAATCGGATTTCGTCTTCAAAAATACCACCGACGAGAGGTTTTGATGCCAAATCGCTGCAGAGAATATATTGTTTTTAGATTTTTTAGTTTGAGACGTCTTTGGATTGGAATAGGAAAGTGGATGGATATAATTAATGATGGTTAAAAATTAAGAGAGATATTAGGAAATTGAAAATTTGAAATTTTTTTTTTACCCTCTTTTTGGACGCGTAAATTTCAAACTAGGTACACCTTGCAAGGTGTACTTAGGAGCTCTATATTATAACTGTATTTTGCCTCACCTTAAGCCCATGATTTGTGCCAGGAGTTTGTCCCCTTCTAAAAGTTGTTCACTTCTAAAGGGTCATATTTATTTAATGTTGAGAGGCTAATAGAAATAGAAATATTACATCTAAAGAGATCATTTGTGATGGATATGTATGTTTGAGATCAATGGAACTCTATATGCTATTGTCAAGCTGTAAAACCTTCCCCCCCTCCCCCCCGCCCTTCCCCCTTTTTCTTATAAATAGAAAGGATAGTATATCTTTAAAGCATTATAGTCCTTGAATATCTTTTTCAGAGCGTTTTAGTAACAGATTTTAACAATTGTAGTGGTAAGCATTCCTCATGAAAGGACACAACATACCCTTCTCACATAATTGTCATTTTTCCCAAAACATGCTCTATGAAGTTTATTGAAATTTCTTACTTAACTTCTTAGCTTTAAAGAAAGAAAGGTTTTCACGTTCACGTTGAAAAGCGAGTGTGATTGTTTTGCAAACATTATTAAAAAGAAGAAGGATCTCCAAATCTGCATTGTTTCTTTGGATATATATATATCAATGAAACAAATGCTTAAGCATACAAAAGATCATCACGACCTTTGGAGAATACCAAGCCTATCATTGTGTAACACGATTCCTCCATATTATGAATTGCTTTTCGCAGTTCACAAATTACTTACTTACAGTTCGTTTTGGACAATTTTACCCATGAACCCTTATCTAATTACAAAAATCTACTCAAAATTATTTGTCATATAATTTTAATATAACATCTAGTGCATTATTTATTTGAATATAACAAATAAATTATAATTATAATAAAAAATTTATTATAACTAATTTCTACATTTAATCTATACTAATTATTAAATTAAATTAATTGAAGGTTGGCCAGTTTACTCACCGGCCAACCACGAAGAAGTGGCCACTTGTTGGGTCAGCCATCGGCCAACCTTCAAAGGGTGGCCGGCCGTCGGGCCGGTCATCCTGAACAGTACCATTTTTTTTTTTCAATTTTTGTGTTATTTTTATATTTTCTTTGTTATCATTATTTTTTTGTATGATTAATTTAGTTTTATATTTTGTGTTATTATTCAATTAATTTAGTTAAATTTATTTATAATTAATTTTATTAGTGTATGTTGTGTTATTTAGTTGTAATTAATTTACTCAAAATATAACAAAATAATTAATTCATTTACGTAAAAAATAATTATTAAAGCCTACAAATTAATACTAACTAAATACCACATACCTAATTACAAAAACCTGCTCAAAATGTATTTAGCATATAATTTTAATAATAATATTAGTGCATTCTTTATTTGAATATAACAAATAAATTATAATCATAATAAAAAACTTATTATACCTAATTTCTTCATTTAATCTACACTAATTATTAAAATATATAAAATATTAAAAGTAAATAATAAAACATCTCATTTTACAAAACGAAAGCTTATTTCAACGATTTCTTTTCCGACAACTCTAAAATTGATTTGAGAGATTGGATTTGGGAGGAAATATGAGGGATCTTACAACAATTCGGAGAACAGCGAGAGAGGGAGATGTAATTAGCTGAAAGTTAATCAGGATGAGTCTAAAGTGGCAATGCCATATTTTGATCAAGTTTTAAACCACTTTAAAATCCCTAAATATAGTGATTTGATTTGTTATGAAAAACTGAAAAATAGAACTTACATAAACCGAAAATATCAAAAGTAGGGATTTGATTTGATTTGCAAGATGTTGTAGATGTAAGAATCTTTATTATGACTACTATTAATATAATAATTGTAGATAGTAATTCATTTTTGTGATTTTTAAATGTAAAAAATTAAGACATGGCCACATAGGATTTGACACGAGAATACCAACTTAAAGTTTCTCTCTCTGGGTTTTTCTATTAGTATATTATATAGATTTTTTTGTATAATTATTTTTGTTGTATATTTTTTGTTTGTGTTATTGTTCAATTAATTTAGTTAAATTATAATTAATGTAATTAGTGTATGTTGGAGAAAAAGAAAGAGTTTAGGGGTAAAATTGTTCAAAAAAAATTATAAGTGACTAATTTCTGAACTGCGAGAAGTAACACTCCTCCATATTTTGACAAAGGCTCGGCAAAAAATTGGATTCTTGATAGTATTGAAACCCGAGTTTTAGCTAACGCATCCGCCGTTCTATTTTTGCGAACATTATTAGATAGTTAATCAGTCAAACTCTATAGTCCTATGTGGTCCAATCACTTCGGATTGTTCACAGCATTATCTAGTCATTAAAAAAAAATGGTAAATCATAGAAGTAATAAAAAAGTAGGCAAATAGGTAGGGCTCTCAGAATCTCTCTCAGAAAGGTAGCCTTTTTAAAAGCTAGGTTCGGAAAGAGGGAAAGGACCATAACCACCATTTATATAGAAAAAAGAAAGACTTGTCAGAGCACCGCGTAGCGTAGACCTTTGGGGTGGACTAGTCCACGGAACCGTGTGGGCCTCATCAGCTCACGTGGCTCTTACGCCCCGTTACGCGGGCTGGACGTGTTCGACTATTTATTTTGGGTCGACTTTTCTATTTTATTATTGGGTTTAGAGAAAAGCTTTTTTTTTTTTTTTACAAAATGAAAGTGACCTTATTGATATCCATTGGTTGAAGCAGACTGTTCAGCCCTTTGTGGGCTGCATGTTGTTGATAACCACTGATTACTTTATAATGCAACTTGGCCCATTTTGTATTCCCAAAGATGAAGCGGTTGTTATGGCAACTGCTGTTTTTTTTTTTTTTTCATTTGTTGGTTTGTTCACTTGTTCCTTTCAATGTGTTTTTCTGTTATTCCAACATTGCATAACAAAAGTTTTTAAAACATATATATTAAGAGCGATGGAAAAATCAAAATACATCAATCGGAAGTCGTTATAGGGTCGCATATATTACAAATTGTTCGTTCTTACTTTTTTTTTTTCCTTTCAAAAAAAAAAAAAAGAACAAATTGTTCATTCTTTTGATTGTCAGAACATTTTGCAGGTACATGTTTACATTGCGCCAAAAAAGGAAACGAGGTCATAAATTTGCGCCTTCTTCTTTTTAGTTACCATAGTTTCTTAAAAAAAAGTCATGATGCAGTACAGGTCTTTTCTTTTTGATTGCAGAGACTCCACTTCTGCCCCGTCCTTTCTTTTTAGTTAGCTCACATCTGATATTCCCATACAACTGGATCTCTTTTTCGGAACCTGAAAATTCTTTCTATTGACTTACCACGGGAGCTAGGAATTTTCACAGCCCCCGACCGGTTCTAGTAGGACGCTTATGGGGCGAAGCTCTTCGTGTTTGCTCCATGTTTTATACATGAGCAAATGTGTGATGATGGATGCCACAATGCACAGTTCCTTTCTGCGTACCCCATGTCCCATTTCCTGACCTTAGCTCCTTTGATGCATCCGGTTTTCGCCTTGATGCCGATTAGAAACAAAATCTTTAAGGCCCTTTCAAGTATCATAAACACTGGATTTTGCATATTCTCGGTTAAAATCTTCACTAGGTTGATTTTTTGCATTGCCATGCAACTTATCAAGAAGTCTCCAGGTAACTGAATCAGGAGTTACACTGTTCTTTTTCATCTCCCCACATATTTGATAGGCTTCTTTCTTCAAGCCTAACCTGCAAGCGTAATCGATCAGAATGTTGTAGTTCACCTGATTCAGTGCAACCCCACAGTCAACCAATTCATATAGGAAATCACAAGCTTCATCAAAACTGCAAATGCGGCACAGCCCTTTCAACATGGCTGAGTATACATAATTATCGTGAATCTTTGAGGGCCAAATAACTTCTTCCCATAACCTCTTGGCCTCGTCTATGCGTTCAGAATGGCAGAGTCCATCAATAACTATTGCATAAGTTTTACAGTCAGCAGCAACTCCAGCTGTTGCCATGCTATTAAAACTTCTCATAGCTTCATCTACCTGATCCATATTGAATAACCCACGGATTAGCACATTATAGGTTGCAACAGCAGGTCGAATGCCATGGGCAGGCATCACATTTTGGAACATATCAATGGCTTCTTCAATATTTCCGGCATCTAACAGGCCAGAGATAAAGGTGGTGAAAGTTACTACATCTGGGGCAGAAAACTTACCCGACATCATATCTTTAAGTACCCTTGATGCATCAGGAATTCTTCGCATTCGACACAAACCTTTAACAACAGTATTCAGGGTAATGACATCAGGATGACATTGTTCTTGAAGCATAGAAACAAGTACGTTCAGTAGTTCAGTTGGATTATCCATAAAACAAAGAGCTCTCAAGTATATATTGTAAATCCTAGTCTTATGCTCACCAGCTACATTTCTTAACATGATATTGACTACTTCCTTGGCTTTAACAATATCACATTGATGACAAAGACCCTCTACCAAGTGATTATAAGTAAACTCTGAAGGCCGATATCCAAAACTTAGCCCTTCTTCCAGCAACTGATATGCCCTGAAACAATCTCCCTCCACACAAAGGCCATGTAAAATTGTATTATAAGACTGTTGGCTCGGAGTGAATCCTCTCTTTCTCATCATGTAAACAATCCTCGCAGCCCCGTTGTACCTTCCATATTTACAGAGGGCATTAATCATTTCCCCGTATGCAAACTCTTCGGGAACACTATTGCTCTGCGGCATATCCTCTGCCACCTTGAAGACTTCATGAAATAATCCTTCTTTGCAGAGACAATTTATCACATTCCCAAAAGCTGCATTGTTAACGAGCTTATCAACCTCTTCATTAGCCATAAACTCCCACAGCTTCTCCAAGAAATATCTCCCCATTTCCACATCACGTTTTCGCAAGAACCCTCCAATCAGAACACTGTACGTAACCGCACTAGGCTTCACTCCGCAATCACGCATTTCGTCGAACAGTTTACTTGCATTGTCCATTTGGCCAATCCCACAATATCCAGCCATCAAACTAGTGTACGAAACTGCATTAGGAAGATGCCCTCTTTTCCTCAGATCAAAAAACACACAATGGGCTTCGACGGGCATGGAAAGAGCGCAAATTTGATGTATCAACCGATTGTAATTAATCAAAGAAGGAACAAAATATGGGTTATCACTAATCAAACCGCAAATCACCCGCAACGTGGAGTTCGGAGTACCGGCGTAAAGCAATCGGGCTACAAGAACATTACAGGTCCGCTCGTCCAAGATGTTAGATTGGGAATTGACGAAAAGAAGCAGCTGGTGGTGGGCTTCGGCGAAGCGGCCGGCGTCGCAGAGACCGTGGATGATGCTGCCAATATTAAGCGCGTTAAGACGGTAGCCATGAAGGCAGATGTGCTTGAGAAGTTCAAGTGCAGAATCGACGTTTCGATCGACGGTGCAGAGCTTGTGGATGTGCTTGGTCCAGTGAGCATCGTCGGTTAAACTTTGGAAACTGAAATCGTCGTGGCGGCATTGGGGATTCTGGTGGCCGAAAGTGGAGAAGAAAGAAAGGGAAGCGGCGATGCCTTTGGGATTTAACGGCGGCTTTGTTGAAGATATCAAACGGAGAGACATTCTTGTGTTTGTTCAATTGACAACTTCATTAGAATTTTGGAGGGAAGTACTTTTAATTGTTTTCTTCTTACTTGAAAGAGGCAAAAGCGTGTGGATGAAAACTCAAAAAAAATGGGATTTTTCAGCTACGCAAGTGAAGTAAAAATAAAATTTGTTCCAAACAAACAGTCCCAATTCCTGTGCATATTGTAGATTCCAAATCCAATCCCTGCTCAATAAGGTTTATGATACTCAATGATGCCTCCATGAAAACACAAGACGCCATTTTGGTCGTGCATTATTTCTAGATCAAATGAACACCACGATTTATAGACAAGATTCATATTTAATACTCCCTCCGGTTCTTAACATAAGGCATTTTAATTTGTCTTAAATTTCACCTTGTACACATTTTTAATTGAAAAAAAAACCTTAAAAACATAATTTCACATTCGTTGTGTTGTTTTGATTGTTATGAAATATTTTTAATACTTTTTATCAATTAAAAATGTGTACAATGTGAAATCTAAGACAAATTAAAATGCTTTATATTAAAAACCGGAGGGAGTAGTAGAGAAAACTCTGGAAAAATTTTTTTTTTCGAGGGAATCCCATAACTACTCCACGATTTTATTTATCAATATTAATATAAAAGTCGCAAAATGTTTACTTCTGTCGAATTTACTAGCGCGACTTTCATGCTTTCATTGTAAAGCCGACTAAGAATTTGATGAAAACCAAAATTCATTGTATTGTATCATTGTTATAACAGAAAAATAATTCATAAATTATTAAAAAAAGAAATATTTGAGTCAACAAGAAATTCAAATAAATTTTTTTTGTAATAAATAAATAAAAAGGAAAAATGAACCTTGAGTCGACTTTGACGTCGAGTTATCTAACTCGATGACACGGTGGACAAAATTGTGAATTCTGTACTTTCAATCCACGATCTCCTAGCTGGCTAATTACCAAGAGAAATCGATAAGGGTGGACAAATTGAACTAAGGCCCCCCATGGATATACTCAACACTCTTGTCTACAACATTATAGATCTCTGTATCCTTTCCACCTCGTCCCATCGGGACGAACGATTCAAAGTAATCATCCGTAAAATAAATACAATCACTTCTGATTCCGCTTGCCTCAACCTCCGCCATTGAAATAGAAATTGCACCATTAAATCCAACAAATATGGCATCTCCTTTTAAATTTGACATCACCTCGCAATTCAATGTCACTGTATCCAATTGGTACACTTTGAAAGTTGTATTGCAAGAATACTTATGAATATCTTCATCTGATGAAATATCAGCATCGTTGTGGCCTAGAAAATATTCATCTCTATATATCAAGAGTAACTTCCCGGATGATAATTCCACCAGATATACGTGTCTGTAGAGTAGTCGATTCATGGGATTATCATCCCAAATCCAAAAATCTCCCACCACATTGATTGCATAAAATTTTCCTTTGTAGTAATTCACATAGAAGAATGGGCATGTATTTTCCTTTATATGAGTCCAGGCCTAATCTCTGGACCTCCAGAAGCCTAGACGGGAATCACCACGTTGTATAACCAATTGTGTAAAAGTAGACATCTTAGAGGGGTTTTGTAACAATACCGCTTGTGAGATAAAATAATGACGAATTTTATTTCTAATACTATTTCATCCGTCCTAAATTATCGATTGTAGTGACAATGATCAGACTCTCACGTTGACTTTATAAACACTAGAAAGGATATAAGCCGGAAAAAGAAGGAAAGGATTCCTTGCGTCGACATATTGCGTCGACTTTAATAAAGCGACAACAAGAAGTCGACGTAATTACTAAATACTAGCACTTGAGAAACAAAAAGAAATAACTTTTGCTCAAAAAGTCATCTCGTGGAAATTCTGGGCTTAGCACAATGAGAACGTCTTGTTTAAGTTCATCTACAAAAACATCTGCCTATTATATTCTTGGTCTTAGATTGTGACAAAAAGAAAAAAAAAAAAAGAGCGAAAATTTTCAATTTTCACAATCTCCATGTAATACTCAAATAGAAATTTAAAAAATTCGATATAAATCGATTTTTTTTGACACGTATAGAATTTTTCTAAATTACAAAGAACTAACTCTAAAAAAGCATTCAGGATCGAATGCGAATTATTTTGAATGTAGTTTGCAATGTTTGCAGGATCGCGATCCTACGTAGGTTGAAATGCAATCATAGGATCGGATCGTAAACGGAATCGGTAGGATCGCAATAATAGGATCGTAAAATTAATTATACATGTTATATAATTAATTACTTTAATAATTAAGTTTCAATTATCTTTAAATAAAGTATTTAACATTTAAACGAAAATAATTGTGTAAATTCAATTTTTCGTATGCGAATTTTTTCATAATTTTTTAATAAAAACTCTTCTCTTATAATTATTCTTTTTATTTTATTAGAAAAACTTTCTAAAATACATTTCTCTTAGCAATTAAAGTTTTCTCAATGAATATTAGTCTCAATTGAATGTAGACCAAAAGAAATAAGGAAAAAGAAAAATCTCAATAAGCTCAATTAATTTTTTATAATTAATGAATAGTAAACTCGAAACAATCCTACGATTCTGACCGATCCTATGCGATTCTAACCAATCCTGATCAATTCTATTGTAAAATTCAAGTTTAATCGATCTAGGATCGATTTAGGTCCGATCCTACGATCCATAGTATGCAGTATGCACTGTTTCGCTAATTTCTATATATTATTATGCACTATACAAAATTCTAATTAGAAAACATGAGGAGGAAAACCAATGGGAATGGCGGAGGAAGACAAAGCCTGTTGCAAATGCACGGTTAATCCATAATTGCTGTTTTCAAGACTCTTCACTTGATCTTCATATCTCTTCACCAATTCCCTCAGTTGCTTCTTTTCTTCATCCTCCTCGTATTTCTTCTGACGCTGATGCTGAATCACCACAGCTTTTTTCAGAACCGAATTCTCTTTGGACATTGCTTCAATTTTCTCCTGCATCAACCTACTCTGATGAGCCCCCGCCGGAAATCCTCCGCCGCCGGCGACTTTGACCGGCGCGAATTTCTCTAGAATATCCTCCAATAATCTGGAAGCACGAAATTTAGCATCGTCGATGCTCGTCGCGGCCATCATCTCTTTGATCATCAAATCTACCCATTCCGCTTTGATGTTGTCGTCGTCGTTGTTGTTGTTCGGAGGAGGATTATCACCGCGGCGGTGGTTGACGTTAAAATCGTCGTCGTTGTGGGTGTTGGATTGTGGGGTTGATTCAACTGAACCGGTATCGGCTACACTGAATATATAATCTCCGCTCCGAAAGCAAACCTTTTTGGTCGCCGTTAAGTAGTATTCCTCCGCACAAGACCTCTTCCGGCCGGCGATCTTCGTCAACGGCGACTCCACAAATCCTCGGTTCGGCACACATACTGCTGCAGCTGCCATGTTTTCTGGGTAATATTATTTACACTATGACTTATAATAATCGTCGCAATTACTTCTCCAAACAGAAGCAAATTTGGTTTGGCGATGATTTTTTCAATTTGGGAGAATGGGCGGATTTTGTGGTCTTATATAGGCTTTAGGATTGTCCGAATACCACGTCCCAAACAATAATCGATTAGGAAAAACGATGGATAATTGGTAATTACCATAATTTCAAAACCAATACAAACAAGGAATGAGAACTGAGAAGCTTCTAGAAGATTACCAATTTCTGGTCGGTCCCATTATTTTATTACTACTAATTACCTTATATTGTACTATAATATACTTGTTTCATGTTCATAAGGTAGTAGTAACAATTAGTACATCAAGACTAACAAAATTAAATAAGATTAACCTACAAAATTATAACCTCAAAACTAAGATCCGGGTAACCCGGCGGTTGGGTCCGGGATAAGCTTCTAGGCAAAAAATCAGAAGATATTGATATTGCGCTTGACAACATGAAAGGGGTTGAGTTTTGTGAATTAGTCCATCAGTACATGATGTCATCAGAAACCACAGGAGGATTTGTTGTGATCAAAAGCAACCCGGATCAGTCAACGCACTTGGAAACAGCTAGAATGTTCTTGTTGGATGTTTGGATCGATGTGGCCCACCTTAGATCTGAAGGTTACGGTGAAATTAGTAGCCGGATTCCAACAATGGTGGAAATCGGCACCCCAGAGGTTGATGCATGTCGGAGGGATTTGACTATTAATAGTTTGTTTGTTCTATAACATTCACGATGGTTGCATTGAGGACTTTACTGAAAGAGGAATGGATGATTTGTTGATTGGAAGAAGAATAGTCACCCCATTACCTCCCAAGAAAACATTTTTGGATGATCCCTTACGTGTTCTTCGCGCCATACGCTTTGGGGCGCGACTTGGTTTTGAACTAGACCATAAGTTGGAAGGAAGCTGCTCGTGACCCTGAAGTCAGAATTTGTATGGAAGAAAAGGTTTCCAGGGAACGTATTGGCCACTGAAGTAGATCTCATGGTACCTGGCGATGAACCGGTAGAAGCAATGGCCTGCATCTCTGATTTGATGTTGTTTGGGACGGTTTTCACTCTTCCTGTGTCATTTGAGCCTGGAATTTCAGACGGATATGAGATATTATGTGTTGCTCACATGCGCTTAGCATGGGGACTTTTGAAAACAATTGGCTCTTCTTTCATCACAATTGAACAGCGGAGGCTGTGTCTGTATGCTGCTTTATTGCTTCCATTCAGAGAGATGGTGCACAAAGACAGCAAAACTCGGTGGGTTCCCGTGGTCAACTACATTCTCGTCAAATCTCAAGATGAAATTAAGCGATGCTGAAACTGTCGTAAAGTTGCATATTGCAGCTCAAAAATTTATTCCTCTGATAGATTGTATCGGGTCAAAGGACGAGATCAGGCAGTTTATTGATGTTGATTGGAAAGGCGAAACTATCGACGTTTGCGCGACGAAAAAGATTAGGATACTGGTTGGGTTGCTCCTTCGAGACATGAAAGATAACTGGCGGCTTGCATTGGTACTGTCTATGCTCTTGATCAGTACTGCAGATATTCACTCTGCTCAACAGATGTATAAGGTAGTTGAAGATTGTATTCTGGGACAAGGCCTAGACGAAGTTTGGAAAGTTAAGCCTTTGGTTAATGGGAAGCAGATCATGACTGTTTTGGATCTCCGGACTGGAGGACCGCTAGTCGGGGAATGGCAACAAAATCTGCTACAGTGGCAGCTTGCTCATCCCTCTGGAACAGAAAACGAATGTATGGACTGGATGATTAAATCACTGAGCTAAAACATGCGAGGACAGAAGGACTATTAACAGGTTTTTTTCCTCTTGAATTTTCTTACAAGAAATCATTTCGTGTATAGTTTTTGATGGCATTGGCAACTTTGATGTCTGGTTATCTTCCTGATGTTGCAAGTAGGCTTCAACCTTTGATTTCTGGTTATTTATGTATCAAAAAACTTATAATATGACATTATTCCTAAACCGTCTCTTATAAACACCTTCATTTTAATTCTTCATATGGCTCAATTGACTCGAGCGCAATACCTTAACATTCATCACAAAACCAACACCCAATTGGCCAATTTCATCGCCAAGGAGACCTTCAAAGAGCATTATGGTCAAGCCATTAGCCGTATTCGCCACAAAACCACTCCAAAGCCAATCCGCAATGTAAATGCCTTATAATTAGCACGAAACATGTACATAAAACATCTATTATGAACTTGTTAATTGTCTATTATTTTTCTGTCCGAATCATTATTTTTTTTCCCCAATCCCCCTCACAGAAAATATTTTAATTACGTTGATAAAGACATCTTAGTCATCTTCCAAACCAAATTATTCTTTTTGTGATTACAATATCAGAGATTTACATGTACTACTAGCCAAGGCATAACATTCCTAGTTTCCTACCATCCTACTCAAGCTGTCTGCATCTTACTTAAATTATAAAATATTTCAAATTGTGTAGGATATTTTGGAGAGAAGACAGAAAAACAAAAACAATTTGCTAGCGTATTGGAGGTCTTTTTATGATAGTACCATAACTCAGTACCCAAAATTACTACTCTTTTTTTTTTGATATATTACGCACCCGTATCTGAAATCATTGTCCTAAATAGTCTAAATTCGAGCCGGACAGTCTTTTCGGGAGACAAAACTCTCCCAAAATTACTACTCTGATGAGTTTGAATTTGAGTCGAATAACTTTCTTTGTTCAAGCTTTTGGAGTTCTGAGATTGTTTCGTTATGCTTAAGTACGAGTTCTTAAAACAAGCTTAAAGTTGGGTTCTGACAAAGCGATTGAAATATGAAAATGGACATAAACTTCAGCTTAGACTTTAATCTCGGCAGGGGGCTGGAGTAATTCCTACTCAAGTTGGTGTGTAATATTACAAAGTTCTTTCGGTGGTCAAATGTTTCGTCCTTAATCATTCAATAACCATGGAAGAATCGAACTTTTTTGTTCAACATGTCATGATCAAACCACTTGATAGAGAGCATGATTCCATTATGGTAAAAGACCAAAAACCAAAAGAAAACCCCCAAGAAATTCACACAAATCATCTCAAAAATGCCACAAAATTAAAGTAACAAAACATTACCAGGAGCCATAGTAGCTAGAAAATTGGTCCCATTGATAAGGAGGAATCACAAAAGTACATCACCAGAAGTCACAGTCCATAATAAGATTACCATATGATCATACCAGATAGATTTTCCTCTTTTCTTTGCTAGCATTGCAACAAATAGCAGCAGTAGTAGTAATAGTACTAATAGTGGTATCTATAGAGAAACTAGAGCTTATTAATCTAAAAGGAGATTTTTTTTCCCTCTTCAATGGTGGGGGCAGAAAGTGACCAAATAGCTTCCACCAGTGCAAGTGGCAATACTAGTGGGATCATCATAAGCATAAGAGTAAGCCTTTGGGCAAGCTGACTTGAAGATCTTGGAATAAGCAGTTGGCTTGCAAGATTGAGGGGTTGCAAAATCTCCAGTGCAGCAATACCTTGCAGAATTGAATGCAGAGCAAGCACTTTTACAGGCCACTATTATGTTGTCATGAGACCTCACTTGAAGCCCAACTGGGCAAATGTTGTTCAAATCACTCACACATCCAGCATAGCTACATTTGCCTAAACAAGAACATGAGTAAAAATAGTATTAGTACATTTTTTTTGTATGTGTTTTTAATTATGTTTCATTTTAGATCAGAAATGAACAAAAAGAACACATCACAAGACTTTAAAGATACTTGCTTTCCATGTCAAACAATAGCAAAGTTACAATCTTTGGATTAAATATCTCTGTTTGGACCACTTCATAGTTCGATTGGCCACTAATTAATGTTGTATTAAAAGATTAGGTAAGCAGTCATGCGATATCCCTGAATAAACTCAACAGAGCTGACATTGGATGATCATATCATCATAGCATTCCCAAACAAAACATTAAGAATGGATTAAAAAATAACTGAAAAGACACCAACTTTATAGATTTTAAAATCAAAATCAAGTTAAACCCATAAAAAGGTGAGGATTCATAGAGAAGAGATTTGAGCCCTTTTTTACCTGATCCACGGAATGGTGTGATGGAAATGGCTAGATTGTAACCATCAACAAGGCTAACATCATAGAAATCTTGATCTTTTCCGAGAGTAATTTCAGCCAGGGTAGCTGGAGGAGTTCCACCAATGCCCTCACAGAACAGAGCACCACCACAGTCGCCGGTGGCACAACGGCCGCGGCCATTTTTGTCAAAAGTGCAACCGTGGCGACCCCACATTCGGCCGGACCACCCAGGTGGGAGGCGGAGGGAGTAAGACTTTTTCGGCAGGAGCTTGAATCCGCCACGGGCTAAAATGGGCTGCCCCGCACTTGGCTGAATCCCTGGCCACACTGGATGGGTGCATTTGTTGTAGAATGTCATTGTTGTTGCTGAAACTCCAACTGTAAAGAAAAGAATATTTCATTTCATCCATTCATTAGTAAAACTGCACAAAACCTGGAACAAATCTGGAATGCAGAAATCTACAAAGAACAGAAATTTAGGGGAAAAAGGGGACATTTTTATAAGATTACCTGAAATGTCAAACAAGGGGAGGGATAGGAGAAGCAGAGCAAGCAGAGGTTTCAGCAATGTCGCCATTGGGCTAAATGTGGTGGTGACTGTGAGAAAGTTGCTGCAGAGGACTTGAAGAATGGTGTTCTTTTTTGAGTGTCAAACAGCTATTCTTGTTGTTAGATCTCTTTTAGGTGTATTGGAATGGGGGGAAGTGTTTTTTTTTTATAGGAGAAAGGGTGGTTAACTTTATGTCAAGTACTACTGTTGATGTATGGGTAAAATTATTTGACAGAGTTGGTGACAGGTTTTGGACCAAGTGAAAGTATTCATGGCATGTTAGTTACAAAATGAATTCTTTGATTAAAATTGTAAGAACTAAGTAAGTTGTTTAGAACAACATTTCATTTACATTTCTGATAATGAAAAATCAAACCCTTATAATTTATAATTTTGTTACAATGCATGATTTGATTAAGATATTAATTCTTAATAAGAAAAACGACAATCATCAAATCGTGTTTTATATTTGTAAGTCAATAATAATAGACGTTACATTTACGTCACAAGTCGTTTTCCCAAACAAACTCAACATGTATGCAGAGACTATAGTGTATTAATGTTCATGTTATACTTGTGTTAATTGAACATGTAAATCATATCAAAATCTTTCTTTTATTTTGTGTTAAAAGTGCAGTAAATACAGGTAAAGATCGTATGATATCATAAATTAACCCCACTAAATATCAGTTTGGTTTTGTCCATTGGAGTTCCTTTCTCAAGTTTCAACATCAAACAAATGAAAGTGAAATAAAGACATCAAAACTGAAAGAATCCCAATATAATATTAGAGCAATCCCAGAACCCAATTAACAACAATACTTCCCTAATGAGGGGAATGAGATTAATGTTTTGTGGAGCACAGCAAAGTGCATGGGAGGTCGATGATGACAAATGGACAAAAGTAGACAAGTAGCTCAGAAATCGAGGTGGTGTCAGAAGGGTGATTGTGGGGGTAAAGTTGTCCGGACACCGAAGGAAAAAGTTTTACCAAATTCACATGCTCAAAGGGAATCTGGACTCCATTCTGCTGCAAATTATCTGGCTGCCCGCCTCATTTTTTTTATTTTTTTTTCTGGATTTAATTGTGACTTGTGAGTCCAAAGCGCAGCAGTTGTTGCACACTTCCACAACAATGGCATTTCCCATTCCCAAGTTCCAAAACCCTCATCACCACCGTTTCTTCTGCCTCCAATTTTTTAGTGGGAAGTTGACATTTCTAGTCCCACCACTAAGGCACTAACAATTCTTGAAAAATTATCTCCACCCTTGTGTTACAAGAGTGACAATTTGGTAACATGAGGATCAGTTTGAATATGATATGTATTCGTTTAGAATGTTGTTAAAAAAAATCACGATTAAAATTAAAATTTTGATTTGAATGTGACATGTATTTTTATAATCATTTCACGGGTTTTTTTTTTTTAACAAATAAGTATATATAATAGAAAAATTGAAAAGTTGCAGTTGTGAATTTAAATGCCAGAGTAAACATGGATCATTTGAAGTGTTGGGCCAAATTCCCCCGCAAAGATTGTCACAGTGTCAGGGGGGGTACAAAATTGAAGATCATTAGGGCAAACCATTCTCCCAGGAGAAACTAGAAAAGTGTATTCGATGGTCACACATCTATGTTTTTGGATAGTTAATTAATTAAATTACGTTCCCCCATGCAGTCCTCTTCGCATTGTCTCATGTCTCCATCATATGGTTTTGATTACTACTGTCAATCTTTTGGAATTTTTTACGTTTCACCTGTGCAGAATGGTATTTAAAAAAAAAAAATAATAATAATTGGTTCAATAGTCTCTAGAAATGCAAATTGCATGGAATTGTGGTACAATTTTGGTCTTTTGCTCTTTGCCTTTTCCCTTAAATAAAATATTTTGTCGGTAAAACTTTGTGGCATAATGTTTACACTCTATAAAAATTTATTATCTAGATTGATTCAAGCTCGAGTTGATAAGGTAAGTTCATTTTAAAGAATAAAATCCGAAACCCAAATATTAGTAATTGATCGATCTATAAATGAGGATTCAGATTTTTTTTTTTAATTTTTTTTAAACTTAAAATATGTTTATAGTCTAACCCAAGTGCCTGTTGAAAAATCAGATTTCACAATTTAGGATTTTACGTATTACTATTCCAAATGGATGATGATTTACCCTGCTTCCCTAATTTGAATTTTCAGTACATGTGGACCTCATTTTGAAGAAGAAGGATCGACAGAAAGAGTTCTTTCACTTTAGAAACAACAGCAAAGCCCATGAAAATGTGTGACTGGCAACGGTAAATTAACGAGGTAGAATAACTTTATGCAAAAATATCCTAATAAAGTGAAAAAAAAAAGAGAGTAAAGGTAATAAAAACAGCCGGCTGTAATAGATTAGATTCCCGTTTGATGTTAATGTGGCCGTTGTAAGGTGTAGTACTTCTCTTTTGTATGAAGATGTAGTCCTACTGAACCATTTCCAATATAAATACACGTATTTTTCCAACATCTCCGTTCAGAATCAATGATAATCCGGAAATAGATAGACTATGCTCGTTACATTTTCACAGGAAAAATTATATACACATAACAAAAAAGGAAGGAAACATTTCACGTTGGGGGAGGTCACAAGTTCCTCCCTCGTGATGCAAGATCTGATTTCTGATATGCATCTGTGTTTGAACCATATGGAGATTACTAACTACTCCAACTACGATTTGTTGTAATAATACTAATCGAACTATTCAATAGAAGACAGAATGAGTATGTTTGGCTACATTACATAGAAGAGTAGTTGAAACTCTAATAGTACAGGTATTTTAATTAGCCATTTTGTTTCTATGAAATTTTAACATATTTTTCTATGTGTGACACTCCTCTTTCTGTTCGGGTAAAAAGAATCTAACTTCCTTGAACAGGTTTAACTCAATAAATTTATTATACTACCATTTTGGTGAAGTAAATTTTTTTTACATATTTGCAAGGTGTTCACCGTCGGCAACAGTGACTAAATCCTCCTCGCTGAAGTAAATTTAATTATTGGGACATGAATCTGGAGTTGTCCAATTGCCATGACATCATAAATCAAAGAAAGTAGTATAAATAGTACTCCCTCCATTCCAAACTAAGTGTCGTTTTGGCAAAATAGAGAAATTCCAAAATAAGTGTCATTTTCGGATTCCAATGCATTTTTTGTCAAAAATTTCCAAACATACCCTCAAAATAAACAATATTATTGGTAACATTTATTTTAATGGGGTTGGTTGAGGATATTCTAGTAATTTAGTTACCCTATTTAATATTTTTTTAAACTATGTGCAAACTCTAGAATGACACTTATTTTGGAATGGAGGGAGTATCTCTATAATCTGGGAGTTGGACTTGGACCTATTTCTTAAGAAATTGTCACGCCTCGCGGGTCGAAGGCGGGTCACGGGTCAAGTTTTTTAATTAGGTTTTTCGAATTGGGGATGCGGACGATGTCGTTTGGAGAAGTTTGCTGCCTACGTTTTGTCTGCTGGATATTTCCATGCATGCATGACTCAGCACTTGATCTGGAAGCTTCTTCAAATTACTTTGGCGTAAAAATAGATTAATTACTTTAAGTTAAGCAGTAAATTGAGAGCTAGGGACGATGATTAAACCATTTCTGGCATTGTGGGAGAAATCATGTTGTTTTATGAATATAATCATCCTTATCTCATCTTTTCTCTTTCTCTTTCTTGTTGTCTGTCCTTTCTTCATCTTTCACCGTCCAATTTTTGCCAAATCTGTCCTATTTTCACTTATCCCTATTCACCGTTGATGCATTACCGGATTTGGTAACGGAACCCTAGTATAAAACATCCTTATAACCTGACAATTGGTATCACCAGAGCCGGCCGTCCTTGGCTATTCTGAGTCAAGCAAAAATGACAGAAACAAGAGCAAAGACGACGCAGGCATTAGAAGAACACATTAAACGGCAGGATCTACAGTTGTTGGAGATCGGAGAATGGAAAAAACAGATAGAAGATAAGATTAACAACTGGGGAAATCTGATGGAATCGAAAGTGGAGCATCAAGCCCTGCAGCTACAGACGATATCAACACAGTTGGGGGAGTTGATGAAAATGGCGCATGGAAATAAAGGAGAACCATCAATTTTGGGTAAGATTCCTAGTACGATCTTGGCCGATAACGTTACAACAGTGCCTGTGAGTCCTGTAAAGGTTAACTTGGTAGAAAATGAACCGGGGGGAGTAGTAGTGGATAGATCGGATAAATCTCTTTGGTTTTTTCAGCCTAAACTGGAATTACAGAATTTCTATGGAGAAAATCCGAGAGAATGGCTTAGAAAATGTGAGAAATTTTTCAGTATTTATGATGTAAGTGATGAAAAGAAGCTGGGTGCTATAGAGTTATACTTAGAAGGGAAATCTGATCCTTGGTTTCAGGGGCTTAAAAGGGTCAAACCTAAATTATCGTGGGGGGAGTTTGAGAAAGAGTTAGTCAAAAGGTTTAGAGAAAAGGGTGGAAGAAATGAGATAAAGGAGTTTAACAAATCACTGCAAAAAGGTACTGTCTTAGATTACCATGAGAAGTTTGAAGAGTTAAAATCCTTGGTGCTGTGCAAGGATCCTCATTTGACGGAGGAATATTTCATATCCAGCTTCATTAGTGGATTGAAAGAAGAATTGAAAATGATGGTGAGACTACTAGAACCATCATCTTTACAGAGAGCTTTCGAGATTGCTACAGTCCAGGAACAGACCTTAGAGTTCACTGTTAAGATGAAATTGAGTAATTCTGGAGGAGGAAAGCCATTTACACCCACGGTTAGAGCACCTCATGTCATAAGAAACAACCAGGGCAACACTTCTAAGCCAAATCTGGAAGGTTTCAAAAGGTTGTCACCACAGGAAATACAATATAGAAGGAACAACAACTTATGCTGGAAGTGTGGAGACAAATGGGGGCCGGGCCATCTTTGTAAGCTCAAACAGGTGAGTGTAATTACTATGGAAAAGGAAGAAGATAGTGGAACTCTTCAACTATTACACGAGGAAATGGAGGATGCTGGAAAGGTCCTGGAACTTCCACAAGATCAACTACAAGCCATTACTCAGATGGATACTTGCTGGCTGTAGAAGATGAAGACATGAAGATTATTGTGATAATGGGGGTGGTTAATGGAGAGATGGTAAGGATTCTCATTGATACGGGAGCTTATAAGAGTTTCATGAGTGCAGAATTGGTGAAGAGATTGAGACTATTGACTAGAAGAATCAGGCCTTTTGTGGTCACTGTGGCAGATGGACATAGAATAAAAAATGATCAAGATTGTCCAGATGCTAAATGGTCGATTCAGTAATATGATTTCTGTTTTGATCTCAGGATTATTGATCTGGGAGAATGGGATATAATACTGGGAACTGATTGGATGTCTAGATTCAGTCCTATACAGTTTGATTATGGCAACTTTACCATTCAACTTCATAGGAAAGGTGAATGGTTTCTACTGAAGGATCTAGGGTATGAATCCCATAGAAGAATCGAGGAAGTGATGGTGGGTGTCAACAAGCAGAAAAGAAGACATGTACAGGAGTTAAGGGAGTATGAAGAGTTGAGGAGACACAGAACCAGAAATGATGATGAAATATATATGAATGCTGGATATTTGTATGCAGTGGAAGTGGAAGATCTACCCCCAGAAATAGTGCAACTGTTGGAAGAATTCACGGATATCTTTGAGGAACCAAATGCTCTTCCCCCTCAGAGAGCAATTGACCATCAGATATGTCTCAAACCTAGATCAGTACCGTTCAAATTGAAACCATACAGGTACCCTCATGCACACAAGACGGAAATTGAGAGCCAAGTTGACAAACTTTTCGAATCAGGAACAACCAGAGTAAGCAACAATCCCTATTCCTCCCCTGTGCTGCTGGTTCAAAAGAAAGATGAGTCTTGGAGGATGTGCACAGATTATACGCATTTGAATGAACTGACCATCAAGAGCAAATACCGCATTCCTGTGACTGAAGAATTATTGGATGAACTGCTGGGATCAAGGATTTACTCCAAGATAGACTTGAGGGATGTTTACCACCAAATCAAGATGAAGGAGGAGGACATTCTCAAAACAGCATTTCAAACCCACCATGGCCAATTTGAAGTTCTGGTAATGCCTTTTGGGTTGACTAATGCCCCTGCAACTTTCCAAGCTTTGATGAATCAAGTCTGTAAACCCTTCCTGAGAAAGTTTGTGCTAGTGTTTTTTTTATGATATTCTGATTTACAGTGTATCTTTAGAAGAACATGTCACCCATCTATCCATTGTATTAGGAACTCTTAGAGAGAATCAATTGTTTGCTAAAAGATCCAAGTGCAGTTTTGCTCAGCTCTCAGTTGAATATTTGGGACACATCATTTCAGAAAAAGGAGTGGAAATGGATCCATCCAAGATCACTAGCATTGTGAATTGGGTACAACCTCAAACAGTGAAGGAACTGAGAGGATTTTTGGGGTTGGCGGGGTATTACAGGAGATTTGTGAGGAATTTTGGTGTCATTTGTAAACCTCTCACTAAACTATTGAAGAAGGATTCTTTTCAGTGGGATGAACCTGCCACTCAAGCATTCAATCAGTTGAAACGGGCATTGACACAAGCACCTGTTTTAAGACTTCCTGATTTTAACATGCCCTTTGTAGTTGAAACGGATGCTTGTTATCAAGGGATGGGAGCTGTTTTAATGCAAGAAGGGCATCCCATAGCATTCCTCAGTAAAGCTTTCAGTCCCAAGAACTGTGCATTGTCAAACTTATGAGAAGGAACTTCTAGCAGTAGTAATGGCCATTGACAAATGGAAGCATTACTTGCAAGGTTACCACTTTATCATAAAAACTGACCATTAAGCATTGAAATACTTATTAGAGCAGAAACTCACAACTCCTATGCAACACAAATGGTTAGCTAAGCTGCTTGGTTTGGATTATGAAATCTAGTATAAAAAGGGGAAGGAGAACATTGCTGCTGATGCTTTGTCCAGAAGAAATAAGGAAGAGGAGACTCTGATGGTGATACAGTCAATCTCAGCTGCAAAGCCCGTGTGGATGCAACAGGGCTGAGAGAGCTACGAGGAGGATCAAGAAGCACAGGAGTTAACAGCAGTGGCAGTCACTGATCCCAATAATGAGCAGGAACTGCAATATGTAAATGGAGTGTTGAAGCAAAAAGGAAAGATCTATGTGGGAAAACATACCACACTCAGGCAGTAACTAATAGAAGCTTTTCATTCTTCTCCATTGGGTGGACATTCAGGCCAGAAAGCAAGTTATCAAAGATTGAGATCAGTGTTTACTTGGCCTAAAATGAAAACTGAAGTTGAGGAATTCATCAGAATATGTGTCATTTGTCAGACTCATAAAGGAGAGCACTTACCATATCCAGGTCTCCTTCAACCTCTGGAGATACCACAGCAGGCTTGGAAGCACATTTCCATGGATTTCGTTGAAAGGTTACCTCCATCTGAGCAGGGATTTGACAGCATTATGGTGGTGGTGGATCGCTTAACCAAATACTCTCACTTCATACCCATGAGACATCCATTCACTGCAAAACAGGTGGCGGACATATTCTTCCAAGAGATTTTTCGTTTACATGGTATTCCAGAGGCCATAGTGAGTGATCGTGATAAGATATTCACTAGCCACTTTTGGAAAGCTATGTTTCAGACATTAGGGGTTAAATTATGCATGAGTACGGCTTATCATCCTCAAACAGACGGACAAACGGAGAGGGTAAATCAGTGTGTTGAAGCTTATCTCAGGTGCTTTTGCAGTTCAAAACCAAATGAATGGGCAGCATGGTTGGGTCTAGCTGAGTGGTGGTACAACACCACTTTTCACTCCAGTGCCAATATGACACCATATGAAGCTTTATATGGTAACAAACCAAGCCAACTGCCCCTGGGAGAGTATCATTCTCTGGTTATACTGGCGGTGGAAAATATGTTGACTCAGAAGCAACAAGTGATCAAAACCCTTAAAGACAACCTGGAAAAGGCTCAGTATCGCATAAAATTCTTTGCTGATCAGAAGCGCACAGAAAGGACTTTATCTGAAGGGGACTGGGTATACTTGAAACTACATCCTTACAGACAGAAATCCGTGGCACTCAGATCATCATTGGCTTTAGGAGCAAGGTACTATGGTCCTTTTAAGGTTCTGGAAAAAGTAGGAGCTGTAGCTTATCGTCTCCAACTTTCGTCTCATTCCAAAGTTCATCCAGTGTTTCACGTGTCATTACTGAAGAAACACATCGGAAAGGTTCCTGTAACTCCCACAGAGCTGCTTGATTTAGCTGATGAAGAAGAAGGTCAACTGATCCATGAGAAGATTTTACAACGGAGGTTCATTAAACGTGGAGAACACAACGTGGTACAGTGGTTGATCAAGTGGAAGAATTTATTGCTGGAAGACTCCTCCTGGGAAGACAGTTCATTTATTACTAAACAGTTTCCCCATTTCCAGACTTGAGGACAAGTCTGTTCTCTGGAGGAGGCATTGTCACGCCTCGCGGGTCGAAGGCGCGTCACGGGTCAAGTTTTTTAATTAGGTTTTTCGAATTGGGGATGCGGACGATGTCGTTTGGAGAAGTTTGCTGCCTACGTTTTGTCTGCTGGATATTTCCATGCATGCATGACTCAGCACTTGATCTGGAAGCTTCCTCAAATTACTTTGGCGTAAAAATAGATTAATTACTTTAAGTTAAGCAGTAAATTGAGAGCTAAGGACGATGATTAAACCATTTCTGGCATTGTAGGAGAAATCATGTTGTTTTATGAATATAATCATCCTTATCTCATCTTCTCTCTTTCTCTTTCTTGCTGTCTGTCCTTTCTTCATCTTTCACCGTCCAATTTTTGCCAAATCTGTCCTATTTTCACTTATCCCTATTAACCGTTGATGCATTACCGGATTTGGTAACGGAACCCTAGTATAAAACATCCTTATAACCTGACAGAAATCTTCTTGACATTATCGAGTTCCAAATATATGGGCCAAGCTTTGATGTCCACAACTAAACTTTCAATTTGTCTAGTATAAAGAATTTGGCCCAATCGGGAGTCCATGATAATGTCTTTAAGACAACGGGCTCAAAATGTGAATGACAAAGATTGAAAAAAAGGCAAAAATTTCTCATGTCAGAGGGAATTTGAGATCAGATAAAACTCTTCTAGGTAAATAATTTATGACTAACTTTACCTGAAATACATTGTGAGTTTTTGGATTCAGCCTAGCCTTTCGTCTATCTTTATGCACCAAAATACTAATGTAATGGTCATTTAACGCCAAATTTGTCTTACATTATTATTATTTTGATGAAAGGAATGTGCATAGTAGGTATGGTATGGCCTATGGCTACCAGAAACCTTGGTAGAATAGGACAATGGCAAAATAGCCAATTCGAAAAGAGGCATAATTATATATACATATATATATATATATATATGTTTTGTACACTGTCAACAGTGCAATATTTGGGCTTAAATTAGCTGACCAGGAGGAGATGGGGGGAATCACTGAATCAGAGATTTTCCTACGAAAGATAGGACTTGTCACGTTCATGCCCTTTGAAATTGTTTTTTTTTTTTTATAGAGCTAAAGATAGTTCGACTTTTACAAGGCACTGCTGTATTTCTTGTCTGTACCTCTTCTACGTTAAACTATAAACTGCATTTTGACCAAAGACCCCTGCAATTCTCAGCCTGATCATTTACAACAGAAGGGCTTTGGTATTGGTGCTTTTTTTTTTGTTCCAAGTTTTTTGTTTTCATGCACCCATACTACGGGTCTTTGCTCCCAATGCCCCAGCTAAGAGATTGATAAATTTGAACCTCCCTAGTTTACAATTGTACATGAGCGTGGTTATTTTGTGACACGATATAAAAATTCAATTCAGAAAAATAAAACATTACGTTTAATTTGTTTTGTGAATAACGAAAATTAACATACATGTTGTGCTATAGAAGTCACATCTAAAGAAATATTATGCGAAACACGAAACACGACGAGATTATATATGTGTGTCATTCTTCTTAACTCTTGGGAATCATTACTTCATTATTAGAATCTTGGTGTCATTCTTGAGGGGGAGGGTTAAATGATGGCCTCATCATAAATGGGGAAGAATTTGAAGAAAGATGAAGAGGGTCACATGGGGGGACTTCTTTTCTAATTTTTTTTTTATTATTATTATAAGAACCAAAAAAAAAAAAAAGAAAAGAAACTACAGAAAGGATATGAGAACTTGTTGCCTGGTTAATATGTTTTGGAGTCTTAAGGAATTGTCATTTTCTAATACCAGAGAGAGGGACACTGTTACTTTGTTGGCCTAAGTCACAATTAATTCTATCTCTGACCAATTCACTATTCCCCTTCTTCTTCTTCTTCTTTCTTTTCTTCCTTCCAAAATTCCTTTTGAATTTTTCTCATTCCTTTTCCGTATATTTTTGCTTCCTTCCCCCATTCTCTCACCTGTGACTTGTTCCTATCGAGTAAAAATGTTATGTCGATGTGCATAATATATTATCACACAAAGAGACAATATGTCACATGAAAATAATCACACATTTTTTTTTAAAAAAAATACGATACAAATAGGACCTGCCTATATTAAACTAATACTTTGCATCCTCTCACTGAACAGAAGTAATAAATCCCACAAAAGCACTGCAAAAAATAAAATAACATTAAAAAAAAAAAATAATAACAATAAAGGAAAGGGTTCAATCAAATCCTCATGTCATCAACAACACTGAGGGCTGATATACTGAGATTTTTGACTCACTTTGAGGAAGGAAAAAGCACAATCCCTCAATTCAAGGTACAAGAGTTTAGTTAGAATTGGCAAAAAAAAATAAAAAATGATAGAGAATCTCATGCATATATTTCTATATGTCCTTTCTCCATAATGCAATCTCCTCCAATTCTGAATTATGATGATTTCAACCTGGCTTCATGTTCCCCCCAATTCGTTTGTCTGGGCTCTTAAAAACTTTACGGAAGGTATTCGATCTTTTTACAAAAGATATATATATAGAGAGAGAGAATAAAAAGGACATATCAATTTTTTTTTTTTTTTTTCAGATTGGATTCCCCTATTTGATCGAGATTGGTGTCATGAAAGGCATGCAGGAGCTTGGAATTTTCACCATTTTTAACTTTCCTTTTGGTTCTTTCACTACCTTTTTGAGTTTTTTTTTTTCCCTCTCTGAATCTCTTTGTATTTTTTTTTGGGGGAAGGTGATAGTGTAAATTGGGAAAGGAAAGGGGAAAAAGTGTAGTAATGAAATGGAAAGATGTCTTTGCTTGATCTTGTAAATTTTAATCTACCTCTGATCAATCAATTTAGATTCTCTTTATCATTTTTTTCCACGTAACACTTTTTATATTAGGCATCGAAAGCCGTTCTTATATACTCCCTCCATATTAAAATATAGGTTACTTTAGACTCTACACGTAAACTAAGGAGACAATCATTTAAGAATTAATTTGTGTATTAAATTTCTATTTTACCCATCATTAATTGTTTTAGAATTATAACGAGTACTAGATGAAAAGTGATGAACATTATTTATTGGGAATAAAGTTGAAAAGTTAGTCTTTAATTTGCCTTGAAATCCTAAAACAACCTACATTTTGAAATATTTCTCTAAACCTAAAGCGACCTACATTTTAAAATATTTCTCTAAACTTAAAACGACCTATATTTTGAAATAGAGAGAGTACTGTTTAGATAATCAATAAAATTAATAGACCAAAAGGTGATCATCCACATTCTCCCTCTACACACTCGATAGACAATGTAGTAAATATTTCATTAACTCCCTGAAGGCTCCATACACAATTAATTTCCCTTAGACTTCAGATAAAATATTGGTCAAAATTGATTACTCTCTGCTGACATTTACAATTTTGAGGTGGTGATTAATGAATATCGTCAAAAAAAAAAAGAAAAATGGCCTTCTTCTTTCCATTATGGTTCATACTGGTGACAACAAAAGTGGAATTCGAGTATCTCTTAATTAATTAAACCAGGTAACTAACAATAGAAAATATTCATCACCTGTAAAGTGAAGTTGTAATGCTTGTTTTTTTGCCATTTATGTATATCACGTTTTCCCTTCCTTTGTTTCAGTGCGAAGCGAATCTGTTCATCGTGATTCTCATTTTGTCCATTTTCTTCAATCATTTTTCATTTAAACTGCGAGAGTGAGACCAATCTTATATGTTATGAACATTACAAATTTTTTAAAACATATATTACATACTCGATGTCTGAAAAATAAAAAATCACGGACTCAATTAATTTGGACCGAGCCGCGCGCATAGAGGCTACTTAAATTTGTTGTAGGTGGCGCAAAACCCAGCTTTATGAATATCTACTCTACAGTCTACACTGTTTCTAAAACGTTCAAATTAACGCATCTTGTTTCTTGACGAGTCCATATCCATCGAGGATTACTGGACCGGCCTATCAACCAATCATGGTCCAACCGACCTGATAGAACATGAAATTTACTGGGATTCGACATCCTTCAAGGTAGCTTCGTACCTATAAATAGGGTTGGTCATACCACAATGCAGATACGCTATCTCTAGCACACAACACTACTCTCATACATTCTTTAAACCCTTTTTCTAACTTAAGTATCAGAGTATCTACCATCGAGAGACCTCCGAGGCCCTTTTTTGCAGGAAACCCTAACCGGAATTCCACTACCAAACCGGCAATGTAAAACCAAGTTTCGTCAATTCTATAGTTAAGAATAAATAAGTCATTTTCTTATCGTATATATTGTCCAAATTATCGGTCATGCATGATTTCGAGGGAAGATTATTAGCAACTAAAGAGATACACTTCTAAAACTTCTTACCACATAAAAATTTCTTTCGCGCGAGAGAGAATGTGAATAGAAAAATTTTAGATTTGACAAAATAATCGTATTTACTCCATTGAAATAGAATGTGAATTTAATTTGAAAACTAATTAATCAAAAACCTTTTTACAAAATAGTAACGAATAAAAATGATGTGAAATAAAGTCCATAATTTGACAATATACGTTAAAAAATTAGTGATTAGATTTCCATAAACTGACCATTTTCTTTCTTTTTTTTTGGGGGTACAGAAATGACCCTTTTCTTTCTTTCGTTTTTTTTTGGGTGCAGAAATGACCATTTTCTTTCTTGGATACAAAAATCACAAAAATTTTCAAATGAGAATATAAAAGACAAGGGTCAACGCAGCATTAGCACAAATTATTACCCGCATCAATGCGTTTTAGGCTTTTCCTCTAGCTTGTTTGGTTCTTGTCTTAAATACGAAGGGAATGTAGTTAAAAATCAACCATTTAAATAGTCCATAAATGTTTTAACTGCGATTCAGAATCAGAAGGCTCACGTTTACCAAAACTTCTGATTCACTTAAACATCCCCATTGATCTCAGAATCTCGGATTTCAACGTTAAAAAACCCCTTCTCGGTATTTTCTTCTGGGAAAACTTATCAAATCTAATCCATAATCCATCAATCCATCTCTTTTTCTCTAGTGTCTATATTGTGTGTGTTGAATGAAGATCAAGCAAAATTAAAAGCAGTGTTTTTTTCTTTTGACAGTTGACACAATTCACACAGCATAAATATTAGTAATATATATAGTATTATAGCTAAGCTAATAAGTGAGTAGTACAAGCAAAGGCCTAGCTACAAAGACCTATGTATAATATGTAGCTATATAGGCACCTGTGGTTTAATTTGATGGTTGCTAAAATTGAACTTTTTCATTGATTATATCAGCTATCACCTCAACTCAAACAACCTGGTCCAAATGCAGTTTTAGGCAAACAAGCAAAATAAAAAAAACCCTTAAATCCAATCACCACCCAATTCCACATTTGTCAACTCCTCCATGAAATGTTACATCAAACATTGTTACATTAACCAAAAAAAAAAAAAAAAAAAAAGGAAACGAAGAGACCTTTACTACTTCACTAGATAACTGATCTCTAGATCAAATAATCTTCTCAATAAAATTCATAATGCTATTGAGAAAAACTCCTTAATTAACTATCTAGGGATGATGATGTCAATTTTTTCAATTCTTCAGAGGAAGGAACTCGAAAAACTTGTAGTTAGGAGCAGCAGCATTGTTAATGCAGGCATTCATTGCATCAACAGATGAACCCTGACCCGATTCCTTATCATCAGCAACATCTTCATTGCCATTATTGTCGGTGTTTCGGAGAGGGAAAAGTTGTAGGGTTTGATCAGAGTGATGATGACCCTCATGAATGATATGAGCCGCAGCAGCAGCAGCAGTTGAGTTAGTAGTAGTACCCGAATTCGGGTGGATATTCAAATAATAATATTGATCGTGATGATGGAAGTGATCATTTGATGATGATCTGTAGGGATTAATGAAGAAGGTGCTAGGAAGAACCTGGTCCTGATGATGATGTTGGTGATGAGGAGTACCATTAGTCTTGATTAGTAATTGCTTTGTTGGGTCCATTAACACTGTTGTTGAGGAAGGAGTACTTAAAGCTGGAGGAAGAGTACTACTACCAGTTATGGCAGAATTAATAATACTACAAGTGGAAGAGTTTAATATTTGGTGGGTGGGAGATGATGATGAAGAATGAGGAGCAGGAGGAGGAGGAGATATTGAGGAAGAACAGCAAGAAGAAGGAAAATAATGCATTCTTTGCTGCCACGTGGCATTCCTTTCATGATGATGATGATGATCATCATCAAGGCTCTTATTTCTTTGTTGGAATTCTGCAGCATCTTCGAAATGTACCCATCCATCATCTGCAACTCTACATTCTGGAATTATTGCTGCTTTTGCTGTCCTTTGCATTGAAGAACCAGTTTTCTGCTAAAAAAATCACAGTTTTCCACTCAAATCAATAGCCTTTAATCAAAAAGCCTGTTAAACAATTAAAGGGATCCCCCTAACACCCTTAAATAAGTCTAATTAATTAAGGTCATGCATTTTCATAATGTGATAAAGAATGTTTCAAGAATATCAAGGCACCTGATGCTGCAAAATTCATGTATTAAAAAGATAAGCAGTACTTTTCTAAAAAAAAATGTTATCTTTAACAATTTTTTTCAAGTATTTTAATTTATGGAAAAAAAGGGGGTGGCCTAATAAGTAATACCATACATTCAAGTGTATTGGTTAAAATAGGGTGTCCATATGAAGTGTCAAGGTCAAGGCATGAATAAGCACAAAACCCCAAAACCCTAAGCTATGTTTGTTTTTGACAACAGGGAAGGAAAGGGAAGCAGCTAGCTAGCTTATATGTTAGCAGACCCGACAGAAAGGAAGGAATGCAGCTTTTTGAACAAACAAAAACCCCTTCTCATTTCCCAATAAACAAAATCTTTCCTTTGTTGTTGAAATTACTTCAAAAACAAAAAAAAAATGAAATAAACCAACCAAAATATGAGATATTATTATATCTCTCCTCTTTTATCCCCATAAGATTGCTAGTATATACAACCAGAATCATTGTAATCATATGCATATTATTGTTAACATCATTACTTGAATCTAATCATGATGGCTTCATCTAGCTAGCTATCTGGTTTATTCATATTTAAACCAACCCAAAAAAAAAAAAAAAGAAGGGAAGAAGACAAAGAAAAAAGAAAGGAAGAATGTGGAGTAGAATAGGATAGAATATAGACCTCTGAAAGAGGAGTACTGCAGTGAGAAGAGGATGGCCAGTTTTTGGTTGCTTCAGCTTCTTCTATACCTGTCCCATTCCCTCCTCCTGTGTTTGCGTGTAGACAAACACAAAAACAAAACCCAAAACCAAAAAAAAAAAAAAAAGATGAATTAGTACACACATTTTGAAACTTTACTACATATCTCATGCAACAAACAAAATCAACAAAATAACTTGAGATCTAACAAAATCACTACATATCAAAACTTCTAAACCAAATATTCACCATTTTTACTATACATCTTTTGGCAGTGAAATTAAAAAAAAAAAAAAAAAAAAAACACCCCAACAAAATAAAATACTCCAAGAGTTGTTTTGTAACATTTAGGTACTTGCTTATGAGCTGTTTTGCAATTGACATTTCATTGATCAACAGTAGTAGTAACTAAAAGACAAGATCGCAGGATCATATGACCAGGCTGTAAGAAGGAAAGAAAAATTTGATCTTTACTTACTATAAACTTACCCAACTCTTCGTCTTCTTTTAATCTTTCTGTGTGTTCGACAGCATTATTATTGTTGTTGTTGTTGTTGTTGTTGTGTTGGCCATCGGAATTAGTAGCAGCAGTAGATTCGAGCTGGCGACGGCGTTTCTGTCTCTCACGGGCTTTATGGTTTTGGAACCAATAAAACACATTCTTACCTTCAATCTTCCCGTACCTTCTCAGCTGTGCTGTGATGTGCTGGATTTCTTCGGCCGACGGCGTCCGGGTTCCCCTCCGGTATAACTCTTCCAGGGTTTGCAGCTGCTCCGGTGTCGGATTCCACCTTGAACTCACCACAACTTGTTGTGGGTTGAATTCCGATCTCTTATTTTGCTCACTCATCGCAGCTGAAATAAGACGTGTTCCAATTCAATAAAGTAGACTATTTTTTTCCGAGACGGTCATGAATATGAAGTAAAAGAGTGACAGTTTTTGTTATTATTAGTACTACTTTTGACTTACCAAGATGGTGATTGAAAGAAAGAAGATCAGAGCCATGGTGGATGCGGCCTAAACAAGTAGGGTTTATAACAGCTCCTGGTCTTGGCACAATGGTTCTCAGCTTCCTTCCGCTGAAGGGATCCCCTCCATCATTATAACCCATCATCCACATCTTTCTTATATTGACAGCAAAAAAGAAAATTAGATTTCTTTAGATTTTCTTCTGTTCAATACTTTTCTTGATGAAGAAGGCTTCTTGAGAAGTAGTAAAAGAGCTAGCTAGAGCATCTTGATGTATATATTTTGTGTTATGTCAAAGAATTGGCCTAAGTTCAGAAAGATGAGGGATCACTTAGAAATGGAGAAATATTGAGGTTTTGCTTTTCTTTTTCTTTTAATGTTTTGGTAAATGAAGAGACAATGATATATAGGAAAGTGGTGTTGGGTTAAAATTGAAAAGAAGAGAAAAAGAAAAGGAATGAGTTGGTTGACTGACTGGGCTACAACATAATTACTATAGTACTAATACTACTACTGCTACTACTACTCCATTTCAATAACTCATCCCAATGTATTCTTTCTATCTTTGCTTTCTATCTTGCTTTCTGGGGAGGGAGAAAAAAAAGAAAAAAAGAAAATGATAGCAAAAAAAACTGAGGGGAAAAAAAAAGGAAAGCAAAGGAGAATTAGGGGGTCGGGAGGAAGAAGAAGAAGAGAGTGAATTAATGGCCGACTTGAGGGAGGAGGAGAAGAAGAGAATGAGAGAAGGGAGGGGGCGTGGAATTCTGGTGAGTTATGGGGAGATGTGAAGTGAAGAGGACGTGACGATGATAGAGGGTTATCATAAGAGAGGCCTCAATATTCACTTTTTCTTTTCTTTTCTTTCTTACAAAAAAACCTCATTTATTGCTTCTTCTTCATGTCCCTGTCCTGTGCCTTTCACACTTATTCTAAATCCAAACTGCCCCTCCTTCCCCCTTTCTGTTTCATTTCTATTTGTATTTGTATTTCATCCCCCCTCTTTTTTTTCTTTTTCACTCCCTTTGTGTAATCTTACATCCCTCTCATTTGAATAATGTTCAATATTGATTAGTCCCTTTTTTTTTACCTGTCCATGATCTATCCAATTGTGTCTCAACTAACAAGTTTTAAATTGTACACACATCTTGTATGTATGTAGTGATTCAGAGAATGAATTCATATAATAAATGGTAGGAAAATTTACGGAAAATGATGTGACAGAATCAGAACTATACCCTAATTATTGATATACTCCGATAAGGTAACCCTACTCAGATTATTATCCTGTCGTAAAATGTATGATTCAGTAACTGATGTAACATTATTTCTCGGTATGTTTCCTCTTTCAAAAAAGATGATAATTGGCTACTTTGTTTGAATCCACGCAGAATAATTTTCGTGAATGTCGCTTATTTTAATAGGGTGGTTTTGTAGTTCGATGTTTTGATTCAATACTAATGAAATATTTTCTACAATGAATGCAGTTTGTTACGTTATTATTAGAAGAATTGGAACCAAATAGATTTTTATCTAGCCTAGTCTATCTATGTATGAGGTTTTTCTTGTGTGTATTCTTACTCTTGTATGTAAATGTGCGCCTGAATATCGAGATTTTGAAACATAATATAGAGGGTGGAAGAGTGCACAACCCTTATCCGGTCAATTGTATGCTATTACTGATTGGTACATTGTTTCGTGCCCATATATATACTACACACATTGATATTTGTCCTTTGTGTTCATACATGATGCAGCAAGGATATAACACCTTTACGTGCTATCACAATTACTGTGTCCCTTTTTGGAATCTTCTCTCCCTGCAATTTCTAATGTTCACCCTTTGCAATTTTTGGTTTTTTTTGGGAGACATTTTAGAGAGAAGAAAGAAACCACCTCTCAATCTCTCTCTCTCTCTCACCTATCACACCTGTGGGTGTGTGAAAACTGCGTATGCTTAATGCATGCATGTCCCCATGACCATACAATTAATATATTTCCAGGGTCCTCCAGAGAAAACCAAAAAAAAGGGGGAAAAAAAAACCAAAAAAGCTTAGCTAGTCGTAATATAAGATTTTCTTAGCCTTCACTTCTTTTCTGCAATCTGCATGGCCATTATTATGGAATGATAAGAACGTGTGTGTGTGTTTGTGTGTGTTGTGTGTGTGTATTCATGATTTAGCTAGGTCTATCAGTGTGTATGTGTGTGTGTTTGTCTTGTCTTGAGTGCAGATTTTAACGCAACTTTGTCCTTCTCCAATAGTCTTACACTACTGTTACTATACTGGTCACATGCCAATGTATATAATAAATGATGAATTTTCTTCTTCTTTTTTTTTGAAAATAAATACATATTCTTTAGGGAAGGTTTTGAAACATTGGTACTTTTTTTTTTTTTTTTTTTGAGGGGGGTTTTCTGATGAATGCATGCAATTTTCTGAGCATGTCTCCACCTTTTCTTTTACCGTTATTAAATACTGAATTTGTAAGCTAGGTAGCTTGATCTAGCTAGGTCCTGTCATGGTGAAATGAATAGGGTTTTGTATAGCTGTTGGCATACCAAATGAGAAGTACGATCAGATATTGTTGAAATTAATTAAAACGGTTTCCAGCAAAAGTCTACCATATGCATGTAAAGTTCCTCATATGCATGAGGCTTAACAGTAAAATACAGGTTGAGTAATTTACAGGATATGGGTTCTTCATTTTTATTTTTATTTTTTGAAACAGTATTAGCACGCTTTTGAATCACATGTACACTATCAACATCGTAATTAACTCTTTCTTTTTTGATTATACTCATTATTTTGGAACGTGAATTATCAAGAAGCATTTGATCAAAGTGTCACAAGTTAAGGTGTTGGATCCGGCTCACCGGTCTACATGATCCGAGTTTGAATCTTTTCATATAGATACAACAATGATTATAATAGACTATTCTATGTTATATTTATTGGGAAGACTTTGACCAATCCGGCAGTCTAGCCAAGTCTCGTATCAAGAAATTTAAATTTTGATGATATATATATATATATATACACACACACATCTCTGAAGTAAATAAGGGGCTGTTTAATTTATTTTTAAATAAAAGACTACACATGAGCTTATTTTGATTTCATCTATCTTAGAAGTTAGATTGAGAACCCATGAAAATTTCTTCACATAAAAATACAAAATTGAGCCTGCTTACCCTTGTTTGATAGTTAATTAGCAGCACCAAGAAGACCTCAACTAGTGGCATATGAAACTTGAAAGGTGGGAATCAATTTTTTTTACCTATTTAAAGTAAGTATCTGTGAGGACTCGTGTCAATCTAACGTGAGTTGTTTTCCCGCCTAAAATACATCTTCAAAGATTGCTTCATTTTAATCTTAAATTTTTTTTGGAATATCTAATTCTTAATTATCTTATAATTATGAGAATACAATGAATATGAAAATATATTTTTTTAAGTAAAAGTTATAACGAAATTAAAATGTCTTGTGATAAGGATGAGAGGAAGTATCGAGTTCTTCTCCATTAATTTAGCATCCACCCATGAGGATAATTCTCCAGTTCCTTACAGATTACTACTATTTAATATTTAGGCCCGATACATCGATTGTGTTTGCCTGCTGGTGAAATGCTCAAGGTATGTTGCATTTTCCTCAAAATAAGGCTGCAATACTTACTATGAACCAAGACAAGGTAGCCAGGTAGGCCTAGGCCCGAAGTTGCCCGTAAACTTTACTTGCATTGTGTGTGTTTGATACTTTGATCTTCTCTCAAGTGAAATTATCTTCTTTTTTTTTTTTGCTATATATTACTCTTACATTAGTTTTTGCCATTTGGAAATGGAGAAAATGAATGAAACGAGAAAGTTAATGATGTAACTTTATCAGTTTTATTATACTACTCTGTGGTATACTTTTATTGGAAGCGGTAATTGACATTTCAAACATTATTACTAATTAATTAGAGTATTGACGTCCTTTTTGTACTCAATTTCACTGACGCCAATGTTCATATCTGCAGTTGAGAGGATGCTTACACTTCAAAGTCCAATCCGATCAAGAAAATTAGAGTATTATAATTGTTATTATTACTCCCTCCGTCCCATAATTATTGTCCACTTTGCCCAAAAAATTTTGTCCCAAAATTATTGTCCAATTTGACTTTTTATGGATCAAGTTACACATTTGTCCTTAGTAAAAAATATTATCCATAAAATCTTAGTGGTTAAACAATTACTTATGTAGGGGTATATCCGGTTGTTTAAGGTAAAATATAGTTAAGTTTGATCAAAAATAAAATCTTTTAATTTAGTAAAACTGGACAATAATTATGGGACAGAGGGAGTATTATTTTTTTGGTGAAGGTTATCAATTTTGCGGGACATAATCCAAATGGACGGCCGATGTTTATATGCTCATTACTCATTAGTCATTGTCAAGTGCCGGGGAAGAAAAAGAGGGGGAACCTAAACTAATTGTTGAGCAATTAGGAATGGGGACGGTAATTACATGGCAAACTTCCACGGGCTTGTGAAAAGCTAATAAATGTGAGTATATTATGAAATAATCATAAACTGAACAATTATTTTTTATGGAGTGAGTATATATTTAATTCCAACTTTTTCCTTTGTGGTATTCTTCAACTATTCAAGTTGTTATTTTATCTTGCAATTATTTGTAAAGATTTTACAAATTTATCTAATGAAAGAGGCCAGAAAATAAAGGTTTCGAGTTGTCTCACGATTATGGTAAAATGAAATTCATATTTCAGCTGATATTTTGCAATTGCGACTAACTCCAACCCCGTTTTGTTTTGCATGGAATGGTAGAAATGTTTATTACCTCACTTAATTGGATCATATAATTGGTAAGACATGCAACTTCCGCCGGCAAACATTTTAAAGAAAACCCAACAAATGGCCTATTCTAATAAGCTTATTCCACCCAAAACCTGACGGTCAACCGAAACTTCCAATTTTGACTTGGCCGGACAATTCCACGCCGTCCGATTTCAAATAAGCACATCTGATCTCTACCCTTCATTACAATTGCAAATAAGCTGATTTTACATTTATAAATCAAAGCATCCCGAAAGCTTTCTATACAAAGAAACTGTTGTTTGAAATTTTTCCCTGTTTCGAAATTTGTATCATTTGTTAAGCCAAAATGCGTGAAATTCTTCACATTCAAGGTGGACAATGTGGGAACCAAATTGGATCAAAATTCTGGGAAATGGTCTGTGATGAACACGGGATTGACCCAACTGGGCGTTACAATGGGACTGATGCACTTCAATTGGAAAGGGTTAACGTTTATTTCAATGAAGCAAATGGTGGGAGATATGTCCCCAGAGCTGTTCTTATGGACCTTGAACCAGGAACTATGGATAGTATCAGAAGTGGCCCTTATGGCCAAATCTTTAGGCCAGATAACTATGTTTTTGGTCAATCTGGTGCTGGAAACAACTGGGCTAAGGGTCATTACACCGAAGGCGCTGAGCTTATTGATTCTGTCCTTGATGTTGTCAGAAAGGAAGCTGAGAATTGTGATTGCTTGCAAGGTTAGTCAGATTGATCGATTCTGTACAATTTTTTTTTTTAAGAAAATACGTTAAAGTTTGAGTCTTTTGATGTGATTTGTTTATTTTGGTTGAAATTGATTCAGGGTTTGAAGTATGCCACTCACTTGGAGGTGGAACAGGTTCTGGAATGGGAACCCTTCTGATTTCGAAAATCAGGGAAGAATATCCAGACAGAATGATGCTTACCTTCTCTGTTTTTCCTTCTCCTAAGGTATCTGACACTGTTGTGGAACCTTATAATGCTACCCTTTCTGTTCATCAGCTGGTGGAGAATGCTGATGAATGTATGGTGCTTGATAATGAAGCACTGTATGATATCTGCTTCAGGACCCTAAAACTTTCCACTCCAAGCTGTAAGAATTTCGAAACATTGTCCATTATTATGTGCAAATTATTGAGTGTTTTTGGATTCAGGAAGAGTCTAACTTATGGATACTGTTGTTTTTCCTTGGTGATGATCAGTTGGGGACCTGAATCATCTGATTTCAGGAACAATGAGTGGAATCACATGTTGCCTGAGGTTTCCAGGCCAGCTGAATTCTGACCTGAGGAAATTAGCAGTGAACTTGATCCCGTTTCCTCGGCTTCATTTCTTCATGGTTGGATTTGCTCCTCTTACATCCAGAGGATCACAGCAATACCGGGCGCTTACTGTCCCGGAGCTAACTCAGCAAATGTGGGATGCCAAGAACATGATGTGCGCGGCTGATCCAAGACACGGCCGATACCTCACAGCATCGGCGATGTTCAGGGGGAAAATGAGCACCAAAGAGGTGGATGAGCAGCTGATCAATGTGCAGAACAAGAACTCATCCTATTTTGTGGAGTGGATCCCAAACAATGTGAAATCAAGTGTTTGTGACATTCCACCTAGAGGGCTTTCCATGGCTTCCACATTCATTGGGAATTCGACTTCGATTCAGGAAATGTTCAGGAGAGTCAGCGAGCAGTTCACTGCCATGTTCAGGAGGAAGGCATTCTTGCATTGGTACACAGGAGAAGGAATGGATGAGATGGAGTTTACAGAAGCAGAGAGCAATATGAATGATCTTGTTGCAGAGTATCAGCAGTACCAAGATGCTACTGCTGATGAAGACAATGACTACGAAAATGGGGAAGACGGAACTGAAGGAAATTAAAGGCAGTTATGCCATTTTTCAGCCATTTCATGTCTCTATTTTTGATGTAATGTTCTGTACTCATTAGTCTTTGCTTTTGAGACATGAAATGGTTCACCAAAAAAAAAAAAAAAGGACATGAAATGATGAAACAATTAGTCTACTCAATCAAATGAGTAAAATCATCACCAGTTGATGAAATGCCAAATGATTACGAATCTTTCAACTTGAGATTTCCAATTAGGAATATCAACTTCTGAAACGATTATTTTTCCCTCTTCAGTTCTTCCTTAAAATTTTCGGCTAAAAATTCTTCCTTTCTGAGTTTTTGAAATCATCACAATTACACAGTCAGTACCACAATTAACGAACAATGTCTAGATCTACGATTATGCTCTAATTGAAAAATACTTTAGAAATTTAGAAACCTAACATTTTTATCGAACATTTGTTGGAAATTTTAGTTTATAAAATAAAATAATTAATTTAAAATTTAAGGATAATAATTAAGTTGGCAACCATTCACTTGCATGGTGGTTATTTCCTACAAGCTAAGGGTTGTATCCTTAATTTGTATCATTTGTTTCTGCAAGTGTTGCCTATAAATAAGTGAACTAGTGCATGATTTCATTCTAACTTTTGTATTCCTATATTCTTGAGAACATTCAATAATTGCAAGTTGCATGTTCTTGTGTTCTTTATGTCCTAGAGGTAAATTGCCACACAAACCCGGTATTGCAACATGGAGGGGGCAAATATTGTCTTAAGGACAGTGTCTAACACGATTAGAACACATCTAAATCTTGTGATTCTCTCATTATTATTAGATTCAAGTTTCTAACAATAAAGTTCATAAATCTTTCATCTTTGTTCTTTAGTGTCTTTGTGTTGCCTCTTTAATTACCACCCCCATATACTTTCAATCTTAAGACAATAATATAGCCATGGATTGATACAAGTATTCAAGGAGACTAGGATCAAAGATGGTTAAAAGCAATGAAGATGGATCTTACAACATAGAGATTTTTTGGTGTGCTCAAAATGGTTTCTCTACGGTTTAGTTCCGTAGTCAAGCTCTGAAGATAGATCTAGAAAGATCTAGAGTATACTCAAACGAGTATACAACAGATCAGTTTATGATTTATATACATTAACTTTGTGTTAAATATTTTTTTTTGAAATTACAACATCCGTAGTAAATTAATCCATTGTGATAATTTAAAAGTTTGTAGATTTGTGTTTTAATTTTGTATTAACCAAATCTAGTGTTGTGGATTAATTGGTATTTAAGATCTTATAGTAATTATTTATTATTGATCTTAAAGTGAATTTTGAAAAACAAAACATGCAATAAATGTGTTTACATGAATTTCTTAGTTTTAAGAAATGTGAAAAATATGTTGTTATAATTATGTTAACATTGGCATTTATGTGAAAAGTTGTGAATGCCAATTGTGTTCAAAAAACTATAGTTATATTACTTGTAATTTTATTGCATGTAAAAGCATATTATGTTAATGTTCGTCGACCTTATCGTCGGTTAATTTGAGTCGACAGAAAGGTCAACACCTATTAGAATGTGTTATATTTTTATGTTTGGTCTGTCAATGTTGTCGTCGATTTTGGTAAAGGGGACAGAAAAGTCGACGATTCATTAGAAAGGCTCGCTATTCTGTTTGTCGACTTTGTCGTCGATTTTGGTAAAATTGACAGAAAAATCGACGTTCTTTCGAATAGTTTGCCATTATGTTTTGTCGACTTTGTTGTCGATCTGAACGAGTTGACAGGAAAGTTGATAACAGAAGAACATAACTATATTCCAATAATTTTTTGGACAATTTTGGTTCTGAAATATGATACTATGTACGGAATTAAATGTTTTATGCACGTGAAAATTTCTCATAGCAATGCAAAAGGTATGGTCATGGTGAAAAGAAATCGACAACTTTTATGAAAGTTGTGATTTCTTGATCTTTGGATGAATAGAGACATGTTAAGTGTTTTTTTTCCTGTGAGTTCAATTGAATGTTACAAACTAAAGTTATATCTATTGATTCTAAGTGAGAAAACACAAATGAAAGGAGGTGTCTACTAGTTCCAAGTGAAAGACATATTTGAAAGAATACGTCAAGTGGTTCAAAGTGAAAAGACACGAGTGAAAGTCATGTCTAGTCATCCAAATGACACACTAAGGTTATGACCTTAGTTGATAGCCAAGTAATACTTCTGCAGTGAAACTTTTGAATTGGTAGTGCTTACTTTTGCATTGTTATGTTCAATATCAATACATTTGATATGGGGTTATGCTTGGAAATTTTTATTATTTGCGGTTGCTAAGGTATTATATATCTACATATGACATAAATTAATTAGTTTCAAATACCTTAATAGTAAAAATGTGAAACATACGCATAAACCATGGTTGCAAGATTACTTCCAAATAAAAGTTGGAAGTTATTGCTGATACAATACTTTGTTGTATGTGAACTTAATAATTTTAAACTAAGGGATGCAAAGAAATATTTTGTCACTTTTATAGATAATTGCTCATGTTTGTGTGCAGGTTTATCTAGTGAAAATAGTGGAGAAAATATTTGATACGTTTTGCATGTAAATCCCTAGTCTAAAATTATTGTAGTAGGTAAAATGGACTAGCATTTAATAAACAACAAATTGTTTGGCTAGAAATATAAAACTCTATATGTCATGGCAATGATATACTAGTGAGTTTAAGTAGCCAAAAGATTTGTGGAATAAATATTATTAAATACATGTCATGCGTACAATGAAACTCCCTAAAGACTAAGTGTCTCCAAATGAAATGGGGAAGGGAAGAAAATTATATTATCTATATAAAAAGTTCAAAGTGACACTACATATTGTTGTGTTCCTAGTTGGGACCAAGAACACTTAAGTGTGTGGTTATGTGAACACTAAAGTATCTAAACTACTTATCATTGATTATAATGTATTAATATAATCAATGGATGTAGATTCATTTAAAATTATTTTTAAAGTTTCTAACCAAGTAGCTAATGTATCATCTTGTGAATCTCTCAGTTTCCAAAGTGCAAGTGGTTCTATGAGTGAACCAAAGAGAAAGATATTGACTTTCTGGTTTAAGCAAAGTCTAAAGTTTATAAATCTCTTGGAAGTTGCATCCTCTAAGGTTATTGTCTTCCTAGTGAGAGCAATAAAAATACTCTACTAAGTAAAACTTTATGATGGTTTTTGTATAGTAAGTCTCTTTTCTTTTTTTTTAATTTTAGGCTGATGCATTTGAAAAGTAAAGTTAATCATGGAATGGACTTGACATTGTCTAATGATGTATGTGTCCAAATTGATTTAACTTGAAAGGTTCTAGACTAGTACATTGTAAATGGTTGTTCCATTAGTAATATGCCGTTGATAGTAAGATACATCAATAGTATATTTGGACTTGAAGTGTCATGATTACTTTAAATAGTTTGACTTGTACATTTTATCCTATTAGTTAGAAGTTTCCATTAAGTTTTCATGATCACCTGTTAAATATGAAAAATATTATTTTAATGGTGACTCATATGAAAATTTGTATTTGGAACTTCTTAATACTTTCTGCTATGAAATGATAAAAAGATGTGTGTACTAGTGAATTCTTGATTTGATTTTATACAATTACATGATGATTGATCTAAGTTACTCTCACATGGTGCTTTTATATTGTAAATTGCATATATAAAAATTTGTGAGAGTATGTAATGGATGTTTGCTTTTGGATAAATATTTATGCTCAATGCACATACTAAGTTTAAGCCGTGCAGTAAATACTAAGAACAAATCCTCTTTCTAAGTTCAAATTAAATGAGTTTGGTGAAAGAGGTATTGTCTTAGTCGTTATATTGAAAGAAATAGTGGGGGTTTTTTATTTTCTTATTCATATGATGTTAATAATTATTAACAAAGTTTCAACATGTGAATGTAAAGGAAGTCATCATTTTACATATAACATTGGTGTTAAATGTGATAATCCAACCAGTAAACTAGGATCTTCTAGTGACATTGGATGTCTTGTATGTACATTAGAGTAGTGATTATCTTATCTGTGTGATATGTGACTCACTAATTACACTAAGTGCCTAAGTAAAGATTATTGCAAATCTAATGTTAAAATCATAATATGTCTTTGAAAGACTAAGGGTTATGAATTTATGATTTTATTATAATTGATTAGATTTCTGTTGTTCTTAATGGTTATTCGAATGCTAGTTGGTATTCTAGCACTTAGTGATCATAACCCCTTAATGGTTAGAAATTCATGCTTGGTAGTGAGAGATGTTTCTTGATAAGTGAACATATAGTAATCACTCTCTCCAGGAAAAGAAAGCTGAATTTGTTAAACTATCTTCAGTACATAAGGAGGTGAAGTGGCCAAAGGGCCCTGGCTTTTGTCGCATGTAACCTTGTGTTGTGATAGTTAGATTAATATGTCTTGAACATTGTGTAGAATTTGACAATGGGTAAATATAGAAATATTAATTCAAGATATGTATTTTTTAATGAGATACAAGTGTTGATTTTGTTGGTGTTGTGTTTGTGAAAACACAATTTTGTTATGGATCCATGTACCAAATCTCTTGCGAGAGAATTGGTGTTTTTTGACAACATAAGAAATGTGAGTTAAATCTCAATACTAAAATCACGAACAATGGAAACCCAACCTTCTTCTAGTACTACCCCTAGATTGCAAGGTTTAAAGGGTAACAACAAGTTGTTTTGTGGTTGTGAGCACCAAAATTCATGTATACGATTCCAAGTATTGGTGCATTATATATGTTACTCTTAAGTGAGCAGGTTGAGAGAAATCTCTTAATGGAATTATTCATGAGCGTTTCATTACGGTATAGTAATAAATTTGAATAATTTTCACCTATTTGATCATAGAGGTGGTGACGCTTCTAGAAAAAGTTTAAGATTATCTTTTGTATATGATCAAGAATCTAGGATGAGCACATGGCCGGTAATAGTGCTAAATCATAATGTGAATTATAAGGAATGGTACGAGTGTTTGTGCGTGCAAATTAAGTCTATACTAGACTGATTATTGGTTTAAGCAACGAGCCACCAATAACTTAGCTAGTTAGGTGACTTAATTTCACTACGATGTGGTTTAAGATGAAAGTTACCACCTCTTAAGCGTTCTCATGATTGTGTAATTATTTTATATTACAAATTAAGTGGGGGAATGTTAGAAATTTTAGTTTGTAAAATAAAATAATATTTAAAATATAAGGATAATAATTAAATTGGCAACCCTTCACTTGCATGGTGGTTATTTCCTACAAGCCAAAGGTTGTACACATAATTTGTATCCTTTGTTTCTGCAAGTGTTGCCTATAAATAGGTGAACTAGTGCATGATTTCATTCTAACTTTTGTATTCCTAAATTCTTGAAAACATTCAATAATTGCAAGTTGCATGTTCTTGTGTTCTTTATGTTCTAGAGGAAAATATTGTCTGAAAGACAGTGTCTAACACGATTAGAATACATCCAAATCTTGTAATTCCCCCATTATTGTTAGATTCAAGTTTCTAACAATAAAGTTCATAAATCTTTCATCTTTATTCTTTAGTGTCTTTGTGTTGTCTCTTTGATTACCACCCCATATACTTTCAATATTGGGAAAAAAAAAAATCAAAGGAGCATCACCCATATCAATGAACGCTAAATTAACTGGGGAAGGGGGGAGAAGGGGAGGAGGAATTGTCATTTGTATCTTAACTTGTAGATTATTAATTTGTCAAACAAATTTATTTTTGAAAATTAATTTGTCATTTGTATCTTAACTTGTAGAATATTAAAAAAAAGGAATAAGAAACGTGAAAATTAATAATTAAATAATTCAATCGAGTTGAAAAAAATTAAATAACTTAGAAGAAACAACTTGTCTTAGCTAATTATTTTAATTTTTCTTTTTGTTTAAAATGGTAAATTATTAATTTTCATGTTTACTTTAACTCGAATTTTTCTTCTTCATTTCTTAAATTTTTTTAAAAAAAATTTATAATCTAGAAGTTAAAATACAAAAGGAAAATAAATTTTTAAAATTTAGAATTATATTACCAGTATATACAAGTTAGGAAGTATAAGAAGAAGAATTGTAAAAAAAAAAAATTAAAAGATTAAAAAATAAAAAAATAAGAAAATGATAAAAATACCCCTGAACCCAAAAACATGTGAAAAATGGATTTCCGTCACTATTTAACGGCCAAAATTAACAGAATAATCTGAAATAGATTAAAACCTTAGTAAGGTAACCTGTATTATAAATAAATTTAATTGATGACCTAGAGTGGAAATATATTAAAAGTTGATGACTTGTTTTAAGGTTCACTTTTTTATTTTTTATTTTTTTCTCCTGTGCTAGTATAATTCTGTATATATTTACATGTATACATCGGTAAGCGTAAATTGGTACCGAGTATGGACTATGGACTTTATTTCTTTTGGACATTGATGACATCCTTTGATGTAACAACTACTGGGGTTGCAGAGAGATTGTGGTTCTGTTTTTGGTTGTCTGTGAGCATCATTAATTCACGTTTCTGATCGTTCTTCCCACCGTCTTTTGATTCGCTTGGGAACCATTCATACATCTGCGCCAATACGCTTCCCCCTAAAGAAAAGTTAGCATTTCCAGATCAAAAAACTTGGTTTTGGTTCTCTTAGATTTAGATCTTTTAAGCAAAATGAGTACATTTGATTATCTGAGTATGTTTTCGTCAAGAACAAACATAATCTTACCTAGTATTAAAGCAGCACCAATCCAACCAGCTGTGCCCCATCTCTCACCCAGGAGAAACCATGCAAAACCGGCACCCCATAATGGCTCCGTCCCGTAAATTACTACGGTTTCTGCTGCTGATACATCGCGCAATGCAGCTATCTGTTCAGATTTCAGAATAAGGGCAAAAATGATGTTAAGGAAAGCGTTTGATGTCCAAGTTTAATTTTCTGAATTGTGCAGAGTAATGGAGAACTGAAGTGAAAAGCTTTACCTCTGCCCATAAGCATAGTACTGTCGAAAATAAACCAGTGTAAAGTGCCGGTACCCATGGGAATGTTACCATCCAATCCCAGACCAGGGTCCAAGTAACATTATCGTTATCTTGTAAACCATCAAAACTTCCTCCTAGTATGCACCAGAGTGAGGAGAGGAAGGCCACTACGCATACCTACATCGAAAGAAAGGGCATGAGGAATGATGTAAATTTTGGAGGACATTATGGTTTTGGTCTAAAAATGTACCTACCTCATAACCAAGCAGTGGCAAGTGCTGGTCTGCCTCTGTAGTCCTTGATATGTGTTCTGTGCGGAGCGTGTGAATGCCGAAGAATATGGCACTTAAAAAATTTAGCAGATCACCAACCTAATAAAGTACATTACAACAAGTAAGTGAGCTCACTGATTCTGTAAAACTAAGGATCATTTTCCCCATTGAGCGATGCATTTTAAAGCTGTATTAGCTAAAGATTTACGAATTTGAACTCAATGGATCACATAATCCTCAAACATAACACTTACATTTGGGGGAGTTCCACCACATTCCAGCATGCCGACGCCTAGGACAGACATGAGAACTCCAAACCAGGTGCGAGTCGGTACCATAGTTCCCAATATGCTTTGAAGCAATGGCACCACAATAACCTGTTTAATTCAACGATAACATAAGCACACACAAAAATAAGCATCCACCTTTTTTATAGGATCAACTAGGCCAAAAAAAGTACGGGTTGTTGTGCCAACCAAGAACAATTAAACAAACGAGATACTATGCTTGTTAGTCTTTACAAACATTTCCATTTCTACGGCTCAATAAGAAGAAGATCAAAATGCTGAAGCCGATTAATTAGGAGCTTACAGTGAAAAGGGAGAGAAACGAAGCACGCCCAGCTTCAGCAGTAATGAGTCCAAGAGCCTCAATCAGGTAGCCTAAACTCATCCATACTCCCAACTCCAAACCTGCTTTGCGAGTCTGAACATCGTTTCTTGCTTGAAAGACAAATGGTATGAATGGGATCGCACAAACAGCAAATCGAACCGCAGAGAAGGCTGCTGGATCCATAAAAGCTTCTGTCTCTTTTACAACAAGAATGTTGCTTGCTGCGGATCCCAACAGTGATAAAAATACATCAAACACTTTCAAAGGCAACATATTGGCTGAAGCTTGGTGTGATTATTTGGTTCAAGTCCATAACACAAACAACTTCTAGCCATTACTAGCATCAACATCAGAGTCCATAGCACACAATTATGAGGATCATGGTTTCTGCATTTCTTCAATTTGATACTTAATTCTTTTAATCTACCTCTTGGCTTTGTGAAACAAATTAACCATGAGCTAAAAGATTAAAAACCCAACTAAATGGACTCTGGTTGAAATCAATAACCATAATTATAGACTGAATTGAGCTTATTCTGTTATTTAACCATAGAACTCAAGGAGCAAGTACTTCAATTGCCATTTACTGGAGCAGTGAAAGTAAATAAGAATGCTTACCATAGACAACACTCACAATGTTAAGCAAGATTATGCCCCTGACCTTCTTTGACCTGATCAGTTTCCTCCACAAAGGCCGCCTTTTGATTGAATGCTTAGCAGCCATGATCATGGAAGGACCCTTTGTTGAGCCCTCATTAGCCTTAGTCTTACCATATAATTTGGAAGTTTCATTTCCATGAACTTGGAATGCTCCATCACAGTGCTTTCCACTTCTCAAAGATCTTTCTGCCAAGAACTTTTTGGAAGTAGCTGAACATTTATTTGAAGAAGAAGAAGAAGAAGAAGAAGAAGAAGAAGCAGAGTTACCAGAAGATGAAATTATGGCGAGATGGGTTACTTTTCTGATTCCTTGAGGATTCAAGTAAAATGATGTTGTTGCTATTCCTATAGAATCTTTAGGGATCTTCCCAGTTGAGAAAAGAGGCATTTTTTTTTTTTTTGGGGTTTACCTTACAGAGTTTCTTTCTTTCTTCAATGATTGTTATCACTAGTTCATTTGGGAGAAAAAGTAACTCAATTAGTCCATTATTAATACTGCTAATAATCTTGTTTGGAGTGAGCTAATATCACTAGTTCATTTGTAAGTAAATTTTCAGATTTATAACAACCATAAAAAATAGCAGAATTAGGAAGACCAAACATTTGATATTTTTCCAAGAAGTGTGGACCCGAGAAAGGATCCATTTGACCTGATAATTTTCCCTGTTTTTCCATTATGAAACACGTTTTATACATATCCAAATCATCTCACTGAACGTTTTTGGATAAAATCTTCCGACCACCTTCCGGCTTCCAAATGCCCAAGCATATTATGTGTCTATCAATTACTTTCACCGTCCCAAAATAACTGTCATGTTTTTTGTAGCAAAACGTATGAAGTTTCGCTAATCATTGTGTGCTTTTCTCTACATGGAATCAGATTAATATTATATGGAAGGAATCGATCAAGATGGAATAAGAAGGAACATACAAAACCCTGGATTAAACTTTGTCATGAGCAACATACAAGCAGGAATGAGAGGTTGAAAGATTTTGTTTTTTTGGCATTTCATCAAACTGACTTTTGCAGTAATTTGCTCTTTTGACGGACAAATCATTGATGTTGCTCTCTGCTTCTGTAAATCCATTCCTTCTACAGTGTAAATACCACTGCTAACTGACTCTCCTAAACATTCCCTCATCAAAGTCGGATTTCCAATGAGAGTGGACTGGAGGCCATGGAAAGCCCTTCAGGCGGAATGTCAAAAACAGTAAGCGCCCTGTATTGCCGTGACGTGATCCTCTCGAGTCTGGATGTAAGAGGAGAAAATCTCACCATGAAAATGGCCTAATACTAAACTATCGTATATTTTACTTTCTCCGTTCCAAAATTATGGTACAATTTGGACTTTTACTTTTAATTCAATTTATACTAAAAATAAAACTCTAAATTGGACAATAATTTTGGGACGGAGGAAGTACCATTTTACTCATAAAAAAACTAAAAATTAAAAAATAATGATGTAACTAAAAAAAAAGTTCTAGAATAATAAATAAATTTTAATAACTAATATTAAAATAAAAAATTCCCATAATAAATTTATGTTAATAAAATTTACTTTCACAAAAATTTGTTTAGATATTTTTTTTTGTGTTGTCCACACTAATGCTTTATGTTTACCTGACTAACCACTTTTTCAAGTTTTAAAAAGTTTGTAATTCTAAATATTCATCTTTTTTAATCTCTTTTTTTACCATTTACCTGGAATAATTTTTCAAACATTATTTTAGCATACCTTATCTATATTTATTATGTCAGAGAAATAAAAAACGTGAGGATATTCCAAAAACAAAAAGAAAAAGAAATTGTTTCTTTTGATTTTTTTAGTGGCGTGAAAAAACGCATAAGGTAAATCAAATAGGGTTTCTAATTTTTATGAGGTGAAAATATAAAATAAGGAGTAAAATAATGTGCAAATGAAAAAATTTGAATTTTAGAGTTTGAGAAATTGGAAGTCGTGAAGAGAGAATTGGAAATCAAAAGGAAAAAAAAATCAATTTTTACAATAATTATCACAGAAAATTTTATTAATTTAACATTATTTATGATATTTATTTTATTATTTTAGACATATATTATTTTATATTATTATTTCCTTAATATTAGAATTTTTTGAGATAAAATAGTAAAAGCTAACAATTTATTTAGTAATGAGCGGGCAGAATAAAAAAAATAATGGGGTAAAATAAACAAATATTTTAGAATATCTTTTAGTTCATTCATGGTAAAAAAGAGAGAGAATAAGGTAAACAATGTAGTTTATTTTATATTTTTAGATAATAAGATTTTGATTGGGATAAATATAAGTAAATATGGTAAAATTGGAAAAAAAAAAGTGATGTGCTAAAAATAAAATTGGATTCAATTGAATCTTTTTTTAAAAAATGGCGCAAAATTGATAATGTTATAAAATATTGAGGAACAATTGTAATTTTTATTTTTTAAAAATAATTAAGAATTCAGATTTTGCCGGAATAGTACCAGATCCGGCGAATAGGACTAATTTTGAACCAAAAAAATAAAATAAAATTTGAGGACTAATTTCTTCATGTGAAAAATATTAGGAATGAAAATTAAATTAAAAAATACTATAGGGACTAAAATGATCGGACACCTTATAACATGTATAGATTACTTCACAATATAATATTGTATTATGCAAAAGTATTCTTGTTGACACCACTACCAACACCTTTTTTTTTTTGTTTTTGTTTACCATAATGGTTATTCTATTAATCAAACAAGAAATTGATAGGAAGGATTACTGCCATATGAGATACGTAAGTTATACTTCCTCCATTCCAAAAGTACATCAAACAATTACTTTGGAAAAAAAAAAAGCTAATAAAAAACCTAAAGATGCCTTTTTTCCTTAAAAGATAGTGGAATTTAAGGACTATAGAAGGCAATTTTAACAACTACAAGTAGTACATCAACATCTTTAGTTGCAGATTGGGTTGCATAACACAATCTCTGTGGTCTTCTTCCCCTCTTTAGTCTTCTTATCCTCAAGCCATGCAACCCAATCTCTGTGGTCTTCTTCCCCTCTTTAGTCTTCTTATCCTCATGCCTGAAGAAGAACCAGGGCCTATATGCTACTAAATGTGCATAGTAGGCAACTGGAACTGCAAAATTTCATATGCTGAGTATCTGCAAAATGTGCATAATATGTGATAATGCTCGTGGAAACCTAGTATAGCTCCGCAATAAAATGAGAAAAAACTTGTCACTAATATCATGGCAATCTCACATAACTAATTTGAGTACGAGGGAGAGAAAAGGATATCTAATTCAAAACTTAAACTCAATTCACGTGTGGCACAAACTGTGCGTCAAAGCTTGTAGCTATGCAGCATTGAAATGGTTCTCATCCCACAAAATGTGGTAATGAATTTGTCTACTGGTACCCTATAAAGAGTGTCATGTGTATTAGTGGACTATGGATAATACAGGAAATTGGAAAGTCAATGAGACAGTATGATTGACTCAGATCTATGAACTCTCACTATGTTTAAAGATAGATCATGTTGAACATTTCTCATACTCCTGTGAAATCCGATTGTAAATCTATCTCATTAGTCTTCTCATGGTTGTTCTCAGTTGTCATGAAGAGCATCTTCTTTCTGTTTCCTCGGCAAGTAGTATTTGGGGTTTTGGTTGAAATATGTCCTGCTAATAGATTACAAAACAAAAAAAAATGACAATTCACAATTTAGGGGAAATTTGGTTAGGTATGGAACATAGGGTAGTGAATGTGTATTAGACCATCGCTCGCAATAGCATTTAGTATTGTGAGATGTGCGGGTAGGGAAATATGAGAATATAGTGTCTCTAGAATTTCACTTCGACATTGAACTTCCTGTCATGTTATTAATCTTTTTAAGAAAACAAATCATAATCATTACAATAATTTATAAATTCTTTTCCAAAGACAAAAAAAGAGAGAAAATTAGGTTTTCATTTTCTGGTTACGAAGGAAGACAATTCATTTATTTAAAGTTTCAAACTCATTGGAACACAAAAGTTAAGTCAAGAGCTTTAGAATAGAAAACAAACTCATCAAACATCAAGAACGCCTATGGAAGACTTGATCATACACACTGTCCACCACCAATGAATTAAACTCAACATACATACAGCTTCAACATCATCAATAATTTTAAATATCTAATCCCTAAAAACACCATCTCATAGTAAATTCCTCTAGTAACTAAATCAAATAACATAAAGTCATTATTCGAATAAAAACAAAATAGTTATTCACAACTAAACTAACCATATAGAAATTGATAACTATCTAATTGAAACCAATAACATAGAGCGAAAGTGTTCCAGAAGTATCGTTCCCCGGTTCCAAAAATATGTTTTGTTTGACTGTTTTGATAAAATGAAAATAATCTCATATAAGTTTTTTTTTCTTGATATTTTGTACTATCTCCACATTTTTTATCTGTCGCTTTAGGGTTTGCACGTGTATTAAGAAAAGAATGACTGATAATTTAATTTTAACTATAAAACCTTAGTTCCCCCTAATTAAAAGTATTGAAACTCTAAAAAAATTTCAAATTGAAGTAAAAGTAATAGGTAGTTATCATTAATATATGTTATTAAAAGTAGAGAGAGATAAGGGTGAGATTTGAAAAATTGTACTCCCTCCGTCTCATAATTATTGTCCACTTTGCTCAAAAAATTTTGTCCCAAAATTATTGTCCAATTTGACTTTTTATGAATCAAGTTACACATTTTTCCTTAGTAAAAAATATTATCCATAAAATCTTTGTGGTTAAACAATTACTTATGTAGGGGTACATCCGGTTATTCAAGGTAAAATATAGTTAAATTTGACCAAAAATAAAATCTTTCATTTTAGTAAAACTGGACAATAATTATGGGACGGAGGGAGTATTTAATACTGCATTAAAAATTAAGTGCGATAGATAAAAAAAAATTTAGATTCACCCTAAAGCGACAGATAAAAAAAATGGAGGTAGTATAACCTCTCTATTATATTTGAACTTTTTATCCTAAATTATTGTGTCTCACATATATTTTGATCTTATATTAACTTCGTAATATTTTATGAATTCAAATACGCACGAAACTTGTACAATTTCACTAGTATATATAATTGCCAAGTTTGGGCAAACTTTTGGCAGTCACTTTTACTCATGTTAGAGCTTCACACATATGCAACTGTTTCAATCATTTCATCTTCATTTTCTTTATTATTATTAGTAAAACTAAATATTTTTTTTTTGTCTTTTCATTTAATCTCAATAATGTGGAGACTAAAACTTGACTTTATCTTCTCTATTATTTAATCTACCATCAGATACATTAGCTAACCCTGATATAAAATTTTTGTGATTTAAACCTCAGGTGAATATACACTAAAGTAATCATTATAATACATATTTAATTCTTTTTGTGTTACCCTTATAATCATAGCAAGAAGCGGCTTGAAAAGATCTAAATTTTTTAAAAGGGGATCCCCTATTTTGTTCTCCTCCAGACGTGTAACAAACATATACATGTAACAGATAGGTCACAG